ACCTGAGCCAAAGGCAGACAGTTAACCAACTGAGCTACCCAGGTGCCCCCATGGTTATTCTTCTTAAATTCATAAAAAGTGAGATGACAGCAAAAATGTTAAACATCACAATTATAAAGTATTATTGCTTCCCAGGAGCTACACTCATTTTTAAAACTGCTATATAAATTAATCATATTCAAAGTAGCCAAGTTATTTAAGACATTTCTGTCAATTTCACCTCCTGTCTCTCAAATCTACTCCCATAATCCTGGTCCAAAGTACCATCATCTTCTGCCTAGATCACCTCAACAGCTACTTAACTGGAGGTCTTGAATCTAACTTGAGGTGTCTCCAATCTGTTATTAGAATAGATTCTATGAAATATATATATACTCATCCTCTTTATTTATAACCTTTCAATGACTTCACACTGATCTTAGGGTAATGAAACCTAGCTTGGCCTACATGTTCACTGATCGTGCTACAAGCACAAAGTAATACAAAGTAATTCAAAGAATTACTCAAATATAACGTGTTCTCCCTTCACCTCATTCAGGCAGGGCTTTTGTATGTACCACTCTGCCTAAGAGAGTCTTTCTTCTTCATTTCCCCCCAATGCTATACTTCTAAATTAACATTATACTAAAATTAACAAATTTAGATATCAATTCTAAAGTCATCTCTTCAAGAAAATCTTCCCTGACTATATAGTTTAGGTAGGGCTTTTTTAAATTATATTTTCTAATAGAATTGTTTTAAAAGTAGTTTAAAAACACACCAATTTTAAAGAATACTGTAATAATTAGACTGAAAAAATAAAGGTCAGTTCTCATTTTAATGGTTCATAAAGTAATTTAAGTAGTGAGGATGTAGAGAAACTGGAGCTCTTACACACTGCTAGTAGGAATAGAAAGTGGTACAGCTGCTCTGAAAAATGTTTGGCAGCTTCTTGAAAAATTATATGACCCAAAAATTCCATTCCTAGATATATATCCATGAGAAATGTAACTACACACCTGCACAAAAACTTGTACACAAGTATTCATAGCAGCATTATTCATAATAGCCAAAAGATGGCAACAATCCAAATTCCCATCAAGTAACAAATGGAAAAACCAACTGTGGTATAGCCATACAATGAAATATTATTCCATTCATATATAAAAATGTCCCTAAAAGGGAAAATCTATGGAGAAAAGAAGTAGTGACTGTCTAGGGATGAAACATGGTGGAGGTGAGTATTAGGGATGATAGCTGAGTTTCTTTTGGGGGTGATGAAAATAAAACTGACTAAAGCGATGGTTGCACAACTCCATTAATATGCTCAAAACCAGTGAACTGTATACTTGAAATAGATTAATTGTATGGTATATGAATTACATATCTATAAAGCTGTTACCAAAAACAACAATAGGAAACACAATATACAACAGACGTAATGGCACTCTCAGATTTGTGAGATATTACCTACATGCCTAATATATAATGATTTATTTTTTTCTTCACAAATAAGAAGTAGGGTTTAGTTCTGTATGGAAATGTTTATAATATTTAACTTATTGGTCTCTCCATCAGGATAAAGAGTACAAAAGATACAGAAACCATTTAAGAATGATGAGGGCAGGGCTCCCGGGGTGGTGCAGCGGTTTGGCACCTGCCTTTGGCCCAGGGCGCGATTCTGGAGGCCCCGGATCGAATTGAATCCCACGTCGGGCTCCCGGTGCATGGAGCCTGCTTCTCCCTCTGCCTATGTCTCTGCCTCTCTCTCTCTCTCTCTCTCTCTCTCTCTCTGAGTGTGTGACTATCATAAAATAAATAAAAATTAAAAAAAAAAAAAAAAAGAATGATGAGGGCAGCCCCTGGTGGAGCTGCCTGCAGCCTGGGGTGTGATCCTGGAGACCCGGGATCTAGTCCCACATCGGGCTCCCTGCGTGGAGCCTGCTTCTCTGTCTGTGTCTCTGCCCCTCTCTCTCTATGAATAAATAAATAAAATCTTAAAAAAAAAGATAAGAATGATGATATCCAAAATAGAATCTAGAAGGGGTGGAAAAACTGAATAGATCTATAACTATTAAAGAATTAGGAGTGGGGGGAAGGTGGGGACAAAAACACTACTCTAAAAAAACCCACCAGACCCACACAGATAGACGGTCCAATAGGCCAGTTCTAATAAGTCTTCAAGGAAAAGCCATAGACTATTCTCGAACACATTCCAAAAATGCAAAGCTTCCCAAATCAATCCATAAGGCTAGCATAGTCTTGATGCCAAAACCAAAAGGATAATTACAAAAATAAAAACCATAAGCTGATTTAACTTAGGGACATAGACAAAAAAGTAACAATACTGAATTCTGAGTATAATAACCAAACCGACAAACCAAATTGGATCTATCCCAGGATGACAAGACAGTTCAACTCGAGTTAATTTACCAATTTATTAAAAATTACATTCTCAGGGGTGAATGGGTGGCTCAGTGAGTTAAGTGTCTGCCTTGGGTTCAGGTCACGATCCCATGATAAGCCCCATGTCAGGCTCCCCATTCAGCAGGGAGTTTGCTTCTCCCTCTATGCCTCCCCTCCCCCACCCCCGTTTGTGATCTCTCTTACTCACTCTCTCAAAAAAATAAATCTTTTTTAAAAATTGCATTACCAGATCAAAGAAGGAAAGCTATGTGATCATCTCCACAGAATGCCAAAAAAGCATCTGATAAAACTCTACAACCTTCAGTGAACTAGGAACTGAAAAAAATTTCTTTAACTTGATCAAAAGTATCTTTCATTACTTTTGGCAAATACACTTTTGGATAGAGCATAAAAAGTGTTCCCACTAAAAACTAAATGAGAAAAAAATGCCTATTATCACTGCTTCTGTTCAGCACCACACTAAAAGTCTTAAATAATGTGAAAGTACAAAAACAAATATTAGTGCTGAAAAAAAAAAAAGAGACAAAAATCCCCTGTTCACACACATTTTTCTGAGTCAATTTTAAATAATAGTGTGGCTAAATATAAAAAATACATAAGAATAAATGGTTTTCTGTGTTTCTACAGCTTCCAACTTAAAGATGTAACATTTAAAAATATTGTAAGAAAACAAAGAATAGTTTTAGGATAGGTTGAGAGTATAGAAAGATCTTTCTCAACACACAAAATCTGGAAGGCGAAGGAAAATACTGTTAGTCTTGACCACAAAGAAATAAAAAACTTCAGTACCCCACAGATAAAGTTACAGTGACATCTGAAACAGAGAGGATCAGAACCAAGACTTTTTGTAGACATTCAGAAGTTATCAGTAAAAAGCTCAACATAATCAAAAAGAAAATGGCCAGAGAATATATACATGCAATTTACATAAGAAGGAACCAAATGGCAAATAAAAATGTTAAAATGTTCGATCTATTAATCAGGAGAACATAAATCAAAACAAATGAAATACAGATTTCACCCACTAAGCTGACAATTTTTTTTTTTTTTCAAAAATGGGTATAGTGAGTATTTGCAGAAACGGGGATTCTTTTGTAATGTTCATACTATAAAATCAATAAAGTCTTTTTTGAAAAGCATTTGGTGGTACCTCTCAAATCTGTTTCAATGCATAAACTTTGACCCAACAACTTCACTAAGATTCTATCCTAAAGTAATTGTCGCACAATACATATGAACAAGGGTTCATTCTCCCATCAACTCTTGTAACGCCAAGAAAACTAAAAATCTGAGTATTCATCAATAAAGATAAAATGGAATATCCCACAGTCACTGAAAAATACGGCAACATCTAAATCGATGGGGGTAATAGCACTATAAAGCTTATGTGTAAGAACTTAAGTACACATGTAACAAGCTAACGCGGCTGCGTAGCAAATAATGGGGAGGCTTAAACAGACTCTCACGTTTTTGATTTCTGTGTTGTATGACTTTTATGTTTTCATGCTTACGTTTTATAATAAAAGCAAACTGCATTTTTTTTTTTTTTTTGACGGCGGTATCTTGGTAGATCGATGGAGTAGAGAGCTCATGGCTTTTCTAATCGGGGACTGGATCCAAATTTAGTCAGTAACAAATTTGTCGGTAACACACTGTGACTGTGGGTAAACTTCACTAATCTCTCCGAGCCTCAATTTTCTCATCCTGTATGATCTAAAAGAGAATCATCTAAAAGGTGAAGAGGGAAAGAGAAGCGAACCGTGGCTTTCAAGGGCGCGGAGGGCGCGCTCCCGACCCGTACTTTGCGGGCGGACTGCTACGAGAGGGAAAGGGACAAAAGGCAAAGAGCTAGATGACCAGCTAGGCCAGGAACTTTCCGTCCAAGGCCCGGGAGTGTGCGGTTCACCGGTACCCAGGGACGGGAACCTCAAGCAGGGGCGGAACCTCGAGACGTCGGCGCGGAGGGCGCTCCCGCAAGAGCCCCACGGTCGCCAGCCTCGGCTCCCGCCTGCGTCGGTCAGAGGGCGCAGCAGCTCCGGGCGCGGCGAGAAGGGCGCGCACGCACCTGCTGCAGGGACCCCGAGACGCTGGAGGAGGAGTCCGTGCTCCTCCGCTTCCGGCGCTCGCTGCGCTCCACGCTGCTCCCGCCCCAGCAGCTGCCGGCGCTCCCGCCGCTCCCGCCGCTCCCGCCGCCGGTGACGCTGCCACTGAAGCTGGTGTTTCCACAGCAGGTGACGCTCCCGCAGCCGCTGGTGCTCCCGCAGCCGCTGGTGCTTCCACTGCCGCTGCTGGCTAAGGCGGGCACCAGGTCCGGCGCCGCGAGCGCTGCGGCCGCCTCCTGACCGCTTCGTTTGCGCCGCTTCTCCCGGGAAGACTTCTTCCCCGTCATGATCCCGCTGCTGCAACCATCCGCGGCGAGCCCGCCGTCTCCGAAGCTCCCGAAACCCAGCTGCGGCGGCGGCGGCGGCGGCTGCGGACCGCCGGCGCCGGCGTCGCAGCTTGTGCGTCACTTCCGGCCTCGTCGCAGAGCCCGGGAGGCGTGCCCGCAGCGCTTCCGGCAGGAGGCGGGGGGCCTCTCGCGTTCGGGTCTCGGAGCCTCTCTGCGGAGGACGGAAGGTGGAGCTTTACGGTAGCTCTTTGCTCTATTGATTGATGCCTCTTTTCAGGTTTTGTCGTATACTCCTACACAGTAAGGTACGGCGTAGCTTTTGTTTTGTTTTCCAATGTTTAGTGTCATAAGTACATGACACTAGAATGTTTGTTTATTTGTTTGTTTGTTTGTTTATTATTTTATTCATTTATTCATGAGAGACACAGGCGGAGGGAGAAGCAGGCTCCCCACAAGGAGCCCGACGTGGGACCCGAACCCGGGTCTCCAGGATCAGGCCCTGAGCCAAAGGCGACACTCGACCACTGAGCGACCCAGGCGTCCCCCTAAAATGTTTCTCAACAACAAAGAGAACTTAAGGGGAAATCTCATTATTATCACCGGAGCACATTTTTTAAGAAATGTATATTTTAGGGAATTATACTGCAATAGGAATTTGGGCTTCCTTGTTTTTCCCCCTTCACACTAATTTTTAGGCACGTTTGCCTTAAAGTCATTTGGATCTACTATTTTATTGTATACTTTCTCCGTTTATTCAACTAATATTCGAATGCTGGCATTTAAGTTGTCAATCTGTTATATTTTACAATAATGCAGCTATGAACAGCTTACGAAAAAAATTTACATCATTTTCCTTATGGCATTTTTGTCCCCCCCCCAAAACAAGTTGATCAACGCCTATTTTCCTTGTCCTATTTAATCAGATTCCTTTGAAGAAAGAGTAAGCTAACTTAAAATGTCACCCATACACTGAAACCTTACAGTTTTTTCTAATATAAAGGGTTTTATCTTACATTTTTAATTTTACTTTAGTTCAAGTATAATGGACGCTTCTATTAGTTTCAGCTGTATATGATCCAACAATTGTATACGTTTCCCAGTGCTCATTAAGATAGTGTACTCTTAATTCCCTTTATTTATTTCAACTATACCCCCACCTATCCAGCAACCACTTCTGGTTGCCACCATTTTGTTCTCTGCATTTAAAATATGTCTTTTTGTTTGTCTCTGTTTTTCCATTTGTTTGCTCATTTGCTTTGTTTCTTACATCCCACAGATGAGTGAAGTCCTATGATACTTGTCTTTCTCTGACTGCCTTGTTTCACTTAGCATTATGCCCTCTACATCCATCCTTATTGCTACAAATGGCAAGATTTCATTCTTTTTTAATGGCTGAATAATATTCCATTATATATATAGTATCACATCTTCTTATCCATTCATCTATCAATGGACATTTGTGTTGCTTCTGTATCTTGGCTATTGTAGATAATGCCAAAGTAAACATTGGGATGCATATATCCTTTGACTTGTAATTTTGAATACTTTACCATTGGTCGGAACACTATTTCCTCATCAAGTGCAAATAAGTTTAACCATTTTTCTATTGAAGTTAGTGTTTTGCCCTTTTAAATGTACATAAGTTATTTATGTTGGTGAGACAGAGAGGGGAGCAGGGATAAAATATTATTGGTATATCAGTGTTCCTATCTTGTCTCTCTCCCTTCCTTCCCCCCAAATTGCCTTTTCAGACTAGTTCTTACTTTTCAAAGGAGAGGAAAACAAGAAGAGTTTAGGAGTGCACAGAATTGGTAATGAAGTCCCAGGCCACTTTTAGAAAGAATTTGAGGCAAGAAATGCAAAAGAAAAACAGTGCATAACGGCAACAAATAGAAGACAACTGAAGAGAATTTAGGGGGTATTTCTGGAGATTATTTATTTCATGCAGAGAGTACATGAAGGACAAGTAAAGGACTTGAGTGAGTTTTTCAAAACTGAGTATGTGTCATAGGTTTATCAGTGTTAGATTTTGTGGACTAATGTGTAGGATTTTGGAAACACAAGTCAGGTTCTATAACCAGGATCAAGAATACATATTTCAAAAATGCGTTATCATTTGGCAGGAGTGGTCTGTCTCATCAGGGACTTTAGCCACAGAAGAAAAAAGACAGGGCCTGGGGCAACACTGAGTGATAGTAATCCTACGTCTTTCACCTGAGGTATAGAAAGTAATTTAAAAAAGAGACTTCCTTTTGACCTCATTTCCTACCTGTCTTAGCCATTCAACAACTATTTAATTAGTGTGTAAAACAAACCAGATACAGGGGTAATTCCAGCCCTGGGAAAACAGCCGTCTCTACCCCCTGATTCCACCCTTAGTTTTGCCCTCTAAGGCAAACTATACCATTTTAGGTTTATATCAGTCATCTCAAGTTGCCATAACAAAGTACTGGATAAAAATAGTTGCTTATTAATTACTGCCTGCAAATTATCCCCTTATAAAATCAGTTGAGAAGCTTCTCAGTTTCTACCTCATTTTATAGCAGCTTGACAAAGAGTTCCCATATTTATTTGGCTGGAGCAAGAAACCAGGGCACTGCCAACTAGATGGCTAAAGAATTTATCAATTTGGCAGCTGAATTCCAGTCTTTGTCCACTCTTCCATATTCTTGTTCTAGAATGCAAAAGCATTGTTTGACCACTGGTGATAGAGTAAAAAATAGACAAAATCCATGTCTTCATTAGCTTATATTCTAGCAGGGAGAAGCAAACCAAAAAACATACGCAACAGGAAGTGCCTCCATCATCACTTGCTCTGGCATTCTGCATTCTTTTTACTCTGCTTTATTTTTCTTCAGTGCTCTTAACCACTGCACATGCATTTATTTGTCTCCTTTCTCTTGAATGTAAGCTCCATGAAAGTTTTGACTTGGTGTTATTCACGTCTGTATTCCCATTACCGAAATACCTTTAATAGAAAAATTTCCCTTATAGTTGTTTCCTAATAAAAATTTGTTGCAGGGATCCCTGGGTGGCGCAGCGGTTTGGCGCCTGCCTTTGGCCCAGGGCGCGATCCTGGAGACCCGGGATCGAATCCCACGTCGGACTCCTGGTGCATGGAGCCTGCTTCTCCCTCTGCCTATGTCTCTGCCTCTCTCTCTCTCTCTCTCTCTCTCTCTGTGTGACTATCATAAATAAATAAAAAAAAATTTAAAAAATTTGTTGCATAAGTGAATGAATGAAACACAATTTCAGATGGAGAACAAGAACCAGATTTGTGCAGGATTAAATGAACTCACTAAATTATGAGCGTAGAACTACCTAGTGAAATTAATGGTGGGAAATTCCTTTATTAAAGGAGGTCAGTAGGAACTTTGCTGGGAATAGTTCAGTGCTCCTTCATCACATGGCAGAGACACTTAGCTACAGGGCCTTAGCTGTCACGGTGACACTGGCAATCATGCAGGGTTTGGAAGAGTAGGTACAAACAGCTTTCTAACAGAAACTGGATAATTCTACATGGAGTTCTTCATGCAGAGAACAGGGAAAGAACTGACTTTTGGTGTGAACATGACATAGACACATCACAAGGTTAGCTGGCTTGAAGCTACAGAGACGCCATTTTCTTTTTAGGTTGAACTATAGGAAATTGCCTTTTTTGGAGGTCAAAACTGATTGATGTGGATAGTTTCATATGTTCAGTATATTATAGAGCTGAAGAGACCCAGCACTGAACAGATTTAAAACTCAGCAAACTAATGCAGGACTGTTTTTCTGTTTTTTCCTGCTTTTCCTAGAACAAATACATGGGAGGGTGGGCAGAGATTGGAATTTACATGCCCTTTTTTATAACTGCTTTTCAGCAACTCACTGAGCATTAGTCACAATGATCCGCCTGGAATATGCATGCATTAATGCTATGGCCACTCAGTACTTAACTGGAATTTATAAAGAGACACTAGTTGAGAAATTCAGTCTTCCACTTAAATAAACTGTAAGGAAATTACCTCTAGATGTCACATTATCTGTCTTGTGGAAGGTCAACAAAAGACACTTATGAAACAAGACCTAGAAGTCCCAATACTGTCATTTTCATATCAATGAGCCAATAATTCCTTTTTATTAAGCTGATCTGAATTGGTTTCTGCCACTTGCAATCTAGGTTCTTGATGAATTCAACATACAACATGTAAGACCTGGCATGATCCGGACAGCATTTTTCTGTGTAGCCCTATGTCTTTTTTAGAAATATGCCCTCTGGGCCTATTCAACAATCCTATTCAACTTTATATTTCATAGTGAGGTTCTGTGGCATTATAGGAAATTTAAATGAACTGTAAGGATATTTGTGTCCAGAGTTCCTCTCATCTGGTTAAATCTAAAATTCTTTTTAAGTATCACTTCATACTTAAAACCTTTCCAAATCACCTTTTTTAATCTTGTTGAAATGCTTCTTCCTTTGTAAGACATTGTCTTCCCTAAAGAGCATCCAAAACTCTTGCCTGCAGGTATTTGTTACATATTTTCTCCAATATACTGTTAGTTCTCATGAATAGAGGCTGTGTGTTATATATCTTTGTACTGTCACCACCTAAAGAGTGCTCGGCATGCGCTAGGAATGCAATGTTAATTTTTGAGCTGAGAAGTTCAGGATACATTCAGAGCTTCATTCCAAACACCAATTAGGTAAATCGCATTAAGGGCACCATTTCTTCACCTCTTCCTGTATTCATGTTCTTTGCCATGTTATTTGGCAGTGTCCTTCCACTTATGACAAAACATGTAATTCCTACCTGCCTTTGAAGTTGACTTCATTTGGCCAACGAGATGCTAGCAGATGTAGCAAGCACATGTTAAAAAAACAAAAACAGGACCCCTGACTGGCTCAGTTGGTAGAGCATATAACTCTTAATCTCAGGGTTGTGAGTTCAAGCCCTATTTTGTGCTTGGAGCCTACATAAAAAATAAAACACAACAAAAACAAGACAAACAAAAATCTTGTAATTGTGATGGTTCACTCTTATGTTTCCACCATCACCATGAAAATGATATACTCAGCACACTGGTCCCAGGAGAAAGATGAGAGACAAATAGTGCTGAGCTGCCCAGCTAAACTATTGAGTCAAGCCTAGCCTAGAACAGAGTCCTCCTCCAGCCTGCAGACATGAATGAGCCCAGTCAGGATCAGCCACCTCTAAGATTGTAATTTCTTAGGTCAATAAATGCTATTGTTTTGGTTGTTAGTTGTTGAACAGTAGTATTATGGTGGCTACAGTTAACAGATACACACTTTCTAAAGCCTCCTTTTCTGTATTTCTGTTAGGCATTAGAAGGGTCTTCAAAACTAGCTTTATACTGCCTAAGTCATTCAATGTCAGTGCTGTAATATGGGCAGATATAATTCTTATGTTCCAACAGAAACAAACTATATTTCATAGTGAGGTTCTGTGGCATTATAGGAAATTTAAATGAAGTGTAAGGATATTTGTGTTCAGAGTTCCAAATAACCAATTTTGCAAAATAACAGGATACCCCTGCTCATGAGCATTTTTTTTTCCAGTAGCAATAAAATACTTCTCTTCTAAATGTTCCTTGTATACAGCACTTTTATTGTTAAAGAGGACTTTAGCTTTGTGTTATCTGTGAAAGCAATGCTTGATAAGTACTCATGTGGTAGACATTTTACATATTTTATTCTTCTATTTTATAAAATCCTAACATATCTTTGCTTAAACTGGGGCTGAGATCAAGCAACTTAATTCAATAGCAAGTGGTGGAAATGTCATTGAAATGTATGCCTTTTTAACCTCAAAGCTAGTATTCTTTCACCATATTGTACTGTACCCCTGGTTGTTTTTACTACTGAAAAATTTTAAAAGTCATAGAAATAAGCAAAACATTTCTTGAATTTTTAAATTTTTTTTATTTTTTATTTTTAATTCATGAGAGACAGAGGCAGAGACAAAAGCAGGCCCCTGCAGGGAGCCTGATGTGAGACTGGATCCAGGAACTCTGGGATCACGCTCTGAGCCAAAGGCAGATGCTCAACCGCTGAGCCGCCCAGGTGTCCCACATTTCTTGAATTTATTAGTTCCTTTGAAGACACAAGAATGAAAGAAACGTGGGAGAGCTTATTTCAAGCGACCTTCTGCTCTATGTATCAAGCATACATTTCACTACCACCCACCATAGTTGCTATTATGATGAAGTGAAGTGGCTACCACAAACCGATATTCTTTTTTTTTTTTATTTTTTTATTTATTTATGATAGTCACAGAGAGAGAGAGAGAGGCAGAGACACAGGCAGAGGGAGAAGCAGGCTCCATGCACCGGGAGCCCGACGTGGGATTCGATCCCGGGTCTCCAGGATCGCGCCCTGGGCCAAAGGCAGGCGCCAAACCGCTGCGCCACCCAGGGATCCCCACAAACCGATATTCTTCATCTTGATATCCAGCTTTGCCGACATCATTTATTAAATACTATTCTCCATTGTTTTGTTACTAGTGACTTGTTACCTGACCTCTTTCAGCTTCTTCACTTGTAAGATTACTAACAGTACTTACCCCATAGGGATAATGAGGATAAACCTGAAACTAGTATAAAGTAATTGCTTAATGCATGCTAATTTACTTAAACTTGTCTTTTTTTTTTTTTTTGCAAAGGTACTTAACTAGTTTGCTTTAAATTCAGTTACAAACCATTGTATAAGTATTGCTATATCATGTGCCTTTACATCTAAGTGATGTATGTACAATGAAAGTATTGCCATTTGGTCATTTTACTTTTCTGACTTATTACAATGTGCCCAGGAGCCCCAAGATCAAGTTTAAGTTTAAGTTCCAGGACCTCATTTTAGGCCTAAGTATCAGCCTACCTGCTTTACAGAAGGGCATTAGTTGGTGTTCTCCTCTTTAAAGCTTCCTTATTCACTGTATGCTAAAGACTCTTTTTCCTCCATGAGAAGCACCAAAGTGGTTTTTACTTGTTGCCCTCAAAATCAAGATTCTGCCTTAGTACCTCCAGAAAACAAGCACCCTGATTTCAATTATTAAACAAGCAAAACCTGATAATCACTTAGAAAAATATAGAATGAAAAAAACTTTTAAAAAATATTCACCCATCTCTGTGAAGATGGTCAATAAGCCAATTACACTCTGTTCTGTTCTTTCAGCCTCCTTTAGTTATGGTAAGGGGAACATAAACTTTAAGGAAGCACAGGTATGATGCCATCAAGTTAAAAAAAAAAAAAGTACACACACCCATGAAGTATTCTTGCTACAGTATTTTAATCTTAATCTACCAAGCCTTTGGGTTTACCTTTTAGTTTATAGGAAATAGGTATGGCAGGCACATTCTAAGAAGGCTCCCAGTGATCTCTTTTCTGATACAGCCTGTGTAATCCACTCTCCTTGAGTAACTTGCTTCCAGCCTTGATGTTGAGAGGGTGGCATATTTGTAGTTTGTAAATGTAAATGTTATGACTTTGATTTTGCTAGCAGACTCTCCCTTGGTGGTTTTAATGAAACCACTTGACATGATGGAGAAGCCCATAAAACATAAAACTGAGGGCAGGGGAGCCTGGGTAGGTCAGTTGGTTAAGTGACTCTTGATTTCAGTTCAGGTCGAGCCTCATGCAGGCATGGAACCTACATAAGATTCTCTTTCTCTCTCTTCTTCTGCCCCTCCCCCACCTCCTTCTCTGAAAAAAAAAAAAGGAAAACATTCATTTAAAAACTTTTATTTATTTCAGAGAGAGAGAGAGAGAGAGAGAGAGAGCAGCACAAATAAAGGAAAGGGTGGAGGGCCTGTTGAGCAAGGAGCCCAATGCAGGGCCCAAGCCCAGAACCCTGGGATCATGACCTGAGCTAAAGGCAGACTGAGCTACCCAGGCACCCCTGGAAAACATTCTTAAAAAGACAAAACACCCAAAAAGCTGAGGACAGCCTTTGGCCAACAGCCAGCTAGGATTTTAAGTCCTCAATCCAACACCTGGAAAAGAACTGAACACTAACCATGTAAATGAGCTCGAAAATGCTTCCTTCTCCAATCAAGCCCTCAGATGAGTCCTCAGCCATGGCTGATACTCTTCATAGCAGCCTCATGTGAAACAAAGATACAGAGGATCCTGCTAAGCTGGGCCAGGATTCTTCATTTGCAAAAAATTTAGATAGTAAATGTGTGCTGTTCTAAGCCACTTTAGTTTTGGGGTAATTTATTAAGCAGCAATAGGTAATTAATACAGAAGAGTTACAGAAATGTTTTACAAATATAAAATTGGGGTGCCTTGCATTCTGCAATGCAGAGATGCTTCAAAGTCAATGACACTAAAAAATAAAAATAGAACTGTTCTAGAGTAAGAGACTGAAGAAACATATAATCAAATAAATATAATACATAAACCTTGATTATTTATATTAGATCCTTTAAATAAAGTGATAATAGTTACTATGAAACAAGGAAATTTGAGTTTGGAATACATATTAGATACTATGAAATTACTGACTGGTAATACAGCGATATGGTTATAAAGAACATTCTTTAAAATGTCCTTATTCTTAGAAGATACATATTTAAGTATTTAGTTGATAAAGGTGATATCTGTAATCTCAAGAGTAGAGATAAAACCAATATGGCAAAATGTTAACAACTGTAGAACTTGGTTGGCAAGTTCACGAGTGTTCACTGTACTCTTTGAACTTTGATGTATGAACATTTTCATTAAAAATTTTAAGAAAAACACATGGAATGATAATGGTAAATGAAAAAAATCTTCAAAATTGTATTTATAATCACAACTACACTATACTATAGATTGAATGTGTCACCCCGAAAATTCATTATTTTGAAACCTAATTCCCAATATGATGGGGCCTCTGGGAGATAATTTGGTGATAAGGGTGGAATCCTCAGGAATGGGGAGACCACAGAGAGCTTCTTCCTCCTACCATTGAAGAACCCTCATCAAACACCAAATATGCCAGCACATTCACCTTGGGTTTCCTCGCCTCCAGAATGGTGAAAATGTGTTTTTAAGCCACCCAATCTATTGGATTTTTGTTGCAGCAGCCCAAATAAACTAACACCCTGTGTGTAATCTTCTATAGAAAAATATTTTTTTAAATTTTTATTTATTTATGATAGTCACATGAGAGAGAGAGAGAGAGGCAGAGACATAGGCAGAGGGAGAAGCAGGCTCCATGCACCGGGAGCCCGACGTGGGATTCGATCCCGGGTCTCCAGGATCGCGCCCTGGGCCAAAGGCAGGCGCTAAACCACTGCGCCACCCAGGGATCCCCTTCTATAGAAAAATATATTAGAAGTTAGATTATAAATTATTTTATTTTTATTTTTTTAGATCATAAATTGTTTTTTAAAAAGACTGAATAACATTTCCTAATCTCAAGACTGTTAGTAAGTATATCACAAATGATCCTCTTTACATTTTATCATTTCTCAACAAAATAACCATTTATAACATTGATAACTGCTAAGGAAGCGAATGTCCAAGTTTCATCCCCAGAATTTGCAATATGAAGGATATTAACTCCAAGGCTTTTACCACTGGAAGTGACTTGACAGCATGTGTCGCCTAAAAAATGTGCATTAACTTGGCCCACCAATTCCATGTATAAAATGTAGCCTAAGTAGCTAGTAAGACATAGGATATTTGTCTGAGCAGTGCTTGATAGCTGAAAACTGAAAACAATATCAGATAATAGGAAATGGATATATCCATATAATGGATATATGTTTATTAAGGTAGAGGTATGCATACTATATATTGTCAAGTTCAAAAATCAGGTTGTTGAACAATGTGTATCACACAGTCCTTTAAGAAAAAAAAATACATTTACATACCTACTAATATACCACAAGATGTTAAGAATGGTTCTCTGTGGGTAGTGGGATTACAATTTTTATTTGATGTGTGTCTGTTTTATTAGATGAATGTTATGTTTTTATATTCACAAAAATATATTAAGGGAACCATGGAAAAAAGTTTAACTGAAAAAGACTTCAAAATTCACAAAACCATCATATAACACTTATTTTTCAGGTGAATTATCTTAGTTCTTTAGCTAAACTGTATTTTAGAATTTTTCTTCAATAAACATGAAATACTGGTACTATAAAAGTTGTTGTAAAGACTTGTACTCTACAAGAAGCAAACAATGTTTACAATTTGCCACCCCTTACATTTTGAAGAGTCAGCTCATGTTCTTAATGTCCTCCCATCATCCAAAGGTTCTATCTGGTATTTCAAAATATATTGTAGATAAATTCTTTGTACTCAGAACTGCATGCTAGACTGGACATGTTAATAAGAAAGCAGTGTATTATAATGGAACTAGGCTGACCTGGGTTAAACTCTTGACTTTGCCATTTAACTGTGACATAACCACCTAAAACCTGATTCAACAAAAAGTAAAGCAAAGGTTCCTAACCAGCCCAGCCAACAGAATTTTTAAAGTCTGAGCACATGTCAGAATGCTGCAATTTACTACTCAACAAAATACACATTCCTCTAATTATACTTTACCCATTCTCTCTTGATATTCCAAAAGTTTTTCTTTGAATTAATCCAGATGATGGAAAATCTTCCCTCCCATATTGGGGAAGAACTGTTCTTTGACTACAATTTGTCATTAAGCCAGTAAATTGATGGTTCTGTATACCATAAATGTTGAGAATGCTGCTCATTATTTTAGGCAAAGTCCTCTTTGTGAAAAGATCTTTCCCACTCAAAAATAGGAATAGTTATGCTTCTCTTAAGAAACTGAAGTTCTCTTAAACATATTAAATTATATAATTAAAGTGGTAGTTCCTTCGTGTTAGTTGTTAGGATATTCAGAGACAAATTTGTGATGCCTTTCTCTAGGAAGTATGGTATGGTATGCACTTTTTTTTTTTCTCCTACCATGATTTATATCATTTTCTTTACTTCTGAAAATAGAGACACCATCATTCTTCATTTAAGGGGTTTTGGGGATCAAATCTCAAAAGTGGTTAGCACAGTGCCTGGACCATGTTAGGAGCTCAAAAATACTAGTTTTACATGATAGGCTCTGGACTTGCCAGTAACAGTTTTTGCTTGTGTAGTTGCTTGATAAAAGTCAACACATTGCAAATTCCCTTTGAGACAATAGAAATGACCAAAAATAAACTAACATCAAAACTGGAATGAATAATGAAGTTACCTCAAATAGGGAGGGGCAAAAGAAACTGGATTATAAACCTGGAGTTAATTAGGGGTCTCATTTGTCTGAATTGATACATAACCTAATGCAGCTTAGTAAATTGCTTTCCCTTCATCTAAAAATGAGCCATCAAATGTAATTTTCTATATACAAGTAACTTAAATGATGAAATTATTTTATGTTTTCTATATATGGAATAATTTACAACAAACTTAATTTTTGAAAATTCTAAAGTACTTATCCTAAAATAAGATCTTGAAATGTGCTGGTGCTGTTCAAAGAATCAGCAATGAAAATGAGTAGAGCAGAAATTAAATAAAAGACAACCACCAACAAGTAATGTAAAAGCAGAGTATATAAATAAAAGTTATCTTCTCTTTTGTGGCAAAGGTATGGAAATTATGCCATTGTAGCAGTTGCATTGTTTTTCTTTTTATCTCATTCTTTCTAAACTCCTGAAAACTTACCCACATTACACAGGAAAATCTCACAGTTCATCAGTGCAAAAATTTTATTTCTTTGTCTCTTCTTACCCCCCACTTTACAAGATCTGAAATTTTACTTAATCCACAGCATTTTTTTTAAACCATCTGTAATCAGTCATGTAAAATGTGAGAAAAAACACTAATCAATTTAAAATCTCAGCCCATCCCCACTGTTACAGTAAATTTAGGATAAGTCTACAGCATTCACTTACTTTAGCTGGTTCTGATACTGAGGCATATTTTTTTATTTGAGAATCAACACCTAAAGACTTGGCTAACTGTACAGCATTTAAATCGTCACTGATAAGTGTCCCAAGAGCCACAAGGAGTCTAAAAGTAGCTTCTAGGTCTTGTACAACTTCCAAGACTGTGCTAATTACTGACAAGCATTGAGCTTTCCCTTCAATGTTATGGTCTTTATGAAAACAAACAGAATAGTTCAGGGTCAATGTAGCGAGAGCAATGTGAATGTTTTTATTGCTCCCTGATTTCAGTTCTATTGCATGCGACATTAGTGATTCCCTCTGGGACATCATGAGTTTTTGTCCTGCCTGGCCAACAAAACAATTGCAAAAAGTCCTCAGAGCAAGCAGCTGGTTTGCTGGCTTTCCTTTAGGGTTTAGGAGACTGATAAGATGACTGCTGAACTGAGCCCCTTCCTTTTCATTGCAGAAGTTTTCATTCACACTGGGATGTTTAATTGACAACCGAAGAATGTCAAGTGCAGGAAAGACAATATCTATTAAAAAGAAAAATTCATTAATGTTTACAAAAACCCATAAAATTCCTATGACTATCATTTGGTTTTATGAATTTTATTAACACACGACCATTTCAGAAAATGTTAAAAAACCAAGTGCCATGTGCTTGCTTTACAAAATATATGTATTTCTAAAACTTTTGTTAATTGATTTTTCATATTTATAGAAACGATTTATTGCTATGAGATGATGTAAATGGGTTATCAACTGGCCTGATATATATATTGAGTATTCAGTAAATCCCTGTGGAATGAATGGGATGGGGACCTTGCTTGTAAAAATCCTCTTAGACCAAAGAGTTCAAGAGGAAAGTTTTTTTTTTTAAGTATATCTTTTCTTTGTTTTTTAAGAGAGAGAGTACATGCACGTGTGATTGGGGTTGGAGGGTTAGAGAGGGAGGAGAGAATATTAAGTAGGCTCTATGCCTAGTGTACAGCCCGACTCATGGCTCAATCTCAGAACCCTGAGATCATGACCAGAGGCAAAATCAAGAGTCGGATGCTTCACTGACTGAATCACCCAGGTGCTCCATGAGGGAAAGTTTTTTTTAAAATAGAATTCCAGTTGACAAATGATAATATACGATGCTTACAGGTTGGTGGAGGGCTTTACATTCAAAAGATTGGGCAGACACCATTTGAATGAATCCACTCTATAATCTTAGCACCACTAAAAGTAAGGAATCCAGAAATTATGTGCCCTGTGATATAAAGGTAGTATGCAGCATCATTTATAAAGGATATTCACCAAAAAAATAAAAAAATAAAAAAAAATAAAGGATATTCACCTAAAAAAAAAAAATCTATTTAACCAGAATCTAATTATGTCTAGCAGGAGCTACAGAGATCATGGTACACATTAAGTGAGCTGCCAAAATCACAATATGGGATATTAAGCAGGACAAATGACTTTTCTTCTCTAATCAATAGCATGAAAAAGTAATGAGAGAGGACACTTTTGGAATTTAAAAGGAATCAAGTGAGTCAAAAAAATAATTATTGCAACCGTTTGTAGACTGGGGTTAATAGTGCACAAGACGTTCTTGGGTGGCTTGCAGGGGACCCACAAATGCTCTGAAATGGTACATGAAATGGTATGGGGATCATTACATTCCTTTCAGATGCTCATAAAGCATGGACCAAATCAAGACTATGAATTACAGGGGCATGGTGAGTACTTTTTTGTTAAGTTTCACACAATGTGAGTTACAACTACCCAGGGTAACTTTTACTCTGGGTAAAACAATCTAGAAACATCAGTAATACTGATAGAAATGAAAAGACATACTTACTCAATCTAGAAACATCAGTAATACTGATAGTAATACTGATAGAAATGAAAAGACATACTTACTACTTTCTGGATTACATTTTAAAAACGGTTTCCATACCTTCAGGCCAGTTAATAGCTTTCCACAAAATCTGAAGTTGCTGGGCTGTGGGTTTTTCTGAAGAGCTATTACATATGAGAGACAGTATTTTTTCAAGAAGTATCAAGTCATCCTCAGTTAACTTTTTCTCTTCAGGTGCAGTTCCATTAAGTTCCTTCAGTTTACCTAGAACCCAAACCCAAACTTTCAAAATTCTCTAACTGTATTTAGCCAGATATAATATAAAGATGTCTAAACTTTCACTAAGAGTATTCCACTATACACCATGGGGAAGGTAAGACATTTCATGGCAATTATCAAAGACCATAAAATAAGGATAAGGCCTATTAATATTTTTCATTCGAACACAGTAGAGAAAAAGGTTACTGTGATGATTTTACCTGTTATTGTCTAAGATCTTATGAAACTTTCTGCTTCAAGTAAGTTTTAAAGTAGATCATATTTGTAATCATTTTGGTTTTTGAAGCAGTATCATGTCATTATACCCAAGTATAAGTCAATGCTCTATTTTCCTCAAAGAAAAAAATTGTAACAACCTTTAGCCAACTTTGCCTAACTTCTTCGATTGTCAATGAATTAACTGAAGAGTTAAATGCCTAATATTTAATTTAGTTCCATATGTACATTTGACATCACCCGGCTTTAAAAACATATTTAATGGAAATATTGCCTTTTGTCACCATATTCACATTTCATGAAGCAATTTTTTAAAAAGATTTATTTATTTTAGGGAGAGAGAGTACTCAGGGGTGGGGGTGGAGGGTAGAAAATCTCAAGCAGATTCCCCGCTGAGCGCAGAGCCAAATGCAAGGCTTGACCTTATTATGACCCTGAAATCATGACCTGAGCTGAAACCAAGAGTCAGATGCTTAACTGACTGAGCTACCCAGGTGCCCCTTATGATTTTTATAAAGATGGTATAAAGGTCAATTCTGACCAAAAACCCTTGTCTTATATTGAGGTATATATGCTATCTCAATTAATTCTCATGAAGTAATAGTGGCAAACACATAAGTAATTTTGTTTCAGAGAAACAAGTTAACAGACAAAGCAAAGTCAACTGAGCAGTTTCATTTTTTAATGTAATTTTTACTACTCCTAAGGGCCATTAATTTTTTTAAGAGAAAAAAAATTTTTTAAGTGCTTTAATCATTCGTTTTCATTATTTTTTTTCCTGAAAACATTAAGATCTTAGGGAATGGGATTTATATTTTTCCCTTTAGTTTTTTTCTCATTAAAATCATCATAAAGCATTTACCTTATATTTGTATAAGGCTTCTTGCAAGTATTAAGGGTCCATTATCAGACTGTGTATTTGTAGTCGACGCCATTGTGTAATCCCACAACAGAAGTCTCTATCATGTAAGCACCCAGTTCCTAGCTCATGTGAGGAGGAGAAACAGTCTTGAGTGCACTGCAAAGAGTCTATGGATATGTGAGCAAACTATTTAATTAAAATGTACTTACCTAATATTTGTGTAGGATTTGCCTGGTCAAAAGTGACAGCCTCTTTTTTGGGAAAATAAATATTCACGGTCTTAGATGCAGCTGATCGGTAGGCACTATTCCCTATTTAAAAAAGATGATGAAAATCATTAGTAATAGTCAAAACTGAAATTTTTCTAATTGTATGACTTTTTCACGATTATTGAAATATAGAACTACTCAGTGCATACAATAAAACAACTATGGAAAAAAGAAAAATCATAAAATTTTATATACTGTATATATTTGTTGACATAATAAATTTTAGTTCTTAATGTAAACTTAAAATTTAAAACAAAAGCCTTTCCATTTCGTATTCTCTACATCTCTCATTCCTTTAAGATTCAATCTAAATCACAAATTTTTAAAAGATCAAAGAATATATAACAATTACAAAACTTGCCATTCCCATCTTAAGGCATATTGATCTCTTTCTTCTCATGTCTTTTACTGCTTATTCCAAATGATATATAGTCCACATTGTCATTTTCTCCATCATTTTATTTATTTTTAAGTTTTTATTCAAATTCCAGTCAGTTTAAACATAGTGTAATATTACTTTCAGGTGTACAATATAGTGATTCATCACTTCCATACATTACCTGGTGCTCATCACAAGTACTCTCCCCTAAACCCCAGCACATGTTTAACCCCTCCCCCACAATCTCCCCTCTAGTGACCATCAGTTTGTTCTCTAGAGTTAAGACCCTGTGTCTTGGTTTGCCTCTTTTTTCCCCTTTTGCTCATTTGTTTCTTAAATTCCACATTATGAGTGAAATCATAAGGAACATGTGGCATACACACACACACACACACACACTGGAATATTATTCAACCATAAAAAAGAATGAAATCTTGCCATTTGCAACGACGTGGATAGAGCCAGAGTGTATTATGCTAAATGAAGTCAGCCAGTCAGAGAAAGAATAACAACTTATGATTTCCATCATTTTAATAAATGATGTAGGTTCCTGAAAAGTGAAAGGGCCCTAGTCTTTTATACATTTTTACTTCCTAAGTCCCTATTTTAGTAACCAAAATGCAGTGTCTAACAAACAACTGGCATAGGATAAAAATTTATCACAATACATAATATCTAAAGTTACTTCAATTAAAGCATAATTTAAACCTAATTTGTATTTTGCCTGCATTTCAAATCTTATTTACTTTCGTTCCAATGCAAAAAGTAAGGCATTTTGCAAAAATATGAATAAAACATTTTAATTTTCTGAATATATATCAGAAAGGGGAATAGGGTAGGTAAAGATGAAGTTATGAAATAAATACACAAAATTAATTTTCATTGCTTATAAAGCATAAAATATTTATTGGTACAATCAAAGATGAGCTAACAGACATTGCCTGGAGTCCTGGTCATTAGAGACTAGTGGTAAGGAGAATGCAAATCAAACACTGTCCAACTGAGTAAAATGAGAAGGAAAAGTACAGGGTGTAACAGAGCCTATGATAGAGTAAGTGATCTAGCAAGGGCCATATATGAGTGTCCGAGAATGTTCGTTTAATAAATACTATGTGCGAAATAAAGAAAAAGGAGAAAAAAACAAATAATAATTTGTGATCTAAATAACAAAGCAAAGGGCTCAAGTATTCTAAAACAGAACAACATGTACTAAACTTCTGAGGTAGAAAACAGCATGAGATGCTCAAGAAACAGACACAGGCCAGTATGGTTGGCAGAAAAAATGCAGAGAGGAAGGTGATACAGCAAAGAAAAAATATTGAATGAGAAATCATTAAAGGGTTTTAATCAAGGGAGCAGTATAAATAAAGTTCGACTGTAAAAAGATCACTGGCTGAAGTATGGACCACGGAGAGACCAATTTGGAGGCTATTGCTTCATTTGTCTAAGTAAGAGATGACAGTAAGTTGGACTAAGGTATACTATATAAGGTTCAGTATATACACCAAACTGTTAAAAACTGTAACTTCTGAAAAATGGTAGGAAGCACTATTAACTTTACACTTTATAATACAAGTACAGCCAACAATTACTAAGCATTTATTCTATATAAAGTGCTGTATACATTTTGCAATTTTAAATTCCAACTTGAACAATTTTAAATTACAACTCTTAACAACTCCAAGAGGTAGATATTACTTCCACTTTACAAATGAGAAAAACAGAGGCACAGTAACAGAATAACTGGCTCAAGGCAAAACAGGTAAAAAATAGTGGAACTGAGATTTCAATCTAAGCATTCTCACTCCAGAGTCCCCAATCTTAATCATTATGCTTATACTTCAATATGCCAGCCAATGTTACTTTTGCAGTGAAAAAATAGCTTACAAAAATCACATACCAAGTTAGTTCTGAAGTAGACTGCTGGGTTTGTAATTATCAATCTTAATACGGTCAAGAACATTTATGTTTCACATCTATTAGACTTTTGTAGAAAATAACAAGTAGAGGAAAACATATAGCAAGACAGCCATCAAACTTGTAAAAGATTAACCACAAATTTAGTTCTGCATTTTACTAGCAGTAGATACAGAGGAAAGCTTCTTTGCCTATGCTCAACAGTGATGAACAAGTAAGATGTGTCAGACTCTAGGCAAGATACTACGAATAAAAAAGAAAAATTAATTGCTCAGGAGAAGGCCAGATAGTATAGGCCTAAATCATAAAAGTAATTTTTTTCTGGGTCCTCTTAAATAGAACAATATGTAGCATAGTGAATAAAATTCTCAATATATTAAAAATGAACAAAGGCGTGATGTGAAAAAACTCAGTTTTTATAAGAGTAGTGAGAAAACCAGACCTATGACAGAATAGCAATTTTCAATCCTGGCTACACATTAGAATCACATTGGAAAATTATCAGAACTAACTTTGCCAAGGCCCCAAACCACAGCAGTAATACACCAAATGAGCATCTCTCGAGATGAGGTTGAAGTACTTTTTTAAGCTTCCTACATGAGTCTAATGTGCAGTATGACACAATTCTGAGAACACTCTAAATGCCAGGTCAAGAAGTTTGCCCTTGATCTACCATATGAAAAGTTCTCTAGCAAGGAGAAATTTTTAATGAATTTTAAAAACATAAAAAAAAAAAAATAGGGAAGAAGAGGAGGAGGAGGAGGAGGAGAAGAAAAAGAAATGAAAAGTGTGTACCTGTAAATGGATCAACTCCAGCCATGGTAGTTCCCATATTGGCAGACCCTGGCACATAACGACCACCACCTAAAATGCAGTAACACATCTAATAAGTAAAGGTAACTGCAAATTAAAGTTCAAAATGCTCCTCTCTACACAGAATAACTTATTTTCATGAGTCACAATTCAGAATGGCATCTTTATATACATAATAAATGGGCTATAAATTTGTTTAGAATAGTACCTGGCATATAGTTGGTGACCAATAAATGTTAGCCTTAAAAGTAATTCTCAAATTACAAAATAAACATTAGATGCCTTAAACATTATAATTACAGATGCTAATGAATTAAAAAAGCATTAGTGGATTGGAGAGAAGAAAAAGGTTTTCATAATGCAATGTGAACATGGGGTGACTGGTTGGCAGCTGGTAGAGCACGCAACTCTTGATCTTAGTATTTTAAGTTCCAATCTCACATTGGACAGAGATTACATAAGAAGAAAGCCTTAAAAAATTAAAAACAAAAACTAAATGTGATTATTCTATTGAAATAGGATTAGCTGACACATAAGCAAACAAGAGATTAGTAAGATTTAGGGATGCTATAACAGCGGTCTCATATTTAAGATCCTAATTGAAAATGGAAAGAAAGGAACATGAAAAACAGGTGTAGAGAAAGAATTATCATGATTTGGAGATGTTCAAGTCCTGGATGAGCCTTTGCGAGAAAAGAAAGATGAGCTACTTTTCTAGCCTCTCTGAATTTAATATCTAGGAGCTGATATAACCAGTTTAACATATATAATACTAAAAAAAAAAAACTCACAAAAACTGCAGATGTAAATAAATTAAAATAATGAAGAACACAGAGTAAGAGGCTTTGTTGAGTTTTTACTAATATGCTAGGTAGCATGCTAAGCATCTTTAAGATTTATTATTTAGAGAGAGAGCGTGAGCATTCATGTGCAGTGGGGAGAGGTGGAGGAAGATTGAGAAACCCAAGCTGACTCCATGCTGAGAGTGGAGCCCGAGGTGGAGCTCGATGACCCTGAGATCCTGACCTTAGCTGAAACCAAGAGCCAGTTGCTTAACTGACTATACCACCCAAGTGCCCTGCATGCTAAGCATCTTATATTTATATACTCATTTAAGTATTAGTTAGAAACCATGATTATTAACAATATTTTAGAAGGCTGAAAAACTTGCCCAAGGCTTTAATTATGAGACACAGTACAATCCTACACTTTTCTACATGTGGCTCTCCAACCACCTGAATGAGTCACCTGTTCAACATGCAGATTCCCAGGGCCCACCCAAAACAACCTAGTAGCTCTCCAAATTGGCTTCACTTTAGAAACCTTTTTTTTTTTTTAAGATTTTATTTATTTATTCATGAGAGAGACAGAGAGTGAGGAGGCAGAGACATAGGCAAAGAGAGAAGCAGGCTCTTCGCAGGGAGTCTGATGTGGGATCACGCCCTGAGCCAAAGGCAGAAGCTTAAACACTGAGCCACCCAGGTGTCCCTTCACTTTAAAAACTCATAGGGAGCTTTTAAAATTACCTAACAGCAGACCAAACAACAAAAGAACATTTAATCAGAATCCATGGGTGAGGGATCAGGGCATGAGTGATTTTAACCTCCTCACCAACCCAGTGTATCAGATTATCTCTGTGAGAAGGACCTTGTGATGAGATAAACAAGCATCCTAGATGATTTGAATGGACATTAGAAATTTGAGAACCACATAAATAGGGAAGAGAAAAGAGAATTAAGATTGACCTTAAGTCTTAAGGTAAATGGGAAAAACTCTTTGTCCCAGGGCTACTGGTTAAATTGGGGGAAAATATACTAAAATATACTGAGGGCCTGCTTAAATATAGTTCAGGCGTTTTGTTAAACACTTCACATGTACTGTACCATTTAATTTTCCTAACAGCTCAATATCAGGTCTGTTATCTATTTTTGATAATTGTTCAGTTAGGCTCAGTTATCCTAATAATTCCATAATTCTCTTGGATATTTGGCATGCTATCTTGCATATCTCCATTATCACTGAATTTTCTGTGTTACTGACATTGCACAACAGTAAGACATGTTCCAGTGATGATGGCCCCAGGAGTTCTCTTAATTTTGTTGGTATTGTTTGAAGCTTGGTATGTTTCTTCTGTTCCAAGAAAAAGGTGCTAATGAGATCTAAGAACTCTGTTGTTCTACGTTTCAGGGCATCACTATGTCTGAGTAAATCATCACTTTATTTACTTTTCGGATCCTTACTACCTTTTCAAGTTGCATTATGTCATCAAAGATTTCCTTAATAACCATTGTGCTATCATAACATTTAGCTTGGTCTTGATGGTTGGTTATTATAGCATACTGGTTACCAGTGCACAAGGTACAGCTACGTGCATCAAGGCCACCAATTCATTCACAGGAGAGAAGCAGCTCACTGAGAACGATTCACAACTTCATGAGACTGACTGAAGGTTGTGTGTTGCTCCCAGTTATGGTTTAGACAGGTATCTATATTGGCAAGGCCAGTGGATACCATTAAGTGCCAAAAATCTCTTTCCAAATTGGGTATATTGTCTAGAAACTCTGGCTGCTGATCCAACAATAGCATCATAAAATACATCAAAAGCTATTCTGAAAACAGAGACTTCTTCAGCTGCATTCAAGTCCAAGCTTGGCAATTTTTTTCCAGTACCGTTGATGTCGAGGCATGCATACCTTGATAAATAAAGCCACTGTGAAGAGATACACCAACACTTCCAGGGCTTCATGAAGGCCATTAATAACAAAGGCTAGAAGACTAATCCTGGGTGGACTTGTGTCCTCCCACGTTAATGCAAAATACACCTGAACAGGCTTCTTGACTGCACTGCATCATCCAGTGGCAGGGACTCACATGGCTCCTTCTTTGCTTGTGATCAGTAGAATCTTGCCAGTAATAGCACTCATGCTGTGTCTTGGTTGCTGGGTTCCCCTATTATCTAATTTCACAGATAAAAAAATTAGGCTCAGACAGGTTAAGCAACTTGCCAACTTCTCATAGCAAGTAAGTGGTAGAGCCAGATTTTGAATCAAGGTCTATCGACTCTAAAAACTATGCCCTTAATGACTCTTGCTCTCCTTGCAGGAAGGACCACTGGAGAAAACGGTGAGTTCTAACAATATGCTATGTAAGTCATAAGAAGAACTACAAAACACTCCAGGAAAAAGCAAAAGTTAGAAGTTAAAGAAAAGGAGATGAATCAAAATTAGAAATATAGATAAGGGAATTATTAATTATTGGGTGATGTCTCCAAAATGTAAAGCCATATACTGCAAAATGCTATTCATTAAGTGAAGAAAGATGTATTTATCAAAACTTCATCCCACCTGTAAAAGGATCTGCTGCAGGAAGCATGTTAGAAGATCCTGATGAAGACCCTGGAACATACCGACCACCACCTATGCATGCAAACAAAGGAAAAGCTGAAGAATGCCAAAATTTTGAATTTCACAAATAACACAATGCTTATATTAGAAGACTCCAAGCTTGGAGAAAAAACAGAAGAGCAACGCTGTCACATGAGAGAATAACAGAAATTAGTCAGCAGTCTTACAATAGGAAAGACTACTAAGAAACTAAAACTTCAGTGATTCTCCAACTTTCTTTTTCTCACCTTTACTACTTTATTAAGTGTTAGCCACTGCCCTTAAATATTAAAATAACTAGAAATTCAAATATAAAAGGAGAAATTACAAGTGGTCTCTGACCTCAATAATATACATATATAATCAGTTCCTGTTCCTACACAAATTCACTAGAATTCCTGCTGCTGCTGTTGCCATCAAAACCATAGGCATCAAATGTTAATCTTTTAAAGAACCCCGAGTTCATTAACTCATCTGTCAAATAGTGCATTCAGTGCTAGGGATCCAGCAGGGAACAAGATTGCTTGTATCCACTGAAGCTTACAACCTACTAGAGAAGAGAATTACAAAGGCAATGAGTGTCACAAAGGAAAGAGATTTCCAATTTTACTCTTATAAATGTGTGGTATGTGTGAGTATATGTTCTGTTAGCACCTCTAGGGAAATAATCAGAGGCATCTACAGTAAGATATATGTAAAAGATATATATGAAAGGATGCATATAAAGTTATGCTTCATGAGATTATGCAGCATGAGATTCAGGAGAGGAAAAAAAAAAAAAGCCAGGGTTAAGATTTCCATATGGAGCCAGCTGCTCTAATATCTGTCTTCTGCTCCACAAAATAGCTTACACAAGACTATACTCATGTGTTCACTCTTTTGTACTGTAGTCTGAAATTCCATCAACAGAATACCCAGATATTAAACATATTTTTTTTTCCCTGTCAAGTGCAACTACTGGGAGGGGTTACATCACTTATATTCAGTAGTGAGTCAGTCTGGTAATTCTGTTTAAGTCAACATGCAGGGGACATTAACTTTATTAGGTGAATGGGCAATGGAATTCTGAACTAGAGAAGGTGGATATAACTTAGGAGCATAAAGTACCTGTGAGGGAAGAAGAAAAAAAAAAGATCTACGTAAGTACTTACATAGGAAGGGATATGGAATCCTTGTAAAACAAGGAAGCGTACTAGCACGTGAAAAATGAAGTGAGAAATGACAGTAGGAAAACATTGACAATAACGTGCTAATTTTAGAATTTTATTTAGAGCTCGCTCTGTACCTAAGAAAAACGGAAGCATTTTATTTCCTCCTGTACCATGGCCTCAATTCCCAGGCCCCAAAACTCAGGCTAGTACAACTAGTCTTATAATCCATTTCCTAGGAATCAAGAGCCAGACTAATACTGCTAGGATTATATCCAGGGACATTTATAATATCTTTTCCCTTTCCTGTCTCCCCTCAAGTCTCCATTTATAACATTCTAGACACTGTATACTGTTATAAATAACTGACTTTAAAATCATTATGTGGAATACAAATCACATGTAAAGTAAAACTACTCATAGTCCAGGCCTAGATTTGATGCCCAACTAACCAACTTAGCCTCACATGAAAAAAGAATTTGTTTAGTAAAATCCACCAAAATTTGTATTTTTAAAAGGAGTAACCATCTAAAGGAACTTCTAAGTTTCTTTTCATTTCAAATGACTAACTTAAATTTCATAATTTTGTTTAGTTTACAGTGTAGCTGTATTTTTGAAAGGGAAAAGGGGCACCTGGGTGGCTCAGTCTTGATTTCAGCTCAGATTATGATCTTAGGATTTCCAGATAGGTCCTGCATCAGGTTCCGTGCTCAGTATGGAGTTGGCTTGGGATTCTTTCTCTCCCCCACCTCCCTTTCTCTCGCTCCCTCCCTCACTCTGCACATGCACAGTCTCTCCCCATCTGCTCTAAAATAAATGAGTAAGGCAGAATCTTGAAACGACATACAACTGTTTCTATAAATACAGAATTACTATGTAATTTGAGGTTTAAATACATGAATTTAAAGTAAAAGCCTGCTACAGATCTTAGGTCTTAGTTTTTACTTCAATAGCTAATCATAGTGCATGTTTAAACACATTAAAAACAAACAAACAAAATATCAACCAATGCTGATGAAAGTACAGAAGACTTAATATAAACCCTAACTTACCTGTAAAAGGATCTGAAAAACTGGTATTCCCAAGTCCTAACATTTGACCTTTTGTGTTATCAATAATAAATTTAGCCACTTGATCCAAAAACATGGGATTCAAATCATTCTTCTGTAAGAAGTTGTATGCAGTTAACCATGGATCATCACTGATGTTATATGGCAATTTATATGATGGTCCACCTTCATTGACATCAATTGAGAAAACATAATCAAATTCCTTCAATAGGAATACAAAAAGGAGATAAATGATTACTAACTTATCTGTTCATATTAATAACATATATATCACGGATGTTATGTGTCCTTTTTAAGATAATTATTATAATAAACTTTCTCCAAAGTGCGAAGTTAAAATCTTCCACTTGGCATATGATGATTGATAGCAACCATCTGCATGTGCTGCAAGATTAGCATTTCACTAGGGGTGGAGGCAGGGGATGTATTACAACTACACATTAATTCTTTTTTTTTTAATAAATTAATTTTTATTGGTGTTCAATTTACCAACATACAGAATAACTCTAAGGCTAAAGAAGGGTTTCCAATTGGTTGATCTAAAGGCCAAAAGTATTAAATGTTACCATGCCCCACTCAGCAAAACATGCTGGCATTACAAGCACTGCCCTGCAGGGTCCGTATATCTTGCTAAGTTAAATATAGCTAGGCACAAAGCACTAGGTAAAAGATGGCATAGAAGCTTCTAATCCAAAATGATTGGGAACAGTTTACTCATGTTAAGTACCAAAGACAAATAGTAGTTAATCTATCAAATACAGCTCCTACATGGAAAGAGCTTTTCTAAAAGTCAAGTTCAAGGCAGGAAGAGAAAATAATCTCCAAAGAAATAGATTTTAATGTTAAATTTAATTAATGGGCAAAAGTGAAAAAGAAAACCATATGCTTTAAGATAATGGTAATTAGAAAGTAGAAGTTGACATACTTTCCCTTCATATAAGACTTTTCCAGATGTTTGCTGATTAGCACCAGATGAGCCAACAACATCACCAATTTTTATCCACCTCCCTTCACTAACACTCCATTGATAGGCTTCGACTTTCTCCCCATCTCTGATTAAACGAGTCTGTCCTTCTCTAGTGCCTAAGAATAAAACATTTAAGAATCAAAGGTAGAATAGCAAAGTGAAATTCAAATCCATTTAGATTAAAAAAAAATAAGTTAACTTTAAAATTTACACAGAAAAGAGAATATGTATTTGTTTTAATGAAAATTTTATTAAAAGATTTAAAAATGTTCCTCTACCGGAAAGTGGCCCAAAACAAACTTAATGGTTAAAAGGAACCTGTATTAAATAAAGCAAGGTTAAAAAAGTATGTTTCTACTAGAAAGGAGCCCACTAAAAATAAAACAAGTTTTATTATTGAATATCTTCTGACAACATTTTCATTTTAGTAAATGACTCTCCACATTTCTAGCTTCTCAGGCCACAAAGTAGAGAAGAGTCTGATTCCTTTTCCTGGCATTACAAGCACTGGCTTGCAGGGTCCCTCATAGCCATCCTTCAGCAAATCCTATCTGTTCTATCTTTAAAAAAGATCTAGAAAATTATCTCTTCTCACCATCTTCATTTCTACCCAATGGTACAAGCCATCATCATTTCTCAGCTGGGCTGATTTAATGGCCTCCTACTCTTGCCCTGGGGCTTCCTACAATCTATATTCAACCCAGCAACCACAAAAATTCTTTCAAAAGTTGAAAGCGCTCCTGCCACTCCTCTGCCGGAGACCCTTCAGTAACGTCCCATCTCTCTCGGTTAAAGCCTAAATCCTTGGAATGAGGAACAAGGCCAAATACATCATTCTTCTGATTTCACCTTCTACTACTGCTCCTCTCAACCCATCTTCCCACTTCAGCCATGGAGTCTCTACATTGGCTATTAATTCAGCCCATGACACCTTTCACACAGATGTTGGCAAGATTTGCTCCCTTGCCTCCTTAACAACTTGAATGTCATCTTCTCAGCAAAGCCTTTAGTGGCAGAGACAGCCAGGTGTCCTCCAGAGATTCATGCATCTATTCCATAGGATAGAGCTGTAGCTGTAGCTATAGCAAGGTGAAGTTCCTAGATGTCACACACTGAGAAGTGATCAATGGAATCTGAGTGGCTATGATCTGAGCCAGTTCTAGGCCTAGGCCATCATCCTCTACCATTTTCTTCCATTCTGTCTGATGGCTGAATGTTTCTACAAAAGAGAACATTGGAAGCTTCATGCTGAGGATGGTGGTTTCAATCAACCTGGGTCCCTGAATGGCCACAAGGAGCAAAACTGCTCTACAAACATGCTTACATACCTTGCCATCAACTGAGCTTTGAATGTGCAACAAATAAACTCCTCTTGTATTAAGTCACTGAGATTTTAAGAGTTTATCTGTTACAGCAACTAATGCTATCCTAAGTATTACATATTTCCTGATTACTGTATTTAAAATTACAAAATACCCAATTCTTGCTTTATTTCCCATGGTACTTACCACTATCTGACATATATTTACTTAGTTACTTTTTAATTATCTGTTTCCTGTAGAACATAAATTTATGAGAACAGAAATTTTTGTTCCTCTTATTATTCACTATATTCCCCAGAGCTTAGAACAACAGCATACACTGGGCACTTAGCAAGTATTTACTGCAGAGGTGTGTGTGTGTGTGTGTGTGTGTGTGTGTGTAGTGACAGACTATATTTTTGTAAAGAATTGTAACAATATTAAAAACATGACAGTATAATGCATTAATTCCCAAACTTTTGATTTCAAGATTTCTTTACAGTCATAAAAGTTATTAAGAATCCCAAAGAACTTTTATTAACATGGGTTATATCGATTGATTTACTAGATTTGAAATTAAAAATAAAAAAGTAAATATATCCTTTAAAGGAAAACAATAATAGATCTATTATATAGTGAGCAAATAACATTTTACTGTTTTAATGAAAAATAATAATAGTTTTAGAAATTTATTCAGAAGACTGGCATTGTTTTATGTATCTGTAAATCTCTTTACTGTCTCTCTTAATAGAAGACAGATTATCATACCTGCCTCTGCATTTAATCTGCTCCAATACGTTTTGTTTGAAGTATATTAAGAAAATCCAGGGGATCCCTGAGTGGCTCAGCGGTTTAGCGCCTGCCTTCGGCTCAGGGAGTGATCCTACAGTTCCAGGATCGAGTCCCGCATCGGGCTCCTTGCATGGAGCCTGCTTCTCCCTCTGCCTGCCTCTCTGCCTCTCTCTCTCTCTCTCTCTCTCCGTCTCTCATGAATAAATTTAAAAAAATCTTTAAAAGAAAATCCAACCTCACACAGATAGTATAATTGAAAGAAAAAGCTCTAGTATAATAGCCTTTTCAGAAAGATGTGAATATTCTACAAGTAGTAGGTCTTTCAAGGTTATAACTTAGAATCTGAAACCATACCAGTGCATTTTTCATGCTCTATTAAGCACTAAAATCCACTGGACTATCTTATAAGCTCCTGGTGGCGGATACAAATTTTTCAAAATTTCAATTTTCACTTCAGAGTTTTGAATTTTATCTTTGGCAATAAATACTGTCCGTATTTTCCTCAAAGTGACACACGGTAATTTTGTTCTTTTTCAAAAAAAATGTCTGCCCCAAACCCAAGCTTGAATAACCATAGTTAATTGTTCTTTGAAATAAATATAGCATTTCATGGAAAAAGATCAACATGAAACTCAAAGAAATGCACAAGTACTTATCCTTGAGACACCATGGTACCTTGGAGTACTTTATCTGTATTTCACATTTTGTCAACAAGAATATTAAAAAGGATATGTACTAAAGGGTCAAGATGTAGTAAAATTAATTTTTAATGCTTAATCAAGGATATTCTTTTTTTTTTTAAGGTTTTATTTATTTATTCATGAGAGATCCAGAGAGAAAAGAGGCAGAGACAGAGGCAGAGAGAGAAGCAGGCTCCATGCAGGGAGCCCGATGCAGGACTTAATCCCGGGTCTCCGGAATCGTGTCATGAGCCAAAGGCAAGCGCCAAACTGCTGAGCCACCCAGGCTGCCCCATGAAGGATATTCTTATGGGCAAATGGCTTTTTAGTTATTTTTTCTTAATACAACTACATGCTAGAGAAGAGCATAATAACTACCAGAATAGTCTGGTGCCATTGCCTTGATTTGTATACAAGGAACCAGCAGTTCTTTTTTTTTTTTTAATCCACCACTGCTTTTGAATCATTAGTGCAAATATTAACAAAGTGGAAAAGTCAAATAACAGCTTAGTGTTATAAAATTAGTTTGACTTTATGGACATCCCAAAAGAGCCTCAGAATTCCTAAGGGTCTGTAGACCAAGTTCTGAGAACCACTGATATAATGGATCAGGCATATATCTAGATTTCACTTGAAATAATCACCATCCTCTGATATAAACTCAAATGATCTCCAACTCATTAAGCAGACATTGCTTTATTTGAACTCATTTTTAATCTATATAACCTCTCTCAGAGAATCCAATCAACTGAAAGGTATTAAATGAGTGACTTTTGAGTACCTACTGTATATGAGCTAAGTACTAGGAGATTTATTTGAAACAAAAATAGGATTCCTGTTTATGAGGAGTTTATTAGCTCACAGTTTTAAAACTATGAGACAGAGGCAAGAATATGGTTTCTCACAGTGGTTAACAGTAAAAATTCTAAAAAAATCCCCATCTAGCAATGAGAATAACACTTTAATGCCAGCAAAAGAACCTCTTTTTTTCTTATCATTCTAATTATTCTGAAAGGCGAACGTGTTAGCATTTTTTATTACTATATACGCTGAAGTATTTACCAGGTTCATTCAGATGTTCCCTCCCAGGAAGCTGCTCGGCATTAATGTCCCCTAAATCACCAGTTTTGGAATCAATGGTTGCCTGAGAGAGTTCTTTTTCAAAAGCCTTGATTTCTTCAGTACTTGCTATCCGATCCTCTGATTCTGTAAACACTCTAATAATACCATCGCTATAAGGAAAAAAACAAACACATCTGAAGTCATTGCCATAGTGCATGAACATTATTACACCTGAATGAATGATCCAAAGCAAAAATAATCTGTATTTTATGAATATGAAAAACATTATTATGTATTTATGGCTGAGTAGAGCACTATGCTAACTTCACACACTATCCTCTGTTGCTTCCTAAAGCCATGTTTAGGGTAAAAAAATATATAATTTAAGGGAAAAATCACTGGCAAAGAACAGAGAAATATATATTTGACACAATTTTGAATTCCAAGTTCAGTACTGAGCATCATAAAAATCTAGAGACATTCATATACACTTCAAGTCAATATTATATAAGTACAAGACTATAAAGAAGGACAATGTGTTGGTTTGATTTGTACAAAGGGTTCAAATACTCAATACAAAGCTTAGAAAATAGTAGATGCTCATTATCTGTCCATTCGGAAAACATGGAGTCCATCTTTACTCTGATTAACTAGCGATGTAATCCTAATCAGGAAAATACCAGCCTTGCCTTGGACTAGACAACCCCTATGTTTGGGTAGGAAAGGCAAGTTAGCCACTTTCAAATTCACTAATCCTGCTCAATTCTACAGAGAACTTGGTTTTGTAGTTAACCTTCTACTAACAGGAACTTCACCCTTTCAGTTTGTTCATTTTTCTTCAACTTTAAATATGCTTAGGGAGAAAATGACTAAGCCAACAAATCTATCCTTCGCCCAGCCAAAAAGTAAGTTACCTTGATTCTATTAGGACCTCCATCCTTTATAGTTGCTGCTTTTTTCCTTTGCCTTCCATGGCAGATCTGGCATGAGGGTGGCTCATCCCCACTCAGACCTCAGAAGTCTACAACTGAGGTCCTCATCTTCTGGACCACACCAATTCTCCCACTGCCCCAATTTATTAATGCAATCACCAAAGTTAGAACCTTTTTCATTCATCCTTCTTCTGATCATTCTTCCTCTGCAATATCTTGTATTTTGGCCTTTTATCTGTTACCACTGTGAGGATATTATTTCATAATGACACATCCCTACTACTGTAACTGCTTTCTAAATTGCTTTCCTGTCCACTGTCACCACTAGTTAAATTCAGCCTATGTATGTAATAATTCACAGGTTATGCTTTAATCACGTCACTTCTTCAAAAGCTAGAACTCTTTACCCCAAGCACGGAATCTAAAAAATGCCCAGCATTCAAGGTTCCCCACTTTACTGCCTTACCACCTTATCAGTAATCCCTACTATTTCCCAGCATGAGTCCTCTACTATTTTCCTTCATTTTCCACACACATCTGACTCTTGGGCCCATGCTACACCTTTATTCATACTATTTGTTTTGAGAGAAATTCTCATTTCCCTTCTTACTCAGGATCTTTCAATACTAAATTCAATTTTTTTCTTCTTTCTTCATAAAGTTTTTCCACACTAATCTCTTTCTCCAATTTCTTTTGTTTTCAATGTTTTGACTGCACAACCTGCAGTATAAGACCGGTGTAATGTAACATTTATCACTGATGTAAAAGTTGTCCTGCCTAGTACTGTTTTTTCAGTCCAGATACACACATATGATTTCCCAATTCACCTGAAGCTCCCTCAGTTTATCTCTGTGCACTAGAGAGTCCACCAGAGGCCTAGATACATGATATTTATTGACTGACTAGAATATAAATACCTCGCACCAACCACAATGTCACCATTGTCTAGAACACAGCAGCACCATATAGACTGAGCTGGAAGTCGGATTGTTTGAGCACATTCCCCATGTTTCCAGATTCTTAGAGATCTGTCTTCTGCTGTTGTCACAAAATCTAAAATTAATGAATATAGGTAAAATTAGCTTGAGTAAATAAAATTAAATATATTATATACCATTTTTCTAGGAAGGCCTAAGAATACTTTTTAACCCCACACTATTTTAGTTTTACATTTTATGTATTTATCACTTATACACATACAACTTCAAAAATCACATTTTCTACATTTCACACCTTACATATTATATACTTTGCACCAATTATACAGTCTTTCCTTAAATACTCAAAAAACTTTGACATAACCACCAAATGTGAATATAAACATGATCACATAATTTTCTCCTTCATGAGAAGATGCTTATGAGATAAAGCTACTAAATTATTCAAATCACAGTAAACTGATTTAAGTAATTAGCCCTCTTACCCCCACCTCAAGAATGGAACAATGCTCAATACAAAATTTGAAATGCATATTATGTGCTAATCTTACCTCTACAATTTGGAAAGACAGATATGCTATAAATATAATTGGTATGTCCATAATATACTTCAAGACACTCGCCAGTGATTTGCCACCTTCTAATACTAGCATCATTTGCACAGGAAAGAAATTCTGCTTCACTCAAAATTGCTAAACCTCTTACACAGTCTTCATGCCCTATATTAAAAGAATAATATAAACCAGTTAAGATAGATAATTTGGTTGATGGATCTATGTGTTTAACTAACATTATAAAACATAATCAGTGAGTAGTAAAAACCAATTCTCAAGGCAGAGAAATTCATTTTTTTCTGTAGGAAAGCCTGGTAATAAAAATTGGTTATTTTAGGTTTACAATATTTTTTATTACCAGTCTTTGGAAGTTATTTACATTTATTTTATCTTCTGTAAATTACTTCTTAAAGCTCTCCAGAAAGAAGATTCTGATCCCAACAATTCTTTTTTTTACCTGACAATTCATTTTCAACTTTTCATCCCCCAAAACAAGAGTAATCTATAACAAACAAAACATTCAAACATGACAAATAGCCTGTAAATTTCTCACCACATAATACTAAAATTAACATTTATAAGGCACTAATGAAAATTAAGAATTAAATCATAAAAAAGATCTCAATTATTTAAGAATTTGAAATAAAAACTATCAAAAAAGGTAAACTTTATTAAATTATGAAAGAATAGGTTGAGAGGGCAGCCCAGGTGGCTCAGGGGTTTAGCGCCACCTTCAGTTCAGGGCCTGATCCTGGAGATCTGGGATTGAGTCCTACGTCAGGCTCCCTGCATAGAGCCTGTTTCTTCCTCTGCCTGTGTCTCTGCCTCTCTCTCTCCCTTTCTCTCCCTGTGTCTCTCATGAATAAATAAATAAAGTCTTTAAAAAAAAAAAAAAGAATAGGTTGAGAGAAATTAACTTTTCTGAAACCATACAACTAGTGGAAAAGCTAAAACAAGAATCCAAGTTTCCTGCCTTATAATCCCACTTCTTTTGATTCAACAAAACACAAATAAAAAACAAACATTACTGCTTTATTAACAAAAACATTTCATAATATATACAAATACAAGCATTAAAATGATACAATAAAAACTAATGATCAAGTTTTTTAAAGGCAGTATTTTATGGAATAAAGTTCATTATATTCTTAATTATGTAACTAGAAAAATACATATATTCCATTAATCAAAAGATTTAAAATATTTTTAAAACTTCATAAAACTCAATTTCTCTTAATGTTAATTGAGGCAGTACAGAAGATATTACTTTTTTTTTTTCCCCCAAGGGACAGAAAATTCTCTGAAGCTTATGATCTAATAAAAGAGATCAGGAATCAAAAATATTTCCCATGCTCAGTATTTGCTGTTCAACCAAGTTATTGAAGATTAATGACAACTTGATAACATATGTTGTATGTACAGAAGCAGGAACACAGTGATGCTTAGTTATAACTTGTCCATCTACAAATATTTTTATCTGCACAAAGGGACTTCTTGAAAGTATTTCCCAGACTAGTGATCAACTTTCAAGGAAAAATAAAAGAGAAGAAAAACAACAAAAGGGGCAGTCACGGTGGCTCAGCAGTTTACCACCGCCTTTGGCCCAGGGCATGATCCTGGAGACCCGAGGTCGAGTCCCACGTTGGGCTCCCTGCATGGGGCCTGCTTCTCCTTCTGCCAGTGTCTCTACCTCTCTGTCCCTCTGTTTCTCATGAATAAATAAAAAATTCACAACAAAAATTTAATTGCTCCACAGATAAATCAGCAATACCAGTATCAGTAAGCAGATGCCTCAGTGCAGGAGTTATTTAATAGGTGAGGTTCAAAAAGACCAACCACCTAAAATCCCAACGTGAGTCTGAAATTTGTTATTACTAAATAATGTACTTCAAAACTCACAAAAGCACTAATGATGTCTTCCTCTATATATGAAATTAACAATAGTGACCCACTATTCATAAAGCTTATACTTGGGGCACCTGGGTGGCTCAGTCAGTTAAATGTCTGCCTTCAGCTCAGGCCATGATCCCAGAGTCCTGGGATTGAGTCGTCCCACATCAGGCTGTCTGCTCTTGCTTCTCCCTCTGCCCCATTGCCTGCTTATATACATGCTCGCTCTCTCCACTCTCTCAAATAAATAAATCTTCAAAAAAGAAGATTATGTTATATATTATTATGTTTGGAAGTTTCAGGCTGAACTTGTTAAATCAAAAATTTATACCATATTATAATCTCATCAAGTAGCCATTTATTAGTACACATCTAGTTGTTTTACGGGAGGTCTCATATCTTTTACAAGATTTTAAATATTGTCAGAAAAATTACATTTACCCAAATTAAATGATTCAAATACTGATGTTTCTCAAATGCCATTTTCTTCTAAACTTTTGAGAAAACACCACTGGAGTGAATATGAAATGATAAGACTATAAAAGTTGTCTACTCTGATCTTACCTGAAAAAGTCCTCTCACACCTTCCAGCTTTCCACAGTTTAATAGTCTTGTCTGCTGATCCAGTTAACATTAAGCCCTGCTCAGGTAAGATCTTTACTGCCCATACTGCAGCTGTATGACCCTGTGAGTGAAACAGGAATTAATATAGGTTGCCACAGAATCATCACACTTAGTTATCATGTAGAACATTCACAAAGAACTACTATTATACCTGTAAGGTCATCATGCACTTGTCATTCAGCCAGACTTTAGCAGTGGTGTCCCATGAGCCACTCAGTAATGTCCCAAATTTTCCAGATGAAAGACTACAAACTGAAGGGGGAAAAGGCATTAGTTAATACAGTGTTATATAGAAAAATGTTCAACCTTGCTGGTTATTAAGGCATTGCAATTTTATTTTTTTAATTTTTTAAAGATTTATTTATTTGAGAGAGAAAACACTTCTGCAAAGAGAGAGGGAGAGAAAATCTCAAGCAGACTCCATACTGAGTATGGAGCCCGACACGGGGCTCGATCTCACAAGCCTGAGAACACGACCTGAGCTGAAACCAAGAGTTAGACACCTAACTGTGCCACCCTGGAGCTCCCAAAGCACTGCATTTTAAAAACACTTTCTGAACTGAGAATACCTTGGCTAGTTAAGCTTACTGAATGGAGATGAAAAAGAGTGTAGTGATCAAGAGTAGACTCTGCACAGGAATGTCTGGGTACAAGTTGAGGCTGTACAACTTATGACTGTCTGACCAAGGGACAAACTTAGATTCCTCATCTGTAAAATGAGAAGCAGGATCAAAGGGGTTGCACAGTGCCTTCTGGTTATAAAAAACTACACAGAAAGATAATGTAAATAATTTTGAAATGCTGTTTATACAGATATTTAGTCTAGTTTTTTTTAAAGATTTTATTTATTTATTCGTGAGAAACATATAGAAAGAGAGAGGCAGAGATATAGGCAGAGGGAGAAGTAGGCTCCCCTCAGGGAGCCCAATGTGGGACTTGATCCCAGGACTCCAGGATCATGCCCTGGGCCGATGGCAGGTGTCAAACTGCTGAGCCACCCAGGCGCCACCCAGGTGACCCGATATTTAGTTAACATAACAAAAAACCCACAAAACACTTCAGCCCAGCTAAATATTCAAGAGTAACGAATAGGTAATTAAATGTCTTATTATCTTAATGTAAAATTATATAAGCTAAAAATTAAACATTTGAAAAATTATCTAAAAATACAGAAACAAAAGACAGTTCTGGTTAAAAATGGCCGATTGTTGGGGCAACTGGATGGCTCGGTTGGTTGAGCGTCTGACTCTTGATTTTGGCTCAAGTCATTTTCTCAGGTCCTGGGATTGAGCCATGTGTCAGGTTCCATGCTCAATGAGGTGTCTGCATGAGATGCTCTCTCCCTCCCCCCAGTCATACGCTTGCTTACTCGCTCACTCTCAAATAAGTAAATCTCTCAAAAAAATTGGTAGATTGTTCAGAGTAAAGCTATCAATGGTGTTAATCCATAAGGACAAAGAAAACAGAAAACAACATAATTGACTTAGCAAAATGGTGGACGTTATAATTTAAACACCCACAGAAAAAGACCAAAATCAAGTGACTCCCCCAGGGAATTCTCATGAAACTCAATTTCCAGCTACTAGGTTTGATGGAGAATGGGCTAGGCAGAGGACTTAAATGCAGATCTCTCATTTCAGTCTACTGTGTCGGGAAAGTACAACCTCATCTACTGCAGGAAACTCAAGGTTTATTCACTGGAGGAACTGAAGCACAGTTTGCAGATTCAAGAAGTCAGGTAAAATAAAGGTCTGGAATAAGAAGCCCCATGAAACACAAGGGAATATAAATGGAAAATCTTCATTCCTTCTCCAATACCAGCAGCCAGGCAAGAGGCAGGAGAATTCTGCTCTAGAAGACTGAATAATGCTAAAGAATTTCAGATAAAGACATGTAAAAGGGTGTCCCATCTAAAGGTCAGACCACCATCAAATTGCCTTCTAATGAAGCCCAGCAATCACCAAGCTCCATCTACACAAGCTAAAAAAATTTCAACTTCTTTATACCTTATTCTTAAACATGAGCAGCCAATTTAATATCAACAACCATTTAATCAAAGTCTCCAACATGAAAGAGAAAAATCCAAACATAAAAATAAGGGGGAAAGGGGTAAGCAATCCAGAAGAGACAAACCCAACTTCAGGAAGCAAAGGAGGCAGGGAGGGCACCTGGGTGATGGAGTCAGTTAAAGCATCTGACACTTGGTTTTGGCTCAGGTTGTGATCTCAGGATCCTGAGACTGAGCCCCACGCTTAGTGTGGAGTCTGCGTGAGACTCTCTCTCTCAGATATTAAAAAAAAAAAAAAAAAAAAAATTTTTAAAAAGGAAGCAAAAAACAAAAAAATGAATACTATAATATTTGCAAATAGATATTATATAAGAAAAGAAATGAGAGAACACGAAAAATAAAAGCTAAAAGTAGAAGAACCCAGGCCAAAATTAAATGACACTAGGAAAAACAAAGTCTCCCAGAGAATTAGACTAAAAAGAAACAAAAAATGAAAAAGTTTAAACAGTCAGAAAATAATTTCAGAATGTTCAATATCCAACAAATAGGGATTCTAGAAATAGATAATAGGGACAGGGTAGAGAGGACAAAGAAACAGTACAAAAGAAAGATTCTCAAAAGTGAAGGACATGAATGTCTAGATTCAATGAACCCACAAAGGTGCCAAATGAAAGGCACTTTCAGAGACAGAGATACATTGTGAAAATTTGTATCATCAGAAATAGACAAGATCTAAAAGCTTACAAAGAGACCAGAAGTATGTTCTACAGAGAAGATGGGAAATTAGAACAGCACCAAACTTTTCAGTTAATACCTTACACTAAAGGCCAATAGAGCAATGCCTTCAAAATTCTGAGATTTGGGATCCCTGGGTGGCTCAGTGGTTCAGTGCCTGCCTTCGGCCCAGGGCGTGATCCTGGAGTACCGGGATCAAGTCCCACATTGGGCTCCCTGTGTGGAGTCTGCTTCTTCCTCTGCCTGTGTCTCTGCCTCTCTCTGTCTCTCATGAATAAATAAATAAAATCATTAAAAAAAAAATTCTGAGATTAAATAGTCTTAACACAGGATTTTACATCTAGCCAAATTAACAATCAAATGTAAGGAGAGAATACAGTCGTTTTCTAGTATACAAATATATTTAGCCCCTATGTCACAGCTTTCTTAAGCTGTGATAGCTGTATTACACCCAAACAAAAGTGTAAGTTAAGAATGAGAAAAATATGAGAATTTTTTCTAGGAAATACACTGGCAAAGGGAAACCAGGGTTGACATCAGCCCAGAACATCAATCCAACGCTAGGCCTGAAGAGGTTAAGTTTCCAGGAAAAACACAGAACAGATAATATTGTGATGTGTGTGGTAGCCATTAGTGATATTCATCAGATATTTTGTGCTCTTTACCTTCCAAACAAATGGTAATATTGACCTTGCCCAGTTGTCTTGGCTTTAGGCATGCCTTGTGACTTGTTCTGACATTGAAAGATGAGCAGAAATGTTTTTTTTTTTTTAAGATTTTATTTATTTATTCATGAGAGTCAGAGAGAGGGAGAGAGGCAGAGACACAGGCAGAGGGAGAAGCAGGCTGCATGCAGGGAGCCTGACATGGGACTTGATCCCGGGTTTCCAGGATCACGCCCTGGGCTGAAGGCTAAACCGCTGAGCCACCAGGGCTGCCCAGATGAGCAGAAATGTTATTTGGCCGGTGAAAGCTTAAAGGACAGGTACACGATTAAGCCATGTTCCCTCTCTGCTGCTCCAATGTCTGTGAAAGCACATACTGAGATGAAGCATCTGTCATCCTAGATCCCTGCAGAGTTCTACAAAGCAGAGCCCCCTGCTGCACTGCACTAGATGTGTAACTAGCAAACTTTCATTGTATTAAGCTCCAGCAATTCTGAAGTTGTCTGCTACCACAATGTCAATTAGCCTGATTTAGAAATTGGTAGCACAAGCCAGGCCCTGATGAAACAAGAACCCACAAATGGCATTAGCTTAATGGGCAGGTGGTGAGGAGGACACTAATCAGAGAGTGGAAGTGTAGTAATCCTTATGCAGTGAGGGATATCTGGTAAAACTGCTGCTCGCAAGAACCCAAGACATGATAAACTAGCAGCTCTAAAGAAAGAGGTTGGAAAATGGGACTTCAGTGATAGGTGTCAGTATCAGCTACATCTAAGTACTAAAATAATGGAATGAGAACAAGACATGGCTGGTTCTCAAGCAGGAATGGAGTCAGAAACTTAAGGACTTGCGGGGTTAGAAGAACCAATTGCTTCTCAACCCCAAATGATAAAATACCAACCTGAGAAGGCCTTTTAGCAGCAAAGGACAACTGAAACTAAGTCATGCAAGAGGAACAAATAAAAAACATGACCAGCATGTACAGTGCCAAAATTTCTAAGTGGATTTTAAGTATACCCAAAGCAAAGAAAATTAGGTTGTCACCATGAAAATAATTGCCTTCAGCTGAACAAATGGCTCAGGGAAAAGAACTTGAGCGTGCAGCTTCCCACTGAGGTCTGACAGGCTCATGGCCTCAAGAGTAAAATCCGGAAAGGCATGTACGGAAAGAGGAAAGGAGAGAGGGGGAGAAATACAACAAATCAGACTACAACTGAGGGTACGGCTATTGACACAGAGGTCTGACTAGAACCAAATGGGCAAGAAGCCAACAAGAGAGTTGCACTGCCAAGAACTAAAAGAAAGTCTGTGACTGTTCAAAACTTAAAATGACCCCTAAGCACCAAACATCACAGGGAGAAGGCAAGCTGAGTTTAGTCTCCAAGAAGGGTATACATCAAGATGACCCAGGAGAATAACAGAAAAGAAGGAATACCTTGGAGGGCCAAAAGTAGAGCTGTAAAGGACAATGGACTAGCAAGCCCCTTTTAGAGACCCGAGGGACCAGATCACAAAAATCTCTTCACTCTCATAGTAGCCAAGTCCTGGAAACAGCCGCCCATCTAGCTGTCAGAATGACTACAGATTAGGAACTGCTGTCTTGCATCATTCCCTTTTCTGAATGGTAGTGTTTACCCTACAGTTCCACAATTGTATCCTGACTGGGTGAAAGTATGACAGAGAGCATGTGTTTTTAGCCCATAGATCTCTGACTTTAAGAGGAATTATATCTGGACCTGATGTCAAAACACCTAAGCCTCATCTGCTTGATGCTTAAAACACTATCACCGAGATTCTTAACTTTGGGATTGATGCTGTAATTGGAGGGGAATTTCAGCTTTTCTGACATTGAGAGAATGGTGGGTATTTTCTGCCTGCACAAAGGACAGAGAACAAGCTGAATAACTGATAACCAGAGGCAGACTGTGGTAGCTTGCCCTTTTTGTGCATGACGTTAGGGACAGTCAATTGTATCTACATTAGTCAACAGTATGAACGTTGGCTGACACTTTTAGGTACATGCTTTTTTTTTTTTTTTTTGGTACATGCTTTTAAGAGTCAATGCATTATTAATCACATTGCTCTTTCACTGCTACAACAAACTTCTGAAGCACATAGAGAGTCTCCATCAGCCTGGGCCCCTGAGAAACTCTGATGAGCAGATTCCCCTCACTAATCCATGATGAATGTATATGGTGAGTGAGAAAAACTGTTGTGCGAGAACACTGAGATCATGGAAGTGTCTGTTACTATACCATGACTTAGCCTATTTTGACTCATTATATGTTAGACTATTTGAAAAACATAATTGGCATCTAGGAGACTTCCTGAAACTCTTGTAAAATATCAATAAGATAGGGACACCTGGGTGGCTCAGCAGGTGAGTGTCTGCCTTTGGCTCAGGGTGTGATCCCGGTCAGGGATCGAGTCCCACATTGGGCTCCCTGCAATGAGCCTGCTTCTCCCTCTGCCTATGTCTCTGCTTCTGTGTCTCTCATGAATTAATATATAAAACCTTAAAAAAAAAAAAAAGATATTTCTTACCGGATATAATTTAAGAATTATATATATATATATACACTGATTGAATAAACATTTCCAACATTTCCCAAATTTTGTTACCCTACTCTACTCCAGAAAGTCACTTATATTATTTATTATATATAATATATATATCTCCTCCTTGGAGACTAAATATATATACATGTAATATATTTGTACATTATAAAATTAAAAATTAAATTTAAAAAATTAGATAGTCGAGAAATAGTCTTGGTGATTGGAACAGAAAATATCTTCTATGGATCAGTAAAGTATTACCCATGCTTAGTCACAGGGACAAAGACTGAAAGAGATTACTATACACATAAAAATACGATTTGAATATTGAAAACAAAGTAAGTTTTTCCATTTATATGAAAAGTTGCTTTTCAAATAGTTAAAATTTTTTAAAAAATCAACTTAAAGTGTATGTATCATCAGTTGCTCTTTAAATTCAAATATCCAGAAGGGTAGTAAATTTAATCATCTGATTCTTATATGAATACATTATTAATGCCTAAAAACAGAGAACCATAAGCATATCTTGATAGTTGTAACTGGGAATGCTTTTTTTATATTCTCCCAGAGATCAATGTAACATATAATTCAAGAGAAACATTATTTTAGAGAACTCAGAAAATTTCTTTCTTAAAATTTCTTTCAAGATCAGGCAGAAAGAATGAATAACAAAATAAATCTCTTTCAATAAGTATAGGGAACACTCAGCTTTGATTAAGTATGCACTTACCTTTTTTTTTTTTTAAGATTTTATTTATTTATTCATGAGAGACACAGAGACAGAGAGGCAGAGACACAGGCAGAGGGAGAAGCAGGCTCCCTGCAGGGAGCCCTATGTGGGACTCTATCCCGGGACTCCAGGATCACACCCTGGGCTGAAGGTGGTGCTAAACCACTGAGCCACCTGGGCTGCCCTGCACTTACCTTTTGATCCAGAAATGAATATTAAATTTAAATGACACTTCCAAAAGAATGAAATGACACATGCCCAGAACCATTTATAATGGATATATCTATACTTTTGTATACTATCTATACAAAATATTGAAAATTCAAATGTCCATTAATGGGGGACTGGCTGAATAAGCTAGAATAGCCATGGTAAAGCTAACTAAACAGTAAATTACAATGCCACTGTAAAAATGAATGAATAAGATTTCTATACAGTGTAATAAAGAGATCTCCAAGGTAATAATATTACTAAGCAAAAAGAGGAGGGGCAGAAAATTGCATAGGGTATGTTATCTTTTTATCTTTTATCTTACATATAAAGGAGCAATATAAATATACATACATATCTGTTAACACAGCTAATAAAGTATAAGGAAAGGGATGGTACCAGAAGGCAATACAGACTAAATATAGACTTTTTTGAATATACCTTGAATTCTTTTTTCTTTGAAACTATATATATGTTTTACAGAATTATAAAACAAGATTAAGTTTTAAAAAATCCTGTTGAGTACCATTACAGTCTGAACTGAGGTTTCCACTTTTTATTCTCACTAAAAAAAAAAAAAAAAGGGAAAAAACACAGGGCTTCTTGGCAAAACAGCTGATTTCGGGTTAGAACGAAAAATGCATACAGTGAACCTAGAACATTCTGTACTACCAAAAGCAAGGAAGGCTGCTAAAGATCTAGTCAAAAGCCCACAGGGGCAATTGAGGTTTCCGATCCAAATACGGGAAAATTTGAGAATGGAAAAAAAAAAAAAGATGCTAGGAAACTACTCATCCTGAAACTCAGTAAAAGAGTATTTATCCTGTTTTTCCTGTATAAAAGTCTCACATGTAACCAAAGAATTAATATGAGGAAATTCTACATTTTAAAAAAATGCTAGCTATTAAATGCAAAAATAATGGTAGAATTAGAATACAATGATTTCACAAATCTTAATGACATACTAGACCCGTGTGTGATCAATACATGCTAAAAACTATTACATAAAAGACTGATGGAAATTTAAAATGAATGACGCAACACTTGAATCTATAATTAACCTTAACATCACAGAGATATTAAGTGTCTCTTAATGTGCTACAACAGAAAATACATAATAGTACCTATAATGTGTACTTGCCAAAAACTTGAATCTGAATCTGATTAAGTTTCTAGATCTAATAGCTTATAAAACATACAGGGGATTGACAAACATGTTAAAAGGAAACAATGAGACTTTAATCAACAAAATTCAGAATGTAGGAAATCCTACAAGTTAAATAAGCTGGTTCCAAATAGAGAGGGGGGAAAAAAGGCAAGAAATCCATAGATTAAAAGACATGTGGACCTTAGTTGGGTCACAGTTCAAACAAACTGTAAAAAAAATTTATGAGATAACAGAGTGTAATTTGAGCCTTCACAGGATATTTGATAAGAAATTAGATTTTGTTTTAGGTGTAATGATGATTCAAAAAAAAAAAAAAGACAATTCTTATCTTTTAGAGGGATCAGCAAACTACGGCCTATGGGCCACCTATTTTTGTACAGTGCACAAACTAGGAATGGTTTTTACATTTTTAAGTGATTGAGGGAAAAAAAATTAAAAGCTATTTCCTGATATGCAAAAATTATGACACTTAAATTTCACTGTCCATAAACAGAGGTTTATTGAAATACAGACATGCCCATTCATTACCTTATTGTCAGTGGCTTCTTTTGTATACAACAGCAGAGTTAAATAGTTGTATAAATGACCATATGGCCTGCAAAGACTAAAATATTTAGTATCTGGCCCTTTACAGAAAAAGTTTGCAAACCCTATTTTAGAGCTACGTAAGAAAGTATTTACAAATGAAATGGTATTAAAATTATACAGCTGCTTAATGGAACACTTTACTTTCTACATATAAGCACGTCAACCTTTACCAATGACAACAAATCTGCAAATAGAATTTACAGAATGATGATGGTCCAAAAAGGTTTTCACTACCAAGCTATAGCCATAGGTAAAACAAATATAATAAATTGTACGGAATGCAAATATGTGAATTTTCTTTTCAAAAGGATAAAACTTCAAATAGTAAAAACCCAAAGCATTCTACTCACCAGTATTTTTGTGACCTTTTAGTATATAAAGTGGTGCTGGACTTTCCAGTGAGAAAATGCAAATATTGTGGTCATTTCCTCCAGTGGCAATTAGTCCATGAGGGTACATGTCACTTGAAGGTATGATACATACACAAGATACAAAATTGGAGTGGCCACTCATACAGTGCATTTCTGTAAAGCCCCTGTTAGGACTAGAAAGACATGACATAGTAATTAATAAGATATACATTCTCCCCTTACTTAGCATAGGACATGAGTTGTCTAAGTATTTACTTTCTTTTAGTATCTAGGTTGAACTTTACGGTACATACTACTTTAAGAATCTATTGTTTTTAAAGTTAAACATTAAATATTTAATTTTATTAGCTACTATTGAGATTCACATCAGATTTGAAGTTTAATTTGTATTTCATTGGGAAGAGTATGTCAATTAACAGAAAGAATAAGGAAGGAAAGGGAGGGAAACAAGTAGCTTTTTCTCATATTCCATCTTTATTTCTATTTATCTGTGACTGTTACCTTCAGAAATACCTAGTGAAGCGAAATATTCATGCAATTGGATAATAGAATCTACTATTGATAAGCCTTACGACTATTAGGATATTTTCACACTATAAAACATTAACTTAGTACCCATTTAGTACAGTATGTATATCTAAATAGCCCCTCTTGCACAAAGCAAAAGCCTGAAGTTTTCTTCTTTAGGAAAATTGAAAATCTTTGACTAGGAGGACACAAGGCATAGTTGAGCCTTGGGGTATGAGGAGCATGTACATTCACATTCCTTTAGGTAGATCAGTCCAGTGAAATGGTCTAGCCAGATAACCCCACAGTGAAGCTCACAGCCAGCAGCCTCAACTGTGAGCAGAGCCTCCCAGGAGCTTTTTAAGTCCTCCACTCTTTAACAATGAGCACAAAATAAGGATTACCAGGTCTGGGGAAAGCCCTCTCCAGCATGAAATACAGTGATCAAAAAGAATAGGAAGGGGGGGGGATCCCTGGGTGGCGCAGCGGTTTGGCGCCTGCCTTTGGCCCAGGGCGCGATCCTGGAGACCCGGGATCGAATCCCATATCGGGCTCCCGGTGCATGGAGCCTGCTTCTCCCTCTGCCTGTGTCTCTGCCTCTCTCTCTCTCTCTGTGACTATCATAAAATAAAAATAAAATTAAAAAAAAAAAAGAATAGGAAGGGGGAAAAACCTATTTATTTATTTATTTATTTATTTATTTATTTATTTATTTATTTATTTATTTATTTATAAAAGATTTTATTTATTTATCCATGAGAGACAGAGAGAGAGAGAGAGAGAGGCAGAGACAAAGGCTGAGGGAGAAGCAGGCTCCATGCAGGGAGGCCGATGTGGGAATTGATCCCAGATCATGTCCTGGGCCAAAGGCAGACACTCAACTGCTGAGCCACCCAGGCATCCTGGGAAAAACCTATTTAAAGAAAACAGATCACTAAGAAGAAAATAACTTAAAAAGAAAAATCACTATCATTCTTAGAGATAGAAGATATTTCAACCATGGAATATGAGCATAATTTCACAAAAGTCAAGGCAATTTCTGAGAGAACACAGCAGGGAGAGAATGAGAGAGGGAGAGAGAAAATAAATTTAGAAACAAGTTCAAGCTCCTGAAAATAGGACAGAGGAAATCAAGAGAAAGAAACCTAAGAACTGACTTAAGAAAATGTCCCAGAATTTACAGACACGAGTTTTCACATTAAAGGTCCCACTAATGGTCCTTAACTATGCTTGAATATACGCAGCCTGCCAGAGAGAAAAAAATGACAGCTCAAGAATCACAATGGCTTCAGACTTCTCAATTATAACACTAGAGGCTAGAATACAAAGGATCAATGGCTCCTTAATTCTGAAGAAAAATTATTTGGGCATTAGAATGCTACAAACATTTAAATTATTACTCAAGTAGCAAGGCAGAATAAAATCATTCTTAAACTTGCAAGGTCTTAATACATTTATTATCAGTGCACTGTATTTCACAGGAAGCTCCTAGAAGATATGCTCCAATTAGGCATCAAGGAAAAAAACTAGGGAGGCACCTGGGTGGTGAAGTGGTGAAGCGTCTGCTGTCAACTCAGGTCATGATCCCAGGACCCTGGGATCTAGCCCCACAGATTCCCTGAGCCTGCTTCTCCTTCTCCCTCTGCCGGTCACTCTCCCTGCTTGTGTGTGGGCTCCCTGCCTCTCCACTCCCATCATATAAGTAAATAAAATGAAAGAAAGAAAGAAAGAAAGAAAAGAAAGAAAGAAAGAAAGAAAGAAAGAAAGAAGAAAGAAAGAAAGAAAGAAGGAGGGAAAGAAGGAAGGAAGGAAGGAAGGAAGGAAGGAAGGAAGGAAGGAAGGAAGGAAGGAAGAAAGAAGAGAAAGAGGAAGGAAGGAAGGAAGGAAGGAAGGAAGGAAGGAAGGAAGGAAGGAAGAAAGAAAGGAAAGAAAGAAAAAAACTAAGAAAGTAAAAAGATAGAGATAATAGAAATCCAAAACAAAGGCCCCAAAGAAGGAACTGTGGAGAGTACAATGAAGGGAGATCTCAGGATTGGTTGTGCACCAGGAGTAGAGACCAGGGTCAGAAAGTTTTCATTGCCAGGAAGATGAAACTGTAAAATATCCAGTGTGTCTAAAGGTCTTAGAAGAGATTTAGACAACTAGCAAAGAATATGAAGTTGAATTAGAGATAAATACACAGAAAATGAAACAAACGAAAACCCCAAAACAGGGCACTTACTAGCTACAGGGAGATAATAAAATGGTTGAGGAAAAGTTATAGTTTATTCCGCAGCTCTGGTGTAAATAGACTCTGTTCTGTTATAAAATACTGATTTTATCTAAATTAAGTTTAACTATAAGGGTCAGAGTATAGAAAAAATGCATATGTGACGAGGGTTAATGGGGGAAGAGCTAAATTCTAATACTGCATAGAAGGAATAGAAAATGCCTAAAATATTTAAAAAATAAAAAGACACAATAAAGCACTTTATACATACACGTGGAAGTAAAGTAAAAATAAGCAGGTAAAAAAAGATTAAAATTTTATCTCCAAGAAAGGGAAATGGAGGTTACGAAGAGAATGGCTCTAACTTCTTAACAAACTCCAAGGAACTATTTGACTTAAGACCCAAAGTGTTGAGAGTTTACATGAGGGAGAAGTCATTTCAAACTCAGCCTGGTCAGAGAAGATGGGTACACAATCTTAAATTTTTAAAAAATTTTTATGAGAGAGAGAGACAGAGAGGCAGAGACACAGGCAGAGGGAGAAGCAGGCTCCATGCTGGGAGCCTGACGTGGGACTCGATCCCCGGTCTCCAGGATCACACCCTGGGCTGAAGGCAGCGCTAAACCTTTGGGCCACGGGGGCTGCCCACAATCTTAAATTTGAAGTTGCATCTTTCATTTACAGGTCGTTTTCAAAAGGCAACACAATAGTTGGTAACAGACTTGAGAAATCCAGTTTAATTTGAAGTGGGCTTATGGAGGTTTGAAGCAGTCTGAAACAATGGCATATTGACTGGTTCAGTTCCACGTACACCCAAAAAATAACATCGTCATTCTGAGGGGTCTTCAGAAGGCCCAGAGAATTCCTGGATTTTCAATGGTCTTTTGCGAAAGATAGTATCTGGTTTAGAGCATCCCAGAATGAAGGGATGCACTAAAACTAAATTAAATCCCCCCCAACATTCCCAATCTATCTGTACACTAACTACTTTGATCCAGAACTCTATCAACAATGTACATGAGAAAACAATTTTCATTTATTATTTGGCTACAAACATTTACAGCACATTAACTTTATTAATATACCATAAAATAGAAATTGTCAGGACATCAGCCTTGAGGACGCTTTTGATATGGATGTAGAAGAGATTCATGACCATGAGACCCAGTGACTATGAGATACCCTACTCTGAGCATTTGGAAGTGAGAAATAAAACAATCTTATCTCACTAATCACCGGTTATTCACTCCTGTGTGTGTGTGTGGCACAACGCAGGCTCTCAATCAGTGCTAGTTGAATAAATTCATTAATGATTTTGAAAACAAAACTAAGGGGCACCTGGGTGGCTCAGTGAGTTGAGCATCTGCTTTCAGCTCAGGTCCTGGTCCCAGGGTCTTGGGACTGAGCTTTCCATTGGGCCATGTGCTCAGCATAGAGCCAGCCTGTCCTTCTCCCTCTCTATGATCGCTTTCACTCTCTCTCAAATAAATAAATAAAATCTTTTTTTTAATTAATTAATTTATTTATTCAGGAGAGAGACAGAGAGAGGCAGAGACACAGGCAGAGGGAGAAGCAGGCTCCATGCAGGGAGCCTGACGTGGGACTCCATCCCAGGTCTCCAGGATCATGCCCTGGGCTGAAGGCGGCGCTAAACTGCTGAGCCACCTGGGCTGCCCTCAAATAAATAAATAAATAAAATATTTAAAAAACAAAACCAAACCAAAAACAACATGAGTTTAAAATAAAACACACCACTTTTCAAATAGATGATGTCAGCCCTAAATTCCTGAAGCTCCTGATAAATGCAAATGTTCAGTGATCTAAGTTCTTGACAATCTTAGCAGAGTCCTACAAAACCTGTGAAGTTTAATGACAGGTACTCAACTACTACAGCACACATCCTTACCGTAATGTTTATCCTACTGGGTATATGCTTCTACCACACTCAATTTTTTTAAAAAGTTATTTATTTATTTATTCATTCATACATACATACATACATACATACATACATACAGGTACTCAACTACTACAGCACGCATCCTTACCGTAATGTTTATCCTACTGGGTATATGCTTCTACCACACTCAATTTTTTTTAAAAGATATTTATTTATTTATTTATTTATTTATTTATTTATTTATTTATTTATGGGGGGGGGGGCAGAGACAGAGGGCAGAGGGAGAAGCAGGCTCCATGCAGGGAGCCCCGTGTGGGACTCGATCCCAGGACTGTGGGATCACGCCCTGGGCTGAAGGCAGATACTCAACTGCTGAGCCAAGCAGTCAACCCTACTGCCCTAAAATTTAAGGATACAAAGTTAATCAGTAATTACACTCCAAAACACAAAACGTTATGTATTATTAGTGTTACGAAGTTATTTGGAATATCACAGAATCTTAGAGTTAAAAGAGACGTTAGAGAGCATCTCCTCCAATTCAATACAGGAGTTTGCTCTATAATATTTCTAGTCTGTTTATCATCTTGTATTGGCTGTACTACAGCAAAAGCCTCCAAACAGATCTACTTCCACATTTATCCCTTTGCAATCCAATCTCCACCACCAGCTAGCAGAACCTCTCCACAGGTCAATCAAATCACGCTCCTCCCCGTGTGAAACTCACTGAAGGTTTCTGCTTACTCTTTCTCATAGCACTCATATCATGGCATCTGGCTCCGGCCCTCACCTCACAGAGCATTCCCTCCTGCACAAAGGGACTTGCCTCCTTCTTATTCCAGGGTCTCTGTGCTTGATCCTACTACTTTCTACAGAGCTCTTTGAATTCAACACTTCTCATTCCTTGCTCCCATGACCAGGTTCATCTTGGTGTGAGCTTTAAACAAAACAAAACAAAACAAAAAAACCAAACAAACAAAAAAAAAAACCCAAACTGAAACCCTCCTGGGAGGGGCTTCCTTCCTTAACATTCCTCCACTCAATTCTCTACCTATATTCGTTTTCATAGTATACATGCCAATGAACAATTCTATATTTACATTTTTTTTCTGATCCACCTTCCCTCCCAGACTGTAAGAAAGATCCGTTAAAACAGAGAACTTGTCTGTTGTCTTATTCTTCTTTAGAACTGTAAACAAATAGGGGGCACACAACCAATAGTTACCATCTATCTGAATTTATGCACGGTTACCCAAACTCTGAGTGAAAACTATACTAATGGGAGATGTCCTACATAACAAAGCAAATCACCTTAAATTTTCTTTCTGAACCAAAATCCGTCTCCCAGGTTGTAAATTTCTTGTTTACAAGAAAATCCAGTCCAAATCAGGACTGACCCCTTGATCTTGATTTGAACCTGAGCTCAACCTTCCGTTCCTTAATTTCTCTTTTTGTTCAATCTCTGTGACAATCCTTTGAAGGCAATGGGCTTTCTCTCAAGGAAACAGCACATCCCCAAACATCCATAAAATATGTGATAAGTTTCATCCCCGCCATCCAGGCCCACCCCAGGCCCCAGACTAAGAAACTCTGATTTGGACAACGAGGAGAGGAGCCAATGCAACTTTCTGCCATGCAATTTTTGAGAACCCTAGTTCAAAAATTAAACTTGAGGGAAGGCTGACTACAGAGCAAATTCTAGGGAAAGAAAAGGATTTACTTCAATTACACGTCAGATGTCTCACAACGTCTCATTTGGGGGCGGCGGGTGGGGGTGTGTGCTGCACCCGGCATCAGTAGACTTTCAAATCTAAAAGAAACATGGGAAGTCATAGCCCAAAACATAAGAGGTTCGTCCAAGGTCACCTCCTCGATTGTGGTCAAGTTAAGGACAAGAATTTACCCGGAAGCTGTGCTCCTTCCACCTAAGTCTCACAGGTTTCTTACACTGTGCGCGCAGACTTGGGAGGGAGCGCGAACGGGATGGAGCCCGGGCCGGGAAGAGCGCAGGATAACAGCAGGGAAGCGTCCCTCTTTTCCCACCAACAGTAGGAAGCTCGCACCCCGGGCGGGGGTGGGCGGCGGGAGCCCCCGGGCCCGCAGCGCTCACCTGTCTGGGACCCAGAGGCGGGTGGTGCGGTCTCGGGACACGGACACAAAGGCCCCCGGCGGATAGAGGCTGCAAACTAGGCCCCGCACGTCCAGCTCGTGGCCCGGGAGCGAGCAGCTCAGCCGGTACCTGGCGGCGCTGCTCGCCATGGCCCTGGTGCGTCGGGCGCCCGGGGCCCAGGCACCGCGCGAGATCAGTCCGCGGGAGACGCCGGGGGTGCGCCCAAGCGCGGCGGGCGCAGGGCCTGCAGGTGAGGGGCGGCTGCGCACCGGAAGAGCCCGACAGCCGGTGCGGAAGGGCGACGCGGAGGGGGAGCGCCGAGCGGGCCGAGTGACACAGCAACCCTGACAGGCACACCGGAATTCATCATCTGTCTCAGCCCGCCGTGACGCAAAGCGTGTGCGTCCCGGCTGCCGAGGCCGCCGCCGAGGTGAGCCTCACTTCCCTAAAGCGCCGTGGGCCGCCTGCCAAGGCAGAGCTAACGGCCGGACGTTGGGCCCGGTCGCCCCAATCCAGATCCTTTGCGAGCCCCAGTCCCCTCTCTGTGTCCTGCGGGAACTATTTATTGTAGTCCGAGATGCGGGCCGGGACTACAAATCCCACAATGCCACGCGCCAGCGGGACCTGAGCGGCCGGCGCGCCGAATCCGGATGTTTTAAATCCTGATCCGAGTGGCTGCGCGCTCCCTTGTGGTTGCGGGAGGCTGCCTCGGACGCTGCGTCGGGGCAGCCCAGTCCCGATCCCTTCGAACTTACTCTGTGGTCTCCTGAGACTTTCCCAAGCTAAACGTTGTTTTTAAACATAAAAGTATCCAATGCTGGCCCCCTTCCCATGTGTCTGGAGGTACTCGGGGAGAAATCTGCGTAATGTCAGTAGCTTCTCTCCGACGATTCTGTGTACGGAGTGCTTGGACAGAGGTTAGTGGGAAGGAAAGAATCTTTTTTCTTACTACCCTTCTAGGCTATCCGTGGGGGCGCTGCAACAAAAGATAGATTAACAAGAGAAAAACAAATTTATTAACATGTATAATAAATAGAAGAGGTGGCTAGAGTCTGGGCTTATATCTTAACAAAGGAACAGTATTTACGGAAGAAAAGAAGAGGTTCTAAAGTCTTTAGAGCAGCCGATTATGTACAGGCAAACATGGGAACTAATGGCAAATAAAGGCCAGTTGGTAAAGTTTGTTATGTAGCTTCTTTCATGTAGTCTCTAGGCTGACAACGGGTCTATTTTTTTTTTAATTTTTATTTATTTATGATAGTGACAGAGAGAGGGGGGCAGAGACACAGAGACCCATGCACCGGGAGCCCGACGTGGGATTCGATCCCGGGTCTCCAGGATCGCGCCCTGGGCCAAAGGCAGGCGCCAAACCGCTGCGCCACCCAGGGATCCCCTGACAACGGGTCTAAAGTTGTGTCCCGTGACTATTGTCTTTCCTTCGAAAATTTATGTCCTGCTTTTAAGGCAAGTCGGGAAATGGTAGCTTTTCTTGTATCTCCTTCTTTCCAGTTGCATTTAGCTCAAAATAATCCTTATTCCAAAGTGGCATATTTTGGAGCGGTAAATGCCACTCCCATTCACTACAGTGAACAAAAGGATAACAAATGATCGCTGCAAAGATGTTGGGTTCAAACGGGAGTTGGAAATAATGTAAAAAAAAAAAAAAAAAAAAACACGCCAAAAGTAAAATATAGCTGCAATCGCACCTGTAGGAAGACTGGAAGAAAACAAACTGCAAGTTACTTTATTAGAGAGGTGGGATATGAGATGTAGCAGTTCTTAACATCGTGGTTTTTGTTTTTGTTTTTAAAACAACGATACTGACATAGCTATTTTAAACCCATTGTCCGTTTAATTCATCCTTGCTCACGAACTTGGATCAAAAGAATTCTGAAAGGGAGCTTCCAACCAATTGAGGAATAGACGGTCCCGGAAACGCATCTATACTTAACGTCGTGTACGTTTTGCGGTTCTAAAAGGAAGGAAAGCGACCTTTAATAAGTGAAGAGAACGTACAAGCCTTCCTATCACAAATAGCTTTAAACAACGTCTCTTAAAAACGACTGAAAAATAAAAATAAAAACGACAGCACGTGAGGGGACATAGCGCTATAATAAAACTCGCTAGGCGTGAATTCAGGTCGGGCACACAGAGAGGTTGCTGTAGCTAGAAAGCAAACTGAGGTTTTCCAATAAAGTGTTCCTTCCCAGCCAAGACGCTGTTTCCTAATTTTTCCAGAAAAGCACGGACGCGCCCGGACAACAACAAAATTTAGCCCCCCAATCTCGCGAGAGCGGTTTACTCTCGCCTCCCCTGTAGTTGCCAGGGCCGAGGCCGAAGATTGGCCAATCAGGACGACGGCCCTCTCCCCGCCCCGCCCTCGTTGCCGGGATACGCAGTCGCGCGGGGCAGTCAGAGGTTAGGTCGGAGCCCTCGGGAGCTGCGCGAGGGTGAGCGAGGAGTCGCGAGTGAGCCGACCGGTACGAGACAGGCTGGTGGGCTCCGCCGAGGCGCCCGCCTCGGAAACAAGTTGGAGCCCTTCCCCGACCTCGCGACCTCCCTCCTGACGCGACGGAGGAGGTGAGAAATCCCAGCTCTCCTCTGTCCCTCCTGCAGTCCCTCCGGATCCGGGTTTCTCACGTTGGAGAAGCTGATCCGCTCCAAACAAAACAAATCCGATCTTTTCGGCTCTTGGCTGTTCTCCTCAGCCTGTCGCCAGGCTCGGGGAGTCCGACTCCAGTCCCGCAAAGCGTGTGGAGAGACCGCGTCAGGCAGTGCCCTGAGGACACCTGACAAGGCGAGGCCGCAGGAAAGGATTCCAGAGCCTCGGAGAGAAAATTCTCTTTGAGGGATTTTACTCAAAGTAATAGATTTCTCTCTCGTGTTAGCAACTTTCCTTGTTAAAAATGGCTGCCTCGGGGAGCATAGTGGTAGTAATGATTAGAGGTTTCATATGTAGTATCACAAAGGCTTTGCAAGATCTACCTCATTGCCACACTTGGGTCCCACAGATGAGGAAACATCCAGCGGGGATTAGGTGACTTTTTTTTTTTTTTTTAAGATTTTAGTTATTTATTCATGACAGACAGAGAGAGAGAGCAGGCAGGGTGAGAAGCAGGCTCCACGCAGGGAGCCCGACGTGGGACTCGATCCGGGATCTCCAGGATCAGGCCCTGAGCTGAAGGCGGCGCTGAACCGCTGAGCCAGCGGGGCTGCCCTGGATAACTGTTTTGGCAGAACTGAAGTTTGTATCACTCCTCTTTCTGGAGCCAAAGGCGAGGCTGCTTCTCCGTGTGAATAATGGTGGAGACTGTGTGAATGTTTGCGTGATGAATACCCCGCGAGTTCCTGGCCTGTTTTGTTGCTAGTGACCCTTTATATTTTACCCTCTGGGACTGATCTAATGCTAAGCTTTTACCAAGACAGTAAAGCAGTGGCAATCAAGTAGAAATTCTATATATTGTACATTTTTTTAAAGTTGTCAAGGAAGCTAGAGTTAATTAATAGACTTAGATTTTACACTGACAACAGTCATACCTCATCTTCTTGAGCTTCGCATACACTACGGGGTGTTCTGTGTTTGTTTTTTGTTTTTACAAATTGAAGGTTTGTAGCAAACCTGCATGAAGCAAGTCTACTAGCACCATTTTCCCAGCAGCATTCACCCACTTCATGTCAGTCACATTTTGGTAATTCTGGTGATACTTCAAACCGTTGTTTAGGTCAACATAACTGAAACAAAACGTAATGAAACAACACCCTTCTTATGTGCAGTAAATTCTTATAATTTTTATTTCACAAAGTATATTGGTTAGAATCTGCCAAATTTTTTTCACAACCCACTAACAGGTCATGACCCATAATCTGAAAAATGCTGTTCTGAATTATCAGCCAAACTTTAAGTAATGTATTCTGATGGGTAAAGGAGAGGGCTGATAAACTGGAAGAGAATGAGTGAATTAAGGAACTGGTTTAAAGGGAGATGTAGTTAGAATAAAGGTGAGATAGGCATGTGGAGATTAAGGTCGTAGAATGAAGTATTTCATTTGATACTGGGGTGAAACAATTCCAGATGATGACAAGCTCTAGGTCGACACACAGCTATAGATGACTGAAATGGAGTTGAGATGGTAACTGAAATTTGGGTCCGGGAACCGTGACCTAGAATGTTAGGTATTGAATCCAGTATCCCCGTGGAAGTCATCCAGGGCTTCGGTGGGACTGGAATAGAGACACTGAACTAGGTGTCACTAAAAGACTTTAGTGAAGATGGTGTTAGAGATTAGGTGGTCCTTGGATAAGAGCAACCAGGCAAGATCCAAGGCAATAAGGTTGCGTTCCCTGGTTGTCAAAGGAAGAGAGTCTTGTTTTTTTTTTTTTAACATTTGGAAGAATAGTGTTTTGAAAGTGACACTGAGAAGCAAGGGGAGTGTTGTGTACTCCCTTTGCTTTGACTTGTGGATTAAGAAGCTAAAATAGCTTTTACTACTAAAAGTGTTTTGCGGGGAAGCTGAGGTTAAGAGTAAAATGAAGCATTTGATAACTGAGAATATAAGGAAGTGAATCATAGAGCACAGAGAAAAAGTCTAAACGGAAGAAAGGTGCTGGATGAGTCAAAAAAGAAATTTTATTAGAGTATAGGAAGAGCTCAAGACAGATAATTAGAGAGGCTTGCATTTTGGTAAGAAAACAGGGAAATGAAGAAGGCATACTATAATAAATGACTTCATTGACTTCAATGACTCCATTGTAGATATAACATTAATGTCAAATTTGAACAAAATGAAGCAGGTTTGGCCTCATAGTGGTACTTGGAATGGCCATTTGCAAGAAAAGTTATTGTGGTTTAAATGTTTGAAGGAAAGCTATGTAGATCCCCAGTGTCTTACTATAGAAGGCACCAAAGGAGAATTGAACTGTTTCTTGTTTTCCAAATAGTGGTTAAAGCGTACAAACAATGGCCAGTAATCACAAGCCTTCAGCAGCTCGCCCTGTTTCGCGAGGTGGAATTGGGTTACCTGGAAGACCTCCTTCTGGAATACGACCCCCGTCAGGAAATACTCGAGTGGCAACTGGAGTAAGTTTCAAACAGTTCTGTTGAATTCTTATGCATATGTCCTGGTAGAGGTTGGAGAGCCTGCCTATTATAATTCTTCTTTGTTCTTGCTTTATTCTGTCCGGATAGTGTTATATATGACTTTGTATTGTGGGAGGGAATACCTAGAAGTATAAATGTGGAAGGATGTCTGAAAGACATTATTGAGAGAAAATGCCTGCTCATACTGATATTCAAATTTAGTTTAAAGGTACAGTAATTTAAGTGGTATAGTTTATTGGTGGCAGGATCAAATGAAATGGAATAGACAAGAAACAGAATCAGACATATGTAAGAACTTAATGATTAAAGTGACATTTCAAAATAGTGGGAAAAGCATAGAACATTCAGTAGTGCATTCAAATAATGGGTAAACCATTGATTATTAACAATTGACCCCTCCCTCACGCAGAATTCTACATATTTTATTCTTATTTTTATTATTTTTTTTTAAGATTTTATTTATTCGACAGAGCACACAAGCAAGGGGAGTGGCAGAGGGAGAGGGAGAAGCAGGCTCCCCTGCTGAGCAGGGAGCCCAGTGCGGGGCTGGATCCCAGGACCCTGGGACCATGATCTGAGTTGAAGGCAGATGCCTAACTGACTGACTCACCCAGGTGCCCCAATTCTAGATATTTTAGAAACTATTTATTTATTTATTTATTCATTCATTCATTCATTCATTCATTCCCCCTCCCCCGTGCACCCACCGAAACTTTATATTTAAAAAATGAAGCTATAAATGTATTGGAAGAAAATATAGGCAAGTATTTCATATAAACATGGTGTAGACTAGGCCTTTGTAAAACAAACACCAAATACTGAAAAGGAAAGTATCTTTATATTTATATATTTGAATTCTTTTTTTTTTTTTTTTTTTTTTAATTTATTTACTTTATGATAGTCACACACACACAGAGAGAGAGAGAGAGAGAGAGAGAGAGAGAGGCAGAGAGAGAAGCAGGCTCCATGCACCGGGAGCCCGACGTGGGATTCGATCCCGGGTCTCCAGAATCGTGCCCTGGGCCAAAGGCAGGCGCCAAACCGCTGCGCCACCCAGGGATCCCTATATTTGAATTCTTAAAAATTGAAAACACCATTAAAAAAGTTAAAAATGACAAATGGGTAAAAATTATTTGTAACATAGATGAAAAAGCAAACTTATAAGAGCTCTTGCTATACTAAGGCTATGAACCCTATGTTCAATCAAAATTATATGAGATACCATTCTAAAACTATTCTAAAATTCATCTAAAGCAATAAAGCGAAAATAAGGAAAAGTACAGTACTCCACTATAAATACATTATAAGTAATAAGTAAAACTATATTTTGGTTGCCACAACAGCCTAGAAACAGACTAGAAAAATTTAATAGCTTAATGTGAAATGGAGAGTGTCATCAAACATGTACCACATTAGAAAAAAATTGGATAAACTTTATAAACTGATAATTCTAAGCAAAATAATATCCTATAAAGATGATTATTACAGTTTCATTAGAATTATAACAGTAAAAATTTGAAAGCAACTTAAATTACCTTGCAAGTGAGTCTTAAAATGTGATGCATCTCTTCCTATAATAAGCTATGAAGTAGTCATTAAAAATTATTTTCAAAGAATATTTGAAGAAATTGTATATCTTTATAATATAGTATTAAGTGAAAAAAGCAGTGTGGTGCCCGTTGAACATAAAAGCATATTTATACATACATAGAAAGAAATGAATACACCAAAATATTCATATTAATTATTCTGATGCTTGCAACAGATGGTTTTGACTCTTTGTATGTCAAGCTTATACAGTAGGTTAACTGCAAACTAGAGATAATGCTAGGTCCTGTGTTTAATTTTAATTTTTATTTTTTTAAAGATTTATTTATTTGAGAGAGAGCACAAGTGGGTGGAAGAGCAGAGGGAGAGGGAGAAACACTCCTCATTGAGCAGGGAGCCTGCTGCAGGGCTCAGTCCTAGGACTCTGGAATGGTAACCTGAGCTGAGGGCAGCTGCTTAACTGACTGAACCACCCAAGTGCCCCTCGGTCCTGTGTTTAATTCATAAGAAGAACAGTAATTTTTGGAGGGAATGATTTTGTTAGAGTCAGGTTTTCTTAATGTTTTCAGATTTTTCTAGAGTTTTATGTAACGTTATCAACATCAACTTATACTAAAATGATTTTTCTAAAGTCTTCATATGCATGGTACTGAGCTAGTAAGAATTTTTATTTTAGTAAGAATTTATGCTTGCTAATGAAATATTTATAAAAGAATTTGGACACTTACTGGCCACCTACTCAGTGCCAGGTGCTTTATTTATTTATTTATTCTTTTTTAAAAATTTTATTTATTTATTCATGAGAGACATACAGAGAGAGAGAGAGGGGCAGAGACACAGGCAGAGGAAGAAGCAGGCTCCATGCAGGGAGCCCAACATGGGACTCGATCCTGGTTCTCCAGGTTCAGGCCCTGAGCTGAAGGCGGCACTAAACCGCTGAGCCACCCAGGCTGCCCCTGCTTCACCTATTTAATGTTAGTAGTTTTTAAACTATTGGTGCTGTCATTAAATATACAAAGGAATAGTGCCAGAGTTCCTTCCTACCTCAGCTATAATGATAGTCAACAGTGTGATATGTATCTCTCCAAATTTTTTCTGTTAATTTACAAACACTAAGACACATGCATATAAGATTGTATGATTTTAATATTTTCTGAAACAATGGTATACATTGTTGTCTACCTTATCCATTATTTTTAATACTATATTGTAAGCATATTTTTATGTGAATACATACATGTCTATTCATTCTTTTAGATGTGTTTGATTTTAATTTATATTTCTCTGTATTTTCATTTGGTAAAGTTTACCCAGGAAGAGATTTAGCATTCTCTTCCAGAGATCACTGCTTTACTCTTTGGCAGAGAGTGAGGAAAAAAAGGAAAGAAAGAATGGAAGATAACAGAAGGATAATGTGGAACAGCTTTGGATTGTCTCATACCTTTCCAACCTCTCCATGCTGTATGAACTGGCAAAGAGGGAATCTTTTTCTCCCAAAGATTTTACTTATTTATTGGAGAGAGAGAGAGCACAAGAAGGGGTCAGGGGGTAGAGGACAGAGGGAGAGGGAGAAGCAGGCTTCCTGCTGAGCAGGGAGCCCCACCACATGGGGCTCAATTCCAGGGCCTAAGGGCAGACGCTTAACCAACTGAGCCACCTAGGCACCCCAAGAAGGGAGTCTTTTATTCTTTCCTCAGAGGGTATAATATTCTATTGGATTTTGCAGAACTGAAATAGAAAATCATGTAGAGTAATAATCTGTATGCTTGCTGAATGATGTAAGCCATTTAACACTTATTTGACTATCTTGTGATGGAATTATATATAATTTCAATTTTAAAATGAAAATTTCAGGGACACCTGGGTGGTCCAGCCATTGGGCGTGTGCCTTGGGCTCAGGGCGTGATCCCAGAACTCCCTTCTCCCTGTGTCTCTCATGAATAAATAAATAAAATCTTTAAAAAAGAAAAAAGGAAAAAGAAAATTTTTCATATTTTTTCTAATTTTTTTAAAGATTTTATTTTTTTATTCATTCATGAAAGACACAGAGAGAGAGAGAGAGGCAGAGACGCAGGCAGAGGGAGAAGCAGGCTCCATGCAGGGAGCCCCATGTGGGACTTGATCCCCGATCTCCAGGATCACACCCCGGTCTGCAGGCAGCATTAAACCGCTGCGCCACCAGGACTGCCCCATTTTTTTTTTTTTCTAATTTTGAAGGTAATATATATTTACTGTAATAATGCTGAAAACATCAAGCTGTGAAAAGATAACATAAAAATGAACTACAGCATTATTAGGATAACAATTGTTACTGTTTTTTATAAAATTCTCCATACTTTTTGTTTTACAAAATGGAATTATAAATACTGTTAAAAAAATAAATAAATAGGGCAGCCCGGTGGCTTAGTGGTTTAGCGCCGCCTGCAGCCCAGAGCGTGATCCTGGAGACCCTGGATCGAGTCCCACGTCAGGCTCTCTGTATGATGCCTGCTTCTCCCTCTGCCTGTGTCTCTGCCTCCTCTCTCTCTCTCTCTCTCTCTCTCTGTCTCTATGAATAAATAAAATAAATAAAATCTAAAATAAATAAATAAATACTGTTATGTCAACTTTTTTAATATACTACAACTTATTCAACCATTTCCTATGGTTAAAATAAGGACAAATATGTGTACAGTTAGTTCCTTTCCAGTTTAGGGGTGTTATAAATAGTGTCTACACATAGAATTTTATTTATATATTTATGTAATCTTATTTTCCTTAAAATATAGTTGACAAAAAATAAAATTTTATTTTAGAATTTTAAATTTTAAGGAAGTGTACTATTTAATGTTCATGGAATTTTAAATGTTAAAGAGTTTTATTAATATTTAATACTTCAGAAATTCAAAAGTATAAAGAATATTTTACGAATTAAATAGAATTTTAATTCGTAAAATATTCTCTTTGCAGTCTTAACAGTAGTAGAAGGTACAGTATTTTTCTAGTTTACTAAAACTGAAATAATATTTTTCATTTAGATGCCACCTGGAACAGCAAGACCAGGCTCTCGTGGTGGTCCCATAGGGACAGGAGGTGTTCTGTCTTCTCACATCAAAGTTGCTGATCGTCCTGTAACACAGCAAGGTTTGAGTGGAATGAAAACTGGAATGAAAGGTATCTGTTTTAAGAAAATGGGTATATTTTGTATAAAGTATTAAACAGGGGCACCTGGGTGGCTCAGTTAGTTGAGCATCTGCCATTGCCTCAGGTCATGATCAAGCAAGGATAAGGCCCCCTGCTCAATGGGGAGTCTGCTTCTCTCTCTTCCTCTGTCCCTTTCCCTGCTCATGCTCTCTCTTTCTTTCTCTCAAATCTTTTTTCTCTCAAATAAACCTAAAAAAAAAAAAAAAAAAGAAAAGTAGGGACGCCTGGGTGGCTCAGCGGTTGAGCGTCTGCCTTGGGCTCAGGTCCTGATCCTAGAGTCCCGGGATCAAGTTCCACATCGAGCTCCCTGTGAGGAACCTTCCTCTCCCTCTGCCTGTGTCTCTGCCTCTCTCTGGGTCTCTCATGAATAAATAAATAAAATCTTTAAAAAAAAATATTATGGTCAGCCCGGGTGGCTCAAGTGGTTTAGTGCCGCCTTCGGCCCAGGGCCTGATCCTGGAGGCCCAGGATCGAGTCCCACCTCAGGCTCCTTGCATGGCGCCTGCTTCTCCCTCTGCCCGTGTCTCTGCTTCTCTCTCTCCTCTCTGTGTATTCTCAGAAATAAATAAATAAAATCTTAAAAAAATATATTACAGTACCTTATTACTAAATGAGAATTATAAGAAGGCTATTTTACTCCATTTTTATTCGTTGATTCACAAAATTGTGGTTAGGGTTAAGTAATTAAAAGAATGAATGTGAAAACACATTGTGGAATAGAGATTAAATACATATGTGAGGTATTTTAATCTTTATTTTTCTGAACATGTAACTTGTTATAACTTGAAGAAATTTGAAATAATTTGAAGAAAAGCTTAGGAATGAAAATTAGATTTCTAGTACTATGTAGAAATACTCTGAAATACTTTTTGATATAAAAGTGACACTATTAAGATACTTATATTTTTATGAGAAATTAGTTGAGTGTTACTTTTTCTAATGCACCATTGTAATATGTAACTCTTTAAGTAAGGAAATGAGACTAATGTATAGATTTTTGCTGCATCTTTCCTTATGCCTCTGTGTTTAAAGAGACATAATGGTATGTTAGGATTCAAAAAATTGGTCTGTAATATGTACAAATCAAAGCATGATGAACTGCTTTATAATGAGTTTTATTTTCTGTATTTGTGACAAATGACTTATCAGGGATGAAGATATTCTATTGAGAAAAATTAATTATAAGATACACTACTTTGTATAATATAGCATGCCATGCCTTTGAGAAGACAAATTTTCTTTCTTTATTGTAATACCACTTAGCTCACTAAATACTAATAAACGGTTATTTAGAAATGCTTGCTTAATAATAATGAGTACTGTGAAAAAGTGTCAAAATTATATAGTCTTTGAAAATATATTCACAGAAATATTTGCACATTTTATTTTATTAAATAATCCTATAAATAATTTATCAAATATTTATTACTGTATTGATTTCTCCTTACAACAGAACCAATATCAGTTAAGATAGTTTCTACCAGTATATTTCAGAGTCTTACATGAAAGAGTTCTGATTATTAGCACTATGTACTACTATCTGCTGTGACTTGTTTTTACCTACTCCAGTGCCCCATTTCCCTTTCTAACACATTCTCTACCTCTTCTGAGCATAGAGCTCACAGTCAGTACTCTCTACCCTTACCTCTCCCACCTTGCAGAGCACTTCATTTCTCAAGGTTTGGGACATTTAACCTAGGAATACTTCTTTTTTTTTTTTTTCCTTAGGAATACTTTCTTATTCCTACTGAAATAAGATCATGTTTCTAAAAAAGTCTGAGACAAATTCTGAAAAATCATAATCTCTTGCACTGAGAAATTCACAGTCCAAAATCTGTACTGTACTTTATGATAATCAATAGCTACATGTAGCTATTTAAAATTAAATTGAATAAAATTAAGTAAAATAAATATTTAGCTCTCCAGTAGCATCAGCCATATTTCAAGTGCTCAGTAATCCCAGGTAGCTACTTCACTGGACAGTTCTGATATAGAATATTTCGATTGTTGCAGGTTTTCTTGGATAACCCTGTTCTAGACTTTCTTAGTGTGCATTCAGTCAACCTGACCCATAGAGTCTACTGTCTTAACAGCCTTACCTCTAATCCCATTTTCATGGTCTTAATTCAAGTTTCCATTATGTCATAATGCCAGGATATTAATTCTCCTTTCATTTCACCCTGAAATGAAGAGTCCCATGCTCTACTAATTAAGCCAGCCTGGTGCTCCAGTGTTCTTTTCCATTTTAATGATTTGTCTTGATTATCAGATTTATTGGAGCATAAATAAGAACTGTCAGAATTATGGAGTGTAACTTTATTGTGCTTTGGCTTTGGTGTTTTGGCAGCATTTCCAAACTGTACAGTAATAATTAAAAACTTTTTTTTTTTTTTTTTTTTAGGTCCTCAGAGGCAAATTTTAGACAAATCTTATTATCTTGGGCTTCTTCGGTATGTTTTTTCCTATGCATGGTCGTGAAGTTTTAACTCTGGTACTTTTATTAAGATAATTATCTTTCGATTTCTAAGAATTATTTTGTGTTATAATATAATTTGTTAATTTGGCTATGTTACAAAATATATGTGATAATACAATTAGGCTGAGATTTTAAATTGTGTATATTTGCATGTATATGAACTCTATGTCAAGTTCACTGTTTTTCATATATTGATAAGAATAATCTTTTATGCTTCTTTCACAAATTACTGTGAAGTATATTATTTATACCACTGACATGTCACTAGTTGCATCTAATAAGAAAGGGAAAAGTTATTTATGACATGTTAATCAGTGCAGGGTTTTACATAAATGTATGTTTGGTCAACTGCTACAAATGTGAGCTATTTTAATTAATAAGGTTTATTATGTGTCTCAAAGTATGAAGCTCTAAATTGAGAACTTTTTTCTTATTCTCAACCTACCTTTTTCTTGCTCAGATGTCCTACTGTCCTATCTCCATTTTCCCATTTTACTTTGTTTTCTTCTTGGCTCATTATCAGTATCCTCTTTCTCTCTTACTTCCATTTCATGTAATCCATTCTTCTATCATATCCTAAAAGTACTGTTTTCTTTCTCAGTTCTGGATCCTTTCATTTCTCTGATAATCAGGATCCTTTATGATTCTCAAACTTCTAGAAGGCAGTAAAGAGAAGTGTACATTTTCCCCATCAGTCCATTAAGTTTAGCATTAAGCTAAACTAATATCAGCAAGAAAGATAGGATGTTAGTTGTATAGCATCTCTTGATATCCAGCCACTTTTAAATCAAAAGAAGGAAAAGAAATAGCACTATTTTTCATCATTTCATTTCCTTGCTTTTCTATGATTTATGTTTCTGCATAAAAAAATAGTTCTAGCTATTTATGTAATTGTTTGACTCTATAGCAGTGGTTCTCAACTGGCACTGATTTTGCTCTCTAGAGAATATTTGGCAATTTTTAGACAAATAATTTGGTTGTCACACTTGGGATTGACGGGTTGTGCTACTGACAACTTTTACAGATATAGTTAAACTTCGTAGAGTGCACAGGATAGACCCTTCCCCTGAAGTAAAGAAGTATTCTTCAGAGTATTCTTCAGAATACTTCAGAGTATTCTTTAATGACCTAAAATGTCAATAGTGTTGCTTTTGAGAAGCCCTGTCCTAGAGGATGGCTAGTGGTTTAAGGGTGACAATTAAGGCATCTGCTTCTGTCTAAAGATTGTTAGTTTGACCAGCCTTATTATATTCTGGTCATATTTCATCTTAATGATTAGAGAATCTCTTTTAGTTTCTTATCAAAGTTGGGATATTCCTCATTCTTAGTCAAATAAGCCACATAAATTGTTTTTCCTTTAGTGAAATTTTATAAAACCATCTATAATGTTACACATGTATGAGAAGTTTGTTTTGTGTGTCTAGAAAGGCTCTTTTCTGGATTAGAAGTATTACTGACTTTCTAATTTCTTTTCATTTAGAAGTAAAATAAGTGAACTTACAATGGAAATTAATAAACTTCAGAAAGAAATAGAAATGTACAATCAAGAGAATTCAGTATATTTGTCATATGAAAAGAGGTAAGTGATTTTGGAGATAAAATCATACAAGATCTTTCCTATTACAAACAACATTTAATGTAATATATTTCAGAAATTTAATACTGAATTTGTAGTTAAATAATGTTTATAATTCACTTCTGCATGTTTATGTGTTTATAAATCTATTTTATGCTTACAGAGCTGAGACTTTAGCTGTTGAAATCAAAGAGTTTCAAGGACAACTAGCAGACTACAACATGGTATTTGTTCAAAGATTTTTTTGAACATTTTTTTTGGTTTTTGCTGCTTTAAAAATGTGTTATTTTAAATACCAAATAATACACAAATACATGCTTACTGTAAAAGATTGAAAACAGGAAAAGTTAGAGATTAAAATATCATTTTGCGTTTTCCCTCATTGCCCTCCCCAGAGATAATTTGGTTTAACAGATCAATATGTATTCTGCCAGTCATCGTCGTTTTTTTTTTTTTAAATGTTTCAATTTTTATTTACGTTCTAGTTAGTTAACATACAGTGTAATGTATCAGTTTCAAGAGTAGAATTTAGTGATTCATCACTTATATATAACACCCAGTGGTCATCACAACAAGTCCTCTCCTTAATACCCATCACCCATTTAACCTGCCCTCCACCCCCACCCCCCCCCCAGCAACCCTCAGTTTGTTCTCTATAGTTAAGGGTCTCCTTTATGGTTTGCTTCCCTCTCTCTCTTTTCTTTCCCCTATGTTCATCTGTTTTGTTTCATAAATTCTATATATGAGTAAAATCATACAGTATTTATCTTTCTTGACCGACTTATTTTGCATAGCAGTAATACACTCTAGCTCCATTATGTCATTGCAAATGGTAAGATTTCATTATTTTTTTATGGCTGAGTAATACTTCATTTTATGTGTGTCTGTGTCACATCTTTTTTATCCATTCATTAGTCAAATGGGTATTAGTGCTCTTTCCATAGTTTCGGTGCTGTTGCTAAAGCTGTTATAAACACCTGGGTGCATGTGCCCTTTGAATCAGTGCTTTTGTATCCTTTGGGTGAGTATCTAGTAGTGCAGTTGCTGGGTCATATGGTAGTTTCTATTTTAACTTTTTGAAGAACCTCTATACTGTTTTCCAGAGTGGCTGTACCTATTTGCATTCCCACCAGCAGTGCGTTCTCCTTTCTCCGCATCCTTACCAACCTATATTGTTTCCTGTATCATTTATTTCTATTCTGATCTTTATTATTTCCCTTTCTCTGCCGGCTTTAGCTTCACATTTGCCTTATTTTTTCTAACTCCTTATGTGTGTATTTACATGTGTATTAGATTGTGTATTTGAGATTTTTTTTTGCTTTTTGAGGTAGGCCTATCTTGCTATATACTTCCTTCTTATGACTACTTTTGCTGCATCTGTAAGGTCTTAGACTATCAAATTTTCATTGTCATTTGTTTCTATGTATTTTTAAAGTTTTTTCTTTCATTTCCTGGTTAACCCATTCATTCTTTTTTTTTTTTTCCATTCATTCTTTAGTAGGATATTCTTTAACTTCCATTTATTTGGGGTCTTTCCAAATTTTTTCTTTTTTCAAAGATTTTGTTTATTCATGAGAGACAGAGAGAGGCAGAGACATAGGCAGAGGGAGAAGCCAGGTCCTTGAGGGGAGCCTGATGCAGGACTCGATCCCAGGACCTTTGGATCATGCCCTGAGCCAAAGGCAGATGCCCAACTACTGAGCCACTCCGCCCCCCCTCCAAAGTTTTTCTTAGTGGTCTTGTGGTTGACTTCCAGTTTTATAGCACTGTGGTCAGATAATATGCATGGTATTATTTCAATCTTTTTGTAGTTGTTGAGGCCTGATTTGTGACCCAATATGTGATCTATTCTGGAGAGTGCACTTGAAAAAAGAATGTGTATTCTGATGCATTTGGATAGAATGTTCTGAATATATTTGTTAAGTCCATTTGGGCCAGTGTGTCATTAAAGCCGTTGTTTCCTTATTGCTTTTCTGCTTGGATTATCTGTACATTGCTGCAAGTGGGGTGTTAAAGTCCCCTACTATTATTGTGTTATTATCAATTTTTTTTATGTTTGTTATTGTTCTATCCATTTGGGAGCTTCCAAGTCGGGAGCATAAATATTTACAATTGTTAGATCTTCTTATTGGGTAGACTGCTCAATTATGATATACTACCCTCTGTCATCTCTTGTTACAGTCTTTTGTTTAAAATCTAGTTGTTTCGGTATGGCTACTCTAGCTCTTTTTTGATATCTGCTTGCATGGTAAATTGTTCTCCATCCCTCCACTTTCAATTTGCAGGGGTCTTTAAGTCTAAAATGAGTCTCTTATAGGCAGAATATAGGTGAGTCTCTTTTTTTTTTTTTCCCATTCTGATGCCCTTTGTCTTTTGATTGATCATTTACTCCACTTTTATTCGGAATGGTTATATGACACTTAGTGCCATTTTATTACCTGTTAAATTGTTATTTCTGAAGATCTTCTCTATTCCTTTCTAGTCTTTGTTGCCTTTGGTCTTTTTTCCCCACTCAAAGAGTCTCCTTTAATATTTCTTACAGGGGTGGTATAGTGGTCACAAACTTGTTTTATGTTTATCTGGGACACTGTATCTTCAACTCTGAATGACAGTCTTGCTGGATAAAGTATTCTTGGCTGCATGTTGTTCCCATTCAGCACTTAAATTTATCATGCCACTTTTTTTCTGGCTTGCCAAGTTTCTGTGGGTAGATCTGCTTTAACCTTATTTGTCTTCCCCTTTAAGTTAGGGATTTCTTTTTCCTTGTTGCTTTTAGGATTTTTTTTCCTTATCTCTGTATTTTGCAGATTTTACTATGATAATCTTGGTGTTGACCTGCTTTTGTTGATTTTTTATGGATGTTCTCTACACCTTTTATATGAATATTTGTTTCCTTCCAGATTAGGGAAGTTTTCAGCCCTCTCTCCCTCTCTTCTTCTGGGACTTCTATGATAAGAATGTTAGTGCACTTTATAGTGTTACATAAAATACAAAACATTCTACCATAATGGCTAGGTAAATTATGCTGTACCTACTTGATATTGTTACATTGTACTCATAAACAAATTTTGCTGATTATGGAATATTGTAATTCTCAAATACATTGGACTGTATAATCCATAATGAACAATTTGTAGAGCCTAGTATTCAGTGCAATATTTTTAGTAAATGTTTTATCTTAAATATGAGAAAGTTTTTTGTATTATATGAAATGATATTAGATAAAAGCCATTTTTTAGTTGTATTGGAATGCATTAGGTAAATTACTTAGTATGATAATATTAATAATGTGTAAAATATGTTGTTTGTAGGATGATGAACTAATATAAGGAGAACATTTAGTCCATATCTAACACATAGAAAAACATTTGAGAATGTTAGGTTTTAGTAGCACTTACTATTCTTATCAAGTGAAATAGGATATATACTAATACATAGTACATTAATAAAGCTTAGTTTTTTAGGCGCAGTTATATCCAAATAGTTTGCTTTTAGTAGCCTTCCTGTTTAAATTCTGGCTCTTCAGCTTGCTAAATTTATTTGCAAAATGTGGATAGTATATACTTTGTAGAGTAATTATTAAAATTAAGTGAATATATTCAACAGACCAGAATAATGTTTGTCACAGGTAAATATGTTAGCTATTTCTATCATTGCCTAATTTTTTTAAATAAGCTTACTGGTATAAGTAAGCTGATGGTGCCTTACCCTGTTGTTTTTTTGTATTTTGGTTTTTTTTTTTTTTTTTGGAAGACCAAGAAAATAATTTTGCATTTTTACTGGTATAATTCTGTTAAAAATATAAATATGTTGTAATTATATAATTATATTGTGTTATTATATATTATATTACAATTATATGTTAATATAATATTAATTATTATATATTATATAATTATAGTTCTGTTTATAATTCTGTTAATACCCTCTCTGCTGAGGAAAAGACAGATACACGTTCCCCAAACTTTTATATTATATCACAATTATATTATTATAATTATGAATATATTTATAATCATAATATTATATAATTATAATATAACTCTGTTTATAATTCTGTTAATACCCTCTCTGCTGAGGAAAAGACAGACAGACACATGTTCCCCAAACTTTTGTATGCTTTAGACACTTCCTTTAAGTCCAGACATCTTTTCAAAGCAGGCAAAGCTCTTCAATGTACAGTCTGAGGGAAGAATAGTTTATTACTACTCACTTTTCCACCCTAAAAATGTGATTTATTGATTGGCCAAATGCATAATATATACTTAGCTCAGTATTTGTTTTTATCTTAGAAGATAAAATACTTGTATTAATGCTTAAATGACTACTCATTGTTTGTAAGATTAGATACCAGCTTATGAATTATAGAGAAAATTTATAAAGACTAACAGAGTGCTTTTTTTTTTTTTGTATCTTTGTTTTTAGTTGGTAGATAAACTTAATACCAATACTGAAATGGAAGAAGTGATGAATGATTACAACATGGTAAGAAAATTTATAAGTATAAGCAATAGACCAAGTAGATCATGTCCTCCACTATAAAGTTATATCTAGAAATAGTTTGATAAAACTTTGCACACCTTACAGATAGGTATTACTCTGATCTTAAGTGCCACTATTATAATTGAGTTCCTTCAGTTGCTTTTTTTTCATTAAAGATTTTTTTTTATTAATTTTTATTTATTTATGATAGTCGCACAGAGAGAGAGAGAGAGAGAGGCAGAGACACAGGCAGAGGGAGAAGCAGGCTCCATGCACCAGGAGCCCGACGTGGGATTCGATCCCGGGTCTCCAGGATCGCGCCCTGGGCCAAAGGCAGGCGCCAAACCGCTGCGCCGCCCAGGGATCCCCTAAAGATTTTGTTTTTAAGTGATCTTTATATCCACTGTGGGGCTCGAACTCACATCCTGATCAAGAGTTGCATGCTCTACTACTTAACCAGCCAGATGCCCCTTAGGTTGCTCTTTTTAAATTTCTTCCTGTTTGTTAGATCTCCATAATGGATGCTTTAGTGTCTTTCTACAAGGCTAGGTTGAACTGGTCTCACACCACAGTGTTAGGGAGTCTCATCTATATTCCTTGTATACAGATTAAGTATTCCAACTTATGGAATACTTTTGGTTTAACATTTGCACAAAAGCAGCTAAGTACTCACTGGAAATATAAGGTAACCTTTATAACATTTTATAAGTGAGAGAGAAAAATGAATGGTTACCTTATGATGCCATATATAACCCTACTTCTTGACTGATAAATGAGAATTGGTGTTTAATGTTCTTTGAGTCTTTGGTAGATGACAATATGTTAGGAGCTAACTTCTTTTGATTATAAACATTTGTAAGAAAATTACCTACATAGAGTTTATAGTTTCTACAACTTTTATACAAATTTTTATAACTTATATAGCTTCTAACTTACATAATCAGACTAGAATTTCTACAATGACTTTTTTCTAAATTGGGGTTCTAAAAACATAACTTGGTGAAATTAGTCTTAACTTTAGAACACATGAGAATTCCCAATTTAAAAAAATAGTTTTGGGGATCCCAGGGTGGCTCCGCGGTTTGGCGCCTGCCTTTGGCCTGGGGTGTGATCCTGGAGTCTGGGGATTGAGTCCCACATCGGGCTCCCTTCATGGAGTCTGCTTCTCCCTCTGCCTGTGTCTCTGCCTCCCTCTCTCTCTGTGTCTCTCATGGATAAATAAATAAAATCTTTAAGAAAAAAAAAAAGTTTTAATGCTGCATGTAAAATGTGGAAACTTCTTTATGTGTTCTGTCAATTATTTGGGGAAGAACCAAATTCTAGGCTGAGTATGAACAGTAGAGTCAAGTAGGAGTACTCAGGTAAAATTCTGTTTAAGGATAAAACTTTGTGTTGGGTCTAAAACCAACGTATTACTAATGAACTATTGGACACCCAATAAATTTTAGAAATTCTATTTATATAAATTAAGTTTATATTGGATTATTTGATAACTGAAGAATAGTGAATATCTTTGATGTGAGATTATATTACCTATGAAAGACTTCCTGTTTCAAGTAGTTTGTCAAATGAAATAGATACTGTATTTTTAAAAAAAATTTTTGCATGTGGCATTAGGATTATTACAATAATCTTTCAATTATTCATGATCAGAATAACTTTTAAAGTTAAATGGTAATTTTTTATCACTAACTTCTGTATTAACTCTTTATTCAGCTTAAAGCTCAAAATGATCGAGAAACACAAAGTATGGATATCATATTTACTGAAAGACAAGCGTAAGTACAATCCATTTAGAAATCAAACATTTCTTAGTTTAATTTTGAAGTCATTTATTTCTTTGTAAATCTTCTCTTTTTTTTCCTTGCTTTTTTTTTTTTTTTTTTTTTTTTTTTTTTTTTTTTAAGTAGACTCTGCACACAGCATGGAGGCAAATGCAGGCCCAAACTCATGACCATGAGATCAAGCCTTGAGCTAAGATCAAGAGCTGAATGAGGGGATCCCTGGGTGGCTCAGCGGTTTAGCGCCTGCCTTTGGCCCAGGGCGCGATCCTGGAGTCCCGGGATCGAGTCCCACGTCGGGCTCCCGGCATGGAGCCTGCTTCTCCCTCCTCCTGTGTCTCTGCCTCTCTCTCTCTTTCTCTCTCTATGTCTATCATAAATAAATAAATAAATAAATAAATAAATAAATAAATAAATAAATAAATAAATAAATACTAATCTATCTATCTATCTTTAAAAAAAAGAAAACACTGAATGAATGCTCAACCAACTGAGCCACTCAGGCACCCCTTCCTTTGCATTTTATTTTAAAAAGTTGAATATATGGAATACAAATGTTATTGGTTACACATCTATTATTTTTATTTTACCATTAAGTACCCAAGTCTTATATAAATAAAATTACTATCATTTGCCATTAAGTACCGAAATCCTGGATAAATAAAATTATTACATAGATTAGATAAATAAAATTTCTATTTCAAATAATATTAAATTTTAAGATGAATAAGAATATGTTCATCTCTACCATTTATAATTTTAACCAGAGCTTTTAACTAGTTTGAATTCTGGAATTCAAGTCCCAGTCTAATAAAAGTCACATTATTAGTGAGCTATTTACATTTTTCAGTATTCAATTATTAATTTATAATTAATAGTTATATTAATGCATATATATATATATATATATACACACACATAAAGGTATCTTTTTATATAAAGACCAGATAGCAAATAATTTTGACTCTGGTAATAAATGGCAATGTGGCAGTGACAAAGGCCTACAAAGGTAATAGGTAGATTTGATATAGTTATCTTAGTCCATTTGGGCTGCTATAACAAAATACCACATACTGGGTAACTTATAAACAACAGGAATTTATTGCTAACAGTTCTGGAGGCTGGGCTCAAGGCACCAACATGGTCCCATTCTGGTGAGGTCCCTCTTTCTGCTCATATTAGGTATCTCCTTTCTGTATACTCCCGTGGTAGAAGGAGGTCTGTGGGATCTCTTTTATAAAGGCACTAATTCTATTCATGAGGCCTCCATTCTCCTTACCTAATCACTTCCCAGAGACCACCTACTAATACCATCTACCTTTGGGGACTAGGATTTTAATACAAATTTTGGAGGGGCGTAAATATTCAGATAATAACGGTAGTTAACATGATTATTCATTGATTTTTGGCCTTAATTAAATATTGTCTAGGCAGTACAAACATAAGCTATTTTGTACACACCCACCCTGTACATATTTTGTCTCAGAATTTTATCAGTATTAATCTCTGAGAGCAAGGGTAATAACCCAAATTACTGACATTCTGTAACACCAAATATACCATTTTGTATACACTCACCCTGTACATATTTTGTCTCAGAATTTTATCAGTATTAATCTCTGACAGCAAGGGTAATAACCCAAATTACTGACATTCTGTAACACCAAATATACTGTCTTTTTACTTATGCATATAGAGAAAACAATTGGTGAAGAATTGAATTGTTAATATGTAATGATAAAACATTTGAAAGATAATACAATTTTTTCTGTTGATTAAAAACAAAGGAACCTCTTCTTTATCATTTGATGCTATAAAATGCTACCTTAAAAATTATAAATACTGGAAAACTCTTCTATTTACAAAGAAAATTCTATATTCATGGTGACCAAGCTTTCACCTGAAAACTTTTTACTGCTGTGTTTGTTCTGTTTAAACCACTCAGCAAGTGTTTATCATTTATCATGCATAAAATAACTCCCCTAGGTACCTATAAAGTAAATAATGAACTTAGTCTGTTGAACACATTCCAGATTAAGGTCCTAATTTTTATTTCATCATTTATCTACAGTTATATAATACTTAGGTCAGATTTAAAAATATATGAACCTGTTTTATAGATATTTCATCCAGAAAGATAGCTCACAGATTATAAATTTAAGACTGTCATAGGCTTTTATGTCTATTTGGTTCATTTAGTTAAGGGAAGAGTTCTTAAAATATGATAGTTTGTCCTGAAATGTGAGCAGTTTCTTAATATCTGTAGTTGGTAATTGAGGCTGGACATAATTGGTTCTCCTGACATAAGCAGAAATTTAAGAACAAAAGTTATTTTCATGAAATTTACTTTTATATGCACCAGGTGAATAGATTTATTTCATGTGTTAATTAGAGGGCCAACATCTCAGTGAGACAAGGATCTTCCTTGGCTACACATTCAAAGGGAGCAGGTAATGCCATACCCTGAGAAGGCAGGTCTAAGAAAACTTCCATTTAGTGTAGTATGGATAAACTGTCAGGTTTATTATGGAACATCTATTCAAAATAAGTTAGTTATAGAGTACAGCCTTTAAAATATTACTATAACATTACACTCGGCTTTAATTCAATTTCACATGCTAACATTCAATTATAAGGGGCCTAAGAGATTAGATGTAGTCTTTGTTCATTCATAATTATATTTCATTTTACTAGATTTTTCAGATATTAATATTTGCCTCATATCAGGAAATGGTAGTTTGGTAAAATAACAGATTATTTAGAGAAAGATGTATTTTGTTTCCATAATTATCTCACTTCTAGTAAGAACTATTACATGTAAAACACTTATATCCTTTATTAAAAACATGTTTCCATAATTGAACACCAATAAAAATTAATTTATAAAAAAAACACATGTTTCCATAAATACAAATATGCATTGTAAATAAGTGAGTCTTCTTATTTCACAGACTGTGTGTCATCCTAAACAGTTTTTATTTTCCTAAATAGACATTTGAACTGAATTTACTATTGATGTAACCTTTAAAATAACTATTCTGCAGAATATAACATACATATACATTATTTTTAGTCTGAGAAACTCTCAAGTACATATGCATTTTAAAAACTTTATTATAGGGAAATTTGAACATACACAAAAATAAATAGTGTTATTATACACTTAAATATCTATCTCCCCGCTCCTCAGCTCATGTTCAATCCTACAGTCTTTTTTTATATTTGAATCAATGGACCTTTAGGCACTATGCCCTTTCCTGTATGATGGTGGTGAAGAAAATATGACATTGTATTATTTCATTTATAAATGTATTTTATTATAGTGTTTTAGAAGTCTCTAAAAGGTGTAAATACACTTAATTTTCTCACCATGGAAGGTAAAAATGATGGATTTTGTTACAATTTTTAATGCCACTCTGCATTAAGTTTTTAAAATTATGACTACAGCCAATTGATTATAAGGAATTAGCAAAATAATTAACTTTAGACTCTTCCTGTTATAGTCCCAAGGTCATTGTTGTCCAAACTACGTTTTTTTGGACAATCATTGTGCTATGGACTCTTTGTAGGCATACCTCGAAGAAAGAGTTTTGTTGTCCAGTAAGTTTGAAAAATTCTTAATGCTTAGTTGTTGAAGGGCAGAGAGCATTTTAGTTTGTTAGAATCTTGAATAAATCGTGTTTAAACTCAGTATTTCCTATAGTAATTCTATAGTACTTTGACCATGTACTGTTTTCTCTCTCTCAATATTTTTGAGCATTTCCCTGGAAATTAATATTCTAGAATAAACAATTTGGGAAACATTGCTCTATCTACAGGATCCCAAACAGCTGTCCATGGACCAACTGAAGATTCCTCAACTCCAGCACAGACTCATTTGAATAGAACTCTCCCAAAGAGAGGCAGAAATACAGCTTTTTAAAAACAGATTCATGGAGACTTGTAATACCCACTTTGGAAGCTACCATACTATTCAGTTGTGATGGTCTTCCTTTATGGTCACAGTCTTTTTTTTATATTTGAAAGAAGTAGTAACTTATTAACATTGTGCTTGGACATTGTACCTATACCTTAAGTTAGTACTAAATTTTCAGAAAATTTATTGTGCTAATTCAGGAAGCATTTAAATATTTTCCAATTCCATAAATTCATTCTGCGAGCATAAAATCAGTCTTAGTGTGTTGTATGTTTAAGCTTTTTCACTTTGACAAATTCAAAACCTTTATTTAGAAAAAAATTTTTTTAAGATTTTATTTGAGGGAGAGATGGAGACAGAGAATATGAGCAGGGGGAGAAGTAGAGGGAGAGGGACAGGACCAAGTAGACTCTGCACCTAATACAGAGCCCAACATGGGGCTTGATCCTGGCCCCCTGAGATGATGACCTAAGCTAAAACCAGGAGTCAGATACTCAACCATATGAGCTACCCAGGCACCCCCCCCAAACCTTTATTATTTACTGATTCCAATCAATAAAACTTGTAATATAATTTAATATGTATTACATAAAATATCTGGGCTAATATTAGAATCAGTTCATTTTAATTAATGAATAGTTTAGGTCTTTTCCTTATTAGGATGTATGGTCGGAATACTGCTGAAAATAGTAATGCTAGTATTATCACTGTTACTGTATTTGGACCTACTTACTCAATACCAATGATAAAACATCATTTTATGATACTCGTGTGTTGCAATTAATATAAAAGTCTACTAGCAAAAAAAAAATCTACTAGCCACAGTTTGGTATGGCACATGCTTAATCTCCATTTATGTCTAAACTGTGAGTGAACTTATAACATTTTTAAAAAATCAAACATTGAACGGAATTAATTTTCTTCATGTAATTCATGAGTATCTATGTATTTGTCTTCAATAAACCCATCATCATCTACCACAAATGAATGTAGTTGTTCAAATATTACTGTAGTATCCTCAGAGTTTGTATCTGGAACCTGTGAAAGAGAACGTGAATTTCCAGTAAAACCATCTTCATAGGTTTCTGCTTCATGCTCTTCCAGGCGATGATGATTGTAACTAAGCAGAAAATTGTACCATATTGGGCATTTGATAGCAACAAAAATGAGGAGTGAAGTCATCAGTACAGTAACTACCACACCAACAAGAAGAGCCCAACTTTTTCCAAGAAGTTTACGTTCTGAATTGGAACACCAAGAGAGAGAAAAAGCAAGAGAGATTGATTTTGTTAAATTGACAAAAATAAAATAATCATTAATCATATGTCCTAATAACTCCATAATGTTGGTATTAGAAATAAACATACATTATAATTCTCTTTAAGCAAAAGTTACTAAAACTACAATAAAGGTGTTTCATAGTGTGGTTAAAAAATACCTTTTTTTTTTCTGAAATAACTATTTGTCTTTGTAGGTATTGTTTATCATTTTACCAAAGAATATTATTGATTTATACCTATTAAATAGAATTGTGACTTAACTAGTCAAAAATAAGGCCCAAAGAAGTTAAATAAGTTGCATAATGGCATTTGGATGGTAACTAGGAAAGCCTAGTTTGGAAACTTAGTATTTTGTAAATCTTTTGTTAAGGAATTTTTCTTTTACATTGTTTCTAGGAATTTAAAATTCAGAAAATAATCAGAACTACTTCAGTTAATTTAGTATACTACCTTCAGCAATATTAATATTCAAAACCAGTACATTACCTGAATTTTGTAAGTTGTTCAAAGAGCTATTGAATGTTGAGTTGCTAATGAAGTGAAAGTGGTTATAAAGATCTTCATTTATAGGTGGAGGAAATTTTGAGTAGCATTCAGCATTATAAGGTACTGTTTTGATACTGTAGTGATTCAGGATACCTGGGTGGATGCACGTGGTGACGTTTTCATTTTCTAGTAAATCAGAATAAGATTTATTATGGAAAATAGGATTATTATTATTAAGTTATAATGGCTAGCATTTAATAATTATTTTTACCTAGAATTTTTTGGTATATCTACCTGTCATTATTAAAGATTATTAGTTAGAAACTCTTGTATTTGCCTAGCAACACAGGAAGGGTAAGGTTCACCTTCTTGTTTATTAAGTTATTTTACAAATATAGTTTAAGTGCAGTATCTATTGTTTGGTTTGTGTTAATAAAGATGCTATGATTAAGATTGTGGTAAAAATTGATCTCAGGCAGTGCATGGTTGCAGTTAAGAAAATAGGATATCTGTTTTTATCCTAAGAAAAGGAAATGCCTTACAAAATTCTCTTATGAATTCATATTTAAACTGTAAACTTAAAAAAAATAAACTGTAAACTTAATACATGAAGTGACAGTATCATCTCATTATACAGAACATTTAAATTTCTTTTCTTCTTTTTTTCCCCCTGAAAGACAGAGGAAGGATATCTGTTCAACAAGTATTTTTCAGGGTTTCTGTCTGCTTCCCTTATACAGGAATAGTTTCTTTCTCTTTAAAACATGAAGTGAGAGACTTTCCTGAGGTAGAATGATAGAATCAATCACATTTTGGTTTTGATTAATTTAAATAATAAAAACTTACCTAGTGTCACATTTGATGTGTTCAACCAGTTTTGTAAATTCAGTAGACTACAAGAGCAGTTCCATGGATTTCCATATAAAATTATTAATTCCAGATGAAACAATTGTGGTACATCAAAATAGCTTATGAAATTGCCTTGCAAATTCAGAAGTATCAGGTTTTTTAGAGGCACAAATATGTCAGGACTCAGTTGAGATATTTTGTTTTGACAGAGATGTAACTGTTTTAGTTTATTTAAGCCCATGAATGCACTCTGTTGGATTATGTGGATGGAATTTCTACAGATATTTAAAATTTCTAGATTGGAGAGGTTACCAAAGCTATTATTATATAACATAGTGACATTGTTCTCAGTCAAATAGAGTTCAATGAGTAAAATATATGTCTGTAGAACTCCTGTGTCTATAATATTCAAAGTAATTTGGTTATAACTGAGATCAAGTATAGTTACATTTTTATTGATATCCGCTGGAATCAAAGAATAATTCTTTTCAGTGAAATTATATTTGACTTCCTAAAAAAGAAAAAAATGAGAAATGCATTAATCAGGAAAAATATTAACAGAATTTGCCAAATTTTCATATGCAGGAAATTAGACATTGGAAGATTGTTTTGTTTTGTTTTTAGAGGGGAGGGGCAGAGGGAGAAGGGAATCTCACAATCCTGAGATCATGACTTGAGCTAAAATCAAGAGTTGGATGCATAACCACCCAGGCAATCCTGGAAGAAAATAGTTTTATTTTTTATTTTTTTTTAAGAAAATAGTTTTAGAAAAACATTTCCTTTTTTAATATTTTGATGCTATAGTGTGTAAAAAGTAAAGCAAATACTTTTATTTCCTCACTGGGATGAAATACTGAAGATTAAAGAAATTCTGTTGGGATCCCTGGGTGGCGCAGCGGTTTAGCGCCTGCCTTTGGCCCAGGGCGCGATCCTGGAGACCCGGGATCGAATCCCACGTCAGGCTCCCGGTGCATGGAGCCTGCTTCTCCCTCTGCCTGTGTCTCTGCCTCTCTCTCTCTCACTGTGTGCCTATCATAAATAAATAAAAATTAAAAAAATTAAAAAAAAATTTCTTTAAAAAAAATAAAGAAATTCTGTTATATATAACTGAGCAAAGAGATTCTAGTTAATCATATAGATATCTTCTGTTATAACATACTTTTACAGAAAATATGGGTATAATTCTATTATATATATGGAAATACATGGCAAATAATTCTCTTAACATATATAGTGTATCACTTGTGTGTGATTTATAGTGAAATTATTTTAAAATTTTTTTGTTTTTAAAAATCAGAGCTATCAACACTACACCTAGGGCTATTAAACAAGAAATAATACTCAGGACATAACTCTATATAGGGTTAACAGCTTAAAGCTCGTTTTTTTTTGTTTGTTTCTGTTTTTGTTTTTAAGATTATTTATTTATTTATTAATATGAGAGAGAGAGAGAGGCAGAGACACAGGCAAGGGGAGAAGCAGGCTCTATGCAGGGAGCCTGACATGGGACTCCATGCCAGGGTCAGTCCCTGGGCTGAAGGCGGCGCTAAACAACTGAGCCACCCAGGCTGCCCAAAGCTTGGTGTTTTAAAAGAAAATATTTATTTCATTAATATTTTTTAAAGTGAACTCTTCAGCCAATGTGGGGGCTTGAACTCATGAACCCAAGATCAAGAATCAGATGCTGTACTGACTGAGCCAGCCGGGTGCCCCCAGAACATATTTATTTTATTAACAAATTGAACCATATATTGAATTTAAGAGCCAGGCAACATGAAGTTCTTCCCTTATGTGGCTGTAGATCCAAAAATATAGTTCTTATTTTGACTGTTTTGCAATTGAAGTATTTCCCTAGTTATAGTAATGCAACAACAGTAATTTTCCTCATAAATATGTGATTTTTTAAAAAATATTTCCGACATTTTAAAGAGTGGTGTTTGGGGGTGACTGGCTGGCTTGGTCGGTAGAATGTGTGACTCTTGACCTCAGGGTCCTGAGTTTGAGTTCCACATTGGGCATGGAGATTATTTTTTAAAAATAAAAAAATAAAAAATAAAAATGGTGTTTAAATCCTGAAACTAATCTCAGATTTTATAGTGTAAACTTACAGACTTCTTTAACCAACTGTTAAAAAAAAAAAAAAACTTAGTTTAAATAAAATGAAAACCGGTTTTGTCAAATTAGAATCTAGCTCACACATCACAGATTTTGAATATACATAGCTAACCAATTAGTTTTGATAGCTTAGATTTTTTTTTTTTGCTTGAATTGCCTTGGGATATTTTATTAACTGTACACAAAGTATGCCTTTGGAAATATTTTCACTACCGTGACTGTAAAAACTTACTGTTTTAGAAGACTGCCTTTCCTCTGATAATAATAGCATGAAGAGGGGCCAAAACAAGATTGTGATGCATGTAGCTTTCATATCGCAGGCCTGATAGAAAAGAGAGTATTTTCATCTTAGTAGGAGAAGAACTTTAGAGATCATTGAGGATATTTTGATTTCCTTTTTTCTCCTTTTAAATCTGTTTTTTCTTAAAATATATGAAATGTGAAACAAGTACATGTTCCCACACCCTCCCAACATTGTAATCTTTTTTTCTTTTTTTTCCAACATTGTAATCTTAACAAACTGGAAAGCCCCTGGCAAATGAAAGTATTTTTAGAATGTCTCAGTAGTTTCTAGATCAATTGAAAAGAACTTATAAGACAAGTGAAGTGGTTGTATATTTTAAAATTTTAGTATATGTGCATAAAAGAAAGTCAAGACTCTATACTTATGTATATGTACATGTTTAAGTATATATTTATATTGCTATCTCTTGGTTTTTTAATTTAGGCATTGTCTATTGGTATAACCTGTTGACTTAAAACTGTGGGAGATAAGAGGCTTCCGCTTTCTCATATACTTCCTACCTTCATCTTCAGTCTATCGAATGTATGCTTTCTATCTTTTCATTCCCCAAACATAGTTATTCATAATTTTGGTCTTTTTTCATCTTGTAAATTTTTTTTAAGTTAATGTCACTTTAAGAATCCTCAGTGTTTCAGAATGCTCTGAATAAAAAGATCTTATAAATTTGATTAGCTATATGAAACCTTTTTTTTCCCCCAAAAGAAAAGTAATTACTTTGTATTACATGATAAATTTATTTGGGAAAGATTTTTTTAGCTCCCAGGTTTATATTTCTAAGGTAGATCATGAGAAGATATAATCATATTTTCTGCTCTTTCATCGCCTATTAAAGATTTTTATATAGATTGACAAACCTAAATATAGTTTTTTTTCTCTAAAAACTCAGCACCAGTCAAACCTGTAAATATATATAGGATCTTACCTTTACTTTTTTCTTTTGTCTTTGAGACTCGTGTCCTAAGGAATCTACTGTTTCTTCTACACCATTAAAAAAAAAAAGTGTCATATGATCACATTTCACTATGTTTTAACCTTTGTACCCAATGAACATGTGATAAAAAAAAAAAGCTAGACTTCCTTAGCAAAAGATTGACTAGAAGTATAATTTCTTAGTCATCTTTGACTTTTTTAGCATAACAAGTGCTTTGCTTAACCTTTGTGTTTCTTAGTTACTCTTGAAAAATGTATTAGCAAATGTACTTTGTGAGCTAGAGTATATAATATTGAAAATGCAAGCATACTTTGAAAGATAAATTGTTAAAGTGATTTAAAGTTAGTCTTAAAGGTATTTTGTATTTAGAGAGATTCAAGTTGAAAAGATACCCCCGAGTTTCGTATTCCCCTAAGTTTCAGCTTTGTTGTTTACTCATTTTTATGACACTGTCATTGGTGGTTTTACTGCCAAGTTATAACAGGAGCAAAGTGCTCAAAGCATCAAAAGACCTGACTCTGGCCATAGGTGGCCTTCAAAAAACGAATCACCTTCCTTGTGCTGCAGCTTCCCCTCTGTAAAATGGAATTCTGTATAACACTAGTTCCCATGTAAGTATAGTAGACAGATATATCGGCCAAAACATGATTAAGATTCATTGTTGATAGTGAATAATCATGGAGTGCAGAATGAGTTAGTTCTAGATTAACTCCCATGATCATTAGTATCCTTAATCTGTGAAGCAAAGAGATTGAAATTGATTACCTTTTTTGCTTGAAAGTACTATGAGCCCATAAACCCATATAAATTCAGCAGCAAACACATTTGTTATACTATAGTAATTGAAGTTCAAAGTGAAGCTATCACTCCTTGTCCAATAGTGAGACAAAAATAAATAGAAATTCCAGGTTGATTTGTTCATCCTTTATTGGATTATTATGAGATGTTTGTAGGAAAATTTCTGAGTTTAGATTCTTTATTCTGGCAGTGGGATATGAGTATGTAAAAATTGTGTGGGAAATAGGTGGATCTGTAGGGCTTAGAGAATGTAAAAATTGTAGAAGTTGGTAACTACATGTGAAAGAATAAATAGTAGAATATTACTCCTATTTTGTAACTCAAAATAGAAATTTTGATACTGAGACTAAACATTTATCTTCAAGTAGTCTTTATAAGTAAATCTTGAAGTATTTATATGATAACTAGCATCTTTCTATTTTTTTCAGATTTTTTCTCTGCCCTATTGATAATTGACCTTGCTTAGGTAGTAGATGGCACGTCATTGGTATTTCTTGTGATTATATGATAAACATGGTTTTTGTTTGTAATTGATTCCTACTTTTATGTGATTATGCCTGTGATGTCTCTGTTACATTTTTTGGGAAATTAATTTACTATTTTGTAACACTAAATATATAGCTTTTGGAATACCAATTTTAATTAAAGTAGTAGGTAGGAAAAATATATTAAAGTTATGATTTTTTTTAATCAAATTGCACTGTAGGTTTCCCTACTCAGAGATCAGTCAGAGTTGTGTTACTTTATATCATTTATATGACGAACTACCATGCAAGATTTCATTTGGTCAAAATTCTGTAGATAAAAGATGTTTTAAAACCACTATTCTAAAATTTAATTGTCTTACTTGTCTTGAAGGTATGACAAAGTGTAAATACATCTTCAAGTATACAATGCTTTAAGGATTTTCTGTGATAATCTTTTCTTTTCTTTTTTTTTTTTTTTTTTTTTGGCAAGAAAGTAAAGGAAGGGGATCCCTGAGTGACTCAGCAGTTTAGCACCTGCCTTCAGCCCAGGGCGTGATCCTGGAGTCCTGAGATCGAGTCCCACATCAGGTTCCCTACATGGAGCCTGCTTCTCCCTCTGCCTGTATCTCTGCCTCTCTCTCTCTCTCTCTCTCTCTCTCTCTCTCTCTCTCTCTCTGCGTGTGTGTGTGTGTGTGTGTCTCATGAATAAATAAAATCTTTAAAAAAAAAGAAAAAGAAAGTAAAGGAAAATGAACAATAAGGAAATAGAAGGATTTGGGGATTGAAAAGAGAAAGATGTGAAATAAGTCTGCTGATGAGGGCAACTTTTTTTTTCAGAAGTATAAGGGATTCTCCTGTTTTCTTAATTTTTAATTGAAGTATAGTTGACACGTAATGTTAAGTTTGAGGTGTACAACATAGTGATTCAACAGTTCTATATGTTAGTCAATGCTCACCACAAGTTATCATCATACAGCACTATCACAATACCACTGGCTATTACCATGCTGTACTTTTCATCCCTGTGACTTATTCATTCCATAATTTGAAGCCTGTACTAGTTATAAGGACCCTTCATTTTTGCCCATCTCTCACCCTCTCCCCTCTGGCAACCTACCACTAGTTCTCCAAATAGAATTTTTTGTACATCTATAAGGATTACAAACTATGTTGAATGATTTTACCCTAAGTAAAATGTATTGATGTTTTTCCCCTCAATGTAGTAAGAGGAATATTGGATACTTTTGATTTCAGGAAGGAAAAACAAATTAGAAGTGTAGAAGAAGAAGTTGAACAGGAAAAGCAAGCAGCAGATGGCATTATCAAAAACATGTCTCCTGAAAAACAAGTCAAGTATATAGAAATGAAAACCACAAATGAGAAATTGTTACAGGTAATACTAATCACTACTTGGTCCAAGCATTTAGAAGTCTTAATACTATATGATCTAAAGATGAGCAGCATTGGCATCCCTGAGAACTTGACTGGACCTACTTACTGATTAGAATCTTAAAGTCCCCAGATAATTTTAAGGATGAACATTTAAATTTAAGAAGCACTGATCTAGAAAACTTCTTTTTTTTATGCTGCATAATGACCTAATCTTACTGTATTATTCATTCCTATGCATCTTTCACTTTTGCATGTCATAAAGATACATGAAAACACTTTATTTTAAATGAACTGTTGATGGAAATAATAAAGAACCTCATATACTAAAGCAATAGGGATGCTTACTTTCTTTCCTGCCTAATAAGCAGCACATCGTTTACCTCTGGGTCCTTGATTTGAACATCTCTTGCCTCCTAATCATGGTGTTTAAATAAGCAATCTGGGAATCTGCTGAGGGGTTATTGAGAATTCTCCCAACATACAGTCATGGTGCTGACTCGGATTTGCAAGTTAGTGGCCTTACATACCCAGATGTCCCTTAACCAAACAGTTAATAGAGAATGAGTCCGCACAAATGCCAAAAGTGAATGTGGTTTTGGTTTCTCAGATACTACTTCATGGACAATTTAACTTTTTATTTTAGTCAAGATTTATAAACTAGAACAAAACACTGAAGAAAGAGTGTAATAGAAATGCCAAAATACCATCAAAATGTAGCTAATCTTGCACAGCTGTTTTTGAATAATAAGTAATCAGATTAAAAAATCTTCTCCTGAGGAGTGAGCCACATAAATTACTGTATGTCTTGGCCCTAAAAGAAATTAGGCAAAGGATGTGGAAACATGGTTTAAAAAATAAAAAATAAAAATCATAACTTTAAACAAGAACATTATGAATTTGAAAGTTGCTGATATTTAATATTTTCAAAACACAGTGATGATTCACTGTGCTTCTCCGATTGATAATGTTTGTCCTTCTCTGATTGAGATGATTCACTGTGAAAAGATCTGGCTACCTTTGACAAGCTCAAAGTATTTTTCAAGGTAGATCTTGGCAAAGTTTTTAGGAATAGTTAAATTGGCAAAAATAGAAATAATGTGTTTTGGGTGTTTTTTTTTTTTTTCAAAAACTGAAAAACTTAATTTTGTTTTGGATGAAATTAGGAAAAGCTTGCAGTAGAACAGGCAAATTATAAACTCAAAATTTAGGATTGTGAATGGGTACGTTTCAACCTATGATCGAGTAACACAAACTTATTTTTTTAATTGAAATGTAATTAATATGCAATATTTTATTAGTTTCAGGTGTACATTATAGTGATTCAGTATTTTTATACATTATGAAATGATCAAAAATAGAATAATGTTAAATTTTAATCAGTAGCAAGATATGAGTTGAATATGTTTATAAAGTTTACTTTGTCATATCTATATCTGAAATGTTGAGAAACAGACACATTTTAAATATAACTTGTATATCTATTTGCTTTTTTCCCTTTTTTAGGAGTTAGACACACTTCAACAACAATTAGATTCACTGAACATGAAAAAAGAGAGCTTGGAAGCTGTAAGTGTAAAATCAAATAAGGGTTCTTCTATTAGCTACAAAAGATAATTCAGCTACATATTACATATATTAATGGAACTCATTCAAGTATATATTTATTTAGTAATTTTCTAAGAGAGGTATAATTTTTTTCCCATTCAGCACCACAAATATCCTACTTTGGTAAGAAATTAGTTTCAGTTATTGAGTACCTACTGTATGCAAAATCACTCTGCCATGCTAAGACATGCAAAATCTAATGGTTATTTAAAGACATGCACAAGAAATTAAAAACGAGTGAAGGAAAGAGATCAGTTCATCATTTTAAAGGTGTAAATGCTTACATGTTGTTTATTTAAAGCAGTTTAATTTAAAAAAGGTGTTTATGTTAAAAAATTAAATAAGATGAAAAGTGAAAATGCCTATTTTGTTTCCCTCTTTCCAGAGAGAACTACTTTGTATTTTTTGAGTGCTTACTCTGTGCTTTTTGAGCTCTTTACATAGATTAACAGCATTATTTAGTCTTTATAACAATTTTATGGTCTTATCTTGGTTTTTAATTTTTTTTAAAGATTTTATTTAATTATTCATGATAGAGAGAGAGAGAGAGAGAGAGAGAGAGAAGCAGAGACACAGGCAGAGGGAGAAGCACGCTCCATGCCAGGAGCCCGACATGGAACTCGATTCCGGGACTCCAGGATCACGCCCTGGGCCAAAGGCAGGCGCCAAACCGCTGAGCCACCCAAGGATCCCCTTATCTTGGTTTTATTGGGAAAACTTCAAATGGAATGCCCATATAATGTACTGTCTGCAGCATGGTTTTGTTTGCACCTAACATTCTCTTTTGAATATTTATTCACATAAGCTCTCAGAGATCTCCCTCATTATTTTAAATTACTGCATTGTGTTACATTGCATGACTATAGTACAGCCTTGTAGATGAGTAGGTTGTTTATAGTTTTTTGGGATTATAAACAATGCTGCAGTGAAAACATGCATTTTATGCAAAGTTAAATGAGTAGGTCTTCAGATGAATTTTTTGCAGTGGGTCAAAAGATAAATACACACTTCTAAAATGTAAAGTTGTCAAATTGCCTTCCAAAAAGGTGGTTCCATTTTCTACTTCTAGACTCAGTTTAAGGGAGGGCCTGTTATCCTGTCCACTCATTAATAGCAAGCATTATTCACTTTTTCCATTTTTGCTAGTTTGATAGGTAAACATTTCTATCTTGTTTTAATTTTCAGTTATTTATGAATGAAATTAAGTATTTCTTTATATATTTGTTGGCCAATGTATTTCTTTTTCTGTGAACTACCTTTTCACGTCCTTTACACTTCAGTATACTGTCTATACCTCAAACCTTACCTGCTTTTCCTGATTTCCTATGGATTCAGGTAGGTATCATGATGATAGGATTAGTAACAATTGTAGATTGACAGGATTGCTGTCATCTCTCTTGCAAAAGAAATAAGCATGAGTATTTTGGAATTCTTTTAGAAATTTGCTTTTGAAAGAGTAGTTTGCTTAAAAAAAATTAAGATGGCTTTCTATACTTATTGTTTACATGTGAGTATATATAATTTTAATATTTTTGGATCTCTCTGGTAATAGAAATATGCTTTGAAGAATAAGGACCAATTTAGTATTAACACAGCTGGCCTACAGAATTCATTATCTGATTTAGGGTGTGTGAGGAATGTCAGGTCTTACTTCAGTTGGCAAATTTAGTATCTTTGGGAAGAGGTGTAAACTATATCCTTGGATTCAGTGTTTGTATTGATACCACATTTTGGCATCAGTACACACATGTGTGCCTAAAATAACATGAAATTTTACAAAAACTTACAGTATTCTCTAAGAATATATAAGTTGTGGGGTGACGAGGTGGTTCAGTTGGTTAAACATCTGACTCCTGATTTTGGCTCAGGTCATGATCTCATAGTTATGAGATTAAGCCCCAAATTGGGCTCTTCACTCACCTTGGAGTCTGCTTGTCCCTCTCCCTTTTCTCTTCCCTCTGCTCGCGTGCTCTCTTTCTCTTAAATAAATAAAATATATAATCTCTTAAATAAATAAAATATATATTTTATCATATATAATATATATTGTGTATATATATGTGTGTGTGTGTGTGTGTGTATATATATACACACATATATATATGTAAAGAATATATGTCATTAATTCTATTTAACTTTTGCCAGATTCCTTATTTTTTTTTTGGACTTGTTCTTCAAGAAAACATGTCAAATGTCGACCAGCTAGTTAGGATGATTAAGCAAAAGGAAAGGGGAGATAATTATGAAAAGGGATACCCCAAAATATCTGCATTTCTTCTGTCTATATTTTATTATCACACTTTTTGACTTGAAGCTAATCCATTATTGAGCTATATATACGATGCTTTCTTTTTTTTTAAAGGTTTTATTTTTAAGTAATCTCTACAGTCAACATGGGGCTCAAACCTACAATCCCTAACATCAAGAGACCCACTCTCCACCAACTGAGGCTGTCAGGTGCTCCTATATTGTGTTTTTTAAATAGGCTTTCAGACTTTGTCTAATTCACTTTTTCCTTTTAAGATTCCTTCTCTTTGGCTTTCAAAAAAGAGGAGGTCTTGCCTCTTAAAAATTTGGCCTTGTTCATACTGTGGACCTAGTTTCAGATATCATCATTAGCTTTTATTTTTGTTAACTTAGAAAATTATTTAGATCTCAGATCCTTAGTTTCTTCATCTGTAAAACAGAGGTGATAACTATCTGATTACAGTTGCCTTGACTATTAGAGATAGTGTATAGAGAACACAGAATACAGTGCCTCACACAGAACGAATGATCAATAAAGAACAGCTTCAAATGCCATTTTTTCCCTCCTCTACACTATGAACAACCCTAGCTTTTTTAGTTATCTCATAAAGTTACCACAGCCTTCATTTTCTCTTCGTAAACAGTAGAACAGTGGTGAATACACAATAACTATTCTGCTTATGTGTATTAATTTCCTAGTACTGCTATAATAAGATAACACTAACTGTGTGGCTTAAAACAACAAATTTTCTAGAGCCTAGAAGTCTAAAATCAGGGTGTCAGCAGAGCCATGCTTCTGCTGAGACTTTTAGACTCCTTCCTGGCCTCTTTCCAGCTTCTGGTGGTGCCTGTCGGTCCTGGGTATTCATTCCTTTATTTTAGGTGCATCACCCCATTTTCTCCCTGTGTCATTGCATGACACTCTTCTTCTATGTCTCTGCATGTCTTCTAAAGACATCAGTCATACTGGATTGATTAAGGTCTACCCTAATGACCTCGTCTTAATATGACTAAATCAGCAAAGACCCCATTTCCAAGTTATATAATATTCACAGGTACTGGAGATTACCAGGACTTCAACGTATCTTTTTGGGTGACACAATTCAACCAATAACATTGTAGTAGAGTATGTATATGACTCTTTCTCTCTTTCTCTCTCTCTCTATATATATATACACACACACATATATGTGTGTATTTCATATATATATATATATATATATATATATGAGAATATATTCCCTCTAGAGATCAGTTATTTGGACTTTAATATTGTGATTAAAGTTGTACATACATTGTGACATTTTCTTTATTATCTTCCCACTGGTAGAGTTGCCTTATCCTTGTTCAGGTCTTATATTTAGAAGATAAGATAAACTCCCATCTTCTCATGAATCTTAGACTGAAAATAACTTATGAAGGAAAAGGGGTTTATTTTTATTCTTCTAATTTACAAATGTGCTTTGGAGCATTATTGAGTACTGTAGATATTGATACCTCTATTTAAGGATGCTGATGGTTTAAATTTGTCCTTATTCTTATAAACTGAAACCTAGTTGAGAATAGGTTTTGATAAAATCCTAATTAAATTTTTCTTCTTTTTGTGCCCTTCAGGAAATAGCACACTCCCAAGTAAAACAGGAGGCTGTATTGCTGCATGAGAAACTTTATGAGTTGGAGTCCCATCGAGACCAAATGATTGCTGAAGACAAAAGCATGGGATCTCCAATGGAAGAGAGAGAGAGATTACTTAAGCAGGTAGAAAAAAACAAAAAACAAAAATACTTATTTTACTCTATCAAGATACGGTAAATGTATTGATTTATTTGATTTAAGGCATATGAATTGAACAGAAATCCAGTACGTTTATTGTCTTAAAAAACAGTGAAAAGTGAGTTTCATCTAAATTAAGATGAACTATTTGACAAAGAAAATCTAGGTGAAAGTCTTTTCTCATATAAACTGTTTCTTGATTTAAGTCATAATTTTATATGGTCTTTGTGCACATTTTGGCCATTTTTTTTTCATGTTTTGGATCCATGTAAGGACACTGAAAGCCCTCTTTATTGGTCACTTATTTTTTTTTAGACTATTTATTTATTTATTTATTTATTCATGAGAGATATATAAAGAAAGGCAGAGACATAGGCAGAGAGATAGACAGAGGGAAAAGCAGTCTCCCTGATGTGAGACTCAATCCCAGGACCCTGGGATCACGTCCTGAGCCAAAGGCAGATGCTCAACCACTGAGCTACCTAGGCATCCCTGTTGGGAGATTTTTGGTTACTGTTTCAGTTTCTTTGTTGGTTGTGGATATGTTCAGGTTTTCTATTTCTTCCTGTTTCAATTTTGGCCACCCAGGTACCCCCAGTTTGATGATCTTATTGAAGATCTGTTCCATTATGTGTTTGGGGCTTCATATTTAAAAAATGAAGTATTCCAAGGTTAATAAGTTTTTGTGGTTATTATCATCCATGTCTCCATGAAAGTGAATGGAACTAAAATGTCCTGTGAAATCACAGTATGTCACCTGATTGTGTCACATGTATTCAGTACATTTATTACTACCCAAGGTTAGCTTTATTTTAGCACTGTTATAATTAGCCTGTTTATAATGAGACCTCTTAACTAAAGGGCCCTTAGGATAAATGCATATATATATTTGGGAATAGCACCCATCAGGAACCTACAAATGAGACTCCTTTGTGATCTTAGGTTGAACCCAAATGGTTTGGAAGAACCTTAGGGATCAACTTGGGGGAGCTATTTAAGTATTAGAGTCATTCCAGAAAGGTATTATAATCTAGAATCTCTGAACTTCCTTGGAAAGAGATCGTTGGAGGCAGGGGAGAGAAAGTGTGGTCTTGAGATAGGATTGCCAGATAAAATACAAAACAACTAGTTAAGTTTTAATTTCAGAAGGCAATGAATAATTGTTTAGAGTAGTGTGTGTGTATATGTGTGTGTGTATATGTGTATGCATGGTGTATTAGGGCATGGTATATACATGCCCTAAAAGTTGCTCATTGTTTATCTGAAATTCAGTTGTAATGGCAATTACTAAATCTGGCACCCTCTGCCTTATGTGTGTGAGTTGGGGTGAGGGATAACAGTCTTAGAAATCTTGGAAATTCTGGATATTTATGTAAACTGATCTAGGCCTGAAGATATGTTAACCTCATGGTGCCATGTGGATAGGTATAGCTGTATAAGTCATCACCCTTCCTTTGAGGAAAAAAGGAAAAAAAAATCAGTGAATAGTTCCTTAATGATATGTTTTTTAACTTGAAAGGTTGAGTTTTAAGAACTAGGTTTCAAGAAAGAGACTACATTTGACATTTTGATACAGCATACCTTAGAAGGAAATTGTGTTTAGGGTACCCTAACAATGAGTAATTCTTTAAGTACTATTTTCTTTTTATGCCTTTATAGGTTAAAGAAGATAATCAGGAAATAGCCAGCATGGAGCGACAGTAAGTACATTTATAATAGGACATATTACATCCATTTCACTTCTTTTAAATTACATTCTAAATATACAATAGGTACATATTGTTATAGTTATTTTCTTCCTATGGCATATTATTGATTCAGCTTTCAATCTTATTTATAACTTTAAATATTTCTTTTAATGTTTAGTTTTTGGGGGTTTTTTGTTTTTTGTTTTTTGTCTTAAGGTTTTATTCATTCATGAGAGAGGCAGAGGGAGAAGCAGGCTCCCTGTGGGACTCTGGGATCACGCCCTGAGCTGAAGGCAGATGCTCAACCACTAAGCCATTCCAGGCATCCCTTTTTAATGTTAAGAGCCATTGCATAGTATTATTATTATTACATTATTATTTTTGAGAGAGAGCTTCTGCTGAGTGAGAGGGAGGGCATAGGGTGAGAGAGAATCTTAAGCAGGCTCTATATCCAGTGCAGAGGCCCATGTGGAGCTTGATCTCATGACCCTGAAATTATGACCCGAGCTGAAATCAAAGAGCCAGAAGTTTAACTGACTAAGCCATCCACGTGCTCTTATTTTTTAAAAATAGCTTTATTAAGATATAATGCATACCATACAATTCGTATATTTAAAGTGTACAACTCAGAATTGTTTTTAGTGTATTCAGAGTTGTGCAACTATCATCTCAGTAACTTTTAGAACATTTTAATCTCCCCAGTAAAACCCAATATCCCTTTCCTCGCCCCCCTCATCCACCACTCCTAGCTCTAGGTAACCACTGTACTCTATGTCCTTGTAAATTGGCCCATCCTGGACATTTTATATACATAGAATCATACAATATGTGGTCTTTTGTGGCTGGATTCTTTCACTCAGCATAATATTTTCAAGGTTCATATGTGTTGTAGTATGCATCAGTATTTAATTTCCCTTTTTTTGCCAAATAATAATCCATTGTGTGGTTATGCCACAATTAGCTATTTATGAATTGATGGCATTTGGATTGTTTCCATTTTGCCTATGATGGATAATGGTGGTATGAACATTGATGTGTGAGTTTTATGTGAACATATGCTTTCACTTCTCTTAGGTATATACCAAGGAGTAAAATTGCTGATTCTATATATAACTCTTTGAGGACCTGGTAGACTATTTTCCAAGCACCTGCACTCATTTCACATTTGCACCAGCCTTGTATGATATTCCAGTTTCTCCATATCCTCACCAATACTTATTACCTGTCTTTTTATTTTTTTTTTATTTTTTAAAGATTTTTTTTATGAGAGAGAGAGAGAGAGAGAGAGAGAATGAGAGGGGCAGAGACACAGGCAGTGAGAGAAGCAGGCTCCATGCAGGGAGCCCAACATGGGACTCGATCCCGGGTCTCCAGGATCAGGCCCTCGGTTGAAGGCAGGCTCTAAACTGCTGAACCACCCAGGGATACCCTGTCTTTTTAGATTAGAGTCATCCTAATGGGTGTGAAGTGATATATTACGGTTTGGATTTGCATTTCCCTAGTGACTGGTGTTGAGCCTTTTTTCCTATGCTTATTGACCATATCTATATTTTCTTTAGAGAAATGACTATTCATATCCTTTGCCCATTTTTTAAAAACTATTTAAAATTTTTTTTATTTAAAAAATTGTTTTATTTAAATTCAATTTAATTAACATATAGCATATTATTAGTTTCAGAGATAGAATTTAGTGATTCATCAGTGGCATATACCCAGTGCTCATTACATCAAGTGCCCTCTTTAATGCCTATCACCGAGTTATCCTACCCCACAACCCACCTCCCCTCTAGCAACTCTCAGTTTGTTTCCTATAGTTAAGAGTCTCTTACAGTTTGTTTCCCTCTCTGTTTTCATCTTATTTTTCCTTCCCTTCCCCTGTTTTGTTTCTTAAATTTACATTTAATGGAAATTGTATGCTGTTTTTCTCTCTGACATATTTCACTTTGTATAATACCCTCTAGTTCCATCTATGTCATTGCAAATGGCAAGATTCCATTCTTTTTGATGGGCTAGTAATATTCCAGTGTGTGTGTGTGTGTGTGTGTGTGTGTGTGTGTGTGTGTGTGTCCATCCATGTCCATTCATCTGTCAATGGACATCTGGGCTCTTTCCATAGTTTCACTTTTATGGGCATTGCTGCTATAAACATTGGGGTGGAGGTGTCCCTTCAGATCACTATGTTTGTATCCTTTGGGTAAATACCTAGTACTTCAATTGTTGGGTCGTAGGGTAGTTCTATTTTTAACTTTTTGAGGAACCTCCATACTGTTTTCCAGAGTGGCTGTACCAGTTTGCATTCCCACCAACAGTGTAAGAGGGTTCCCCTTTCTCTACATCCTCGCCAACATCTGTTGATTCCTGAGCTGTTAATTTTAGCCATTCTGACAGATGTGAGGTGATATGTGATTTTGATATGTATTTTCCTGATGATGAGTGAAGTTGAGCATATTTTCATGTGTCTTTTGGCCATTTGTATGTCTTCTTCAGAGAAATGACTGTTCATGTTTTCTACCCATTTCTTGACTGGATTTTTTTTTTTGTTTTCTGGGTGTTTGAGTTTGATAAGTTCTTTATAGATTTTGGGTACTAGCCTTTTATCTGATAAGACATTTGCAAGTATCTTCTCCCATTCTGTGGGTTGTCTTTTAGTTTTGTCAACTCTTTCTTTTGCTGTGTAAAAGCTTTTTGTCTTGATGAAGTCACAGTAGTTCATTTTTGCTTTTGTTTCCCTTGCATTTGGAGACATGTCTAGCAAGAAGTTGCTACAGCATAGGCCGCAGAGCTTGCTATTTCTGTTCTCCTCTAAGATTTTGATGGGTTCCTTTCTCACATTTAGGTCTTTGATCCATTTTGAATTTATTTTTGTATATGGTATAAGAAAGTGGTCAGTTTCATTCTTCTGCATGTGGCTGTCCAATTTTCCCAATACCATTTAATGAAGAGACTTTTTTTCTATTGGATAATCTATCCTGCTTTATGGAAGATTAGTTGACCATAGAGTTGAGGGTCTATTTCTGGGTTCTGGGTTCTGTTCTACTGATCTTGTGTCTGTTTTTGTGCCAGTACTGTACTTTCTTAACGATTACAACTTTGTAACCAGCTTGAAGTCCAAAATTCTGATGCCTCCAGCTTTGGTTTTCTTTTTCAACATTTCTGTGGCTACTCAGGGTCTTTTCTGGTTCCATATAAATTTTAGGATTGTTCCAGCTCTGTGAAAAATGCTGGTGGTATTTTGATAAGGATTGCAGTGAATATATTGATTGCTCTGGGTAGCTATACATTTTAACAATATTTGTTGTTCCAATGTATGAGCATGAAATGGTTTTCAATTTCTTTGTGTCTTCCTCAATTTCTTTCATAAGTGTTTTATAGTTTTTAGAGTATAGATCCTTTACGTCTTTGGTCAGATTTATTCCTAGGTATCTTACGGTTTTTGATGCAAATGTAAATGGGATCAATTCCTTGATTTCTCTTTCTTCTGGCTCATTGTTAGGGTATAGAAATGCAACTGACTTCTGTGCATTGATTTTTTATCCTACAACTTTGCTGAATTCCTGTATCAGTTCTAACAATTTTTAGTTGGAGTCTTTTAGGTTTTGTACATAGAGTATCATGTCATCTGTGAAGAGTGAAAGTTTGACTTCTTTTTTTGCTTCAGATCCTTGATTTTTTTATTTTTGACTGTCTGATTGCTGAGGCTAAGGCTTCCAGCAGTACTGTGTTGAACAGCAAAGGTGAGAGCGGACATCCCTGTCATGTTTGTGACCTTAGAGGTAAAGCTCTCAGTTTTCCCCCATTGAGGATATTTGTGGGTTTTTCATACATGACTTTTATGATATTGAGATATGTTCCCTTTATCCTTACACTGCAGAGAGCTGTGTTCTGTCAAATGCTTTTTTCTGCATCTATTGAGAGAATCGTATGGTTTTGTTTTTCCTTTTATTAATGTGGTGTATCACATGAGTTGATTAGAGAATGTTGTGAACTGCCCATGCAGCCGAGGAATAAATTCTACTTGGTCATGATAAATAATCCTTTTAATGTACTGTTGGCTCCTATTAGCTAGTATCTTGGTGAGAATTTTTGCATCCATGTTCATTAGGGATGTTGGTCTGTAATTCTCATTTTTGGTGGGATCTTTGGTTTTGGGATCAAGATAATGCTGGCCTCATAGAATGAATTTGGAAGTTTTCCTTCTATTTCTATTCTTTGAAACAGCTTCAAAAGAATAAGCATTAATTCTTCTTAAAATGTTTGGTAGAATTCTGCTGGAAGGCCATCCAGCCCTTGACTCTTGTTGGGAGATTTTTTTTTTTTTTAAGATTTTATTTATTCATTCATGAGAGACAGAGAGACAGAGACAGAGGCAGCAGGAGAAGCAGGCTCCCTGCGGGGAGCCTAATTCAGGACTCCATCTCAGGACTCTGGGATCATGACCTGAGCCAAAGGCAAATGCTCAACTACTGAGTCACCTAGGTGTCCCTGTTGGGAGATTTTTGATTACTGCTTCAGTTTCTTTGCTGGTTATGGATATGTTCAGGTTTTCTATTTCTTCCTGTTTCAGTTTTGGTAGTTTATATGCTTCTTGGAATGCATTTATTTCTTCCAGATTGCCTAACTTGTAGGCATATAATTGCTCATCCTATGCTCTTATAATTGTTTATATTTCTTTGATGTTGGTTGTGATCTCTCCTCTTTCATTTAAGATTTTGTTTATTTGGGTCTTTTCATTTTGATAAGTCTGGCTAGTAAAGGTTTATTGACCTTAGTAATTCTTTCAAAGTACCAGCACCTAGTTTCATTGATCTATTTTACTGGTTTTTTTTTATTTCTATATCATTGATTTCTAATCTTTATTATTTCTCTTCTGATAGTTTTAGGCTTTATTTGCTATTCTTTTTCCAGCTCCTTTAGGTCTAAGGTTAGGTAATGTATTTGAGATTTTTTTGTGTCTCTTGAGAGAAGCCTGTATTGCTAAATACTTCCTTCTTAGGACCACCTTTGTTGTGTCCCAAAGGTTTTGAACTGTCATGTTTTCATTTTTATTTGTTTCCATGTATTTTAAAAATCCTTTCATTTCCTGATTGGCCCATTCATTCTTTAGTAGGATGCTCTTTAACCTCCATGTATTTATTTGTGTTCCTTCCAAATTTTCTCATGTGGTTGAGTTCAAGTTTTAAAGCATTGTGGTCTGAAAATACAATGGTATAATCTCAGTCTTTTGGTACCAGTTGAGACCTGATTTGTGACCCAGTATGTTATCTGTTCTGGAGAATGTCCCATGAGCACTCAAGAAGAATGTACATTCTTTTGCTTTAGGATGAAATGCTCTGAATTTATCTGTGAAGTCCATCTGGTCCAGTGTGTCATTCAAAGCCCTTATTTCCTTGTTGATCTTCTCTTAGATTATCTGTGCATTGCTGTGAGTGGTATGTTAAAGTCCCCTATTATTATTGTATTATTATCAATGTGTTTCTCTAATTTTGTTACTAATTGGCTTATTTAGTTGGCTGCTCCCAGCTTTGGGGCATAAATATTTACAATTGTTAGATCTTCTTGTTAGATAGACCCTTTTATTATGATATAGTGTTCTTCATCTCTTATTATTACAGTCTTTGGTTTAAATCAAATTTGTTTGATATAAGGATTGCTATTCCAACTTTCTTTTGATGTCCATTAGCATGGTAAATAGTTCTCCACCCCCTCACTTTCAGTCTGGAGGTGTCTTTGGGTCTAAAATGAGGCTCTTGTAGATAGCATATCGATCATTGTTTTTTTTTTTATCCAATCTGATACACTGTGTCTTTTGATTGGAGCATTTAGCCTATTTACATTTAGAGTAATTATTGAAAGATATAAATTTAGTAACATTATATTACCTGTAAAGTCACTGTCTCAGAAGGCTGTCTTGATTCTTTTCTGGCCGTTGTTACTTTTGGGCTCTCTCTTTGCTCAAAGGATCCCCTTTAATATTTTTTGCAGGGGTGGTTTAGTGCTCACAAATTCCTTTAGTTGTTTTTTTTGTTTTTTTTGTTTTTTTTTTTTGGCCTAGAAACTTTTTATCTCTCCTTCTATTCTGAATGATAGCCTTTCTGGGTAAAATTTTCTTAGCTGCATATTTTTCCCATTTAACATATTGAATATATCATGCTAGTTCTTTCTGGACTGCCATGTCTCTGTACAGATCTGCTGCCAGCCTTATGTTTCTAACCCTTGCAGATTAAGAACCTCTTGTCCCAAGCTGCTTTTAGGATTTTCTCTTTATCTTTGAAATTTGCAAGTTTCACTCTTATATGTCAAGGTTTTGACCTGTTTGGGTTTTTTGTAAGATTTTATTTATTTATTTGAGAGAGAGAGACAGAGAGAACATGAACAGGGCGGAGGGGTGGAGGAAGAGGGAGAAGCAGACTCCCTGCTGAGCAGGGAGCCCGACTGGGACTTGATCCCAGGACTCTGGGATCATGACCTGAGCCCAAGGCAGACTTTTAACCAATTGAGCCGATAGGGGCACCAGTATTGACCTATTTTTATTGATTTCAAGGAGGGCTCTCTATATATCCTGGACTTGAATACCTATTTTCTGTTCTCTATGATCAGTAAACTTTGTGCTAGCCAGTCATTCCTGCTATTCTTCTTGAGGAGGGGCCTGTTGTGCTGATTCTCCAATGTCCTTGGACTGGTGGAAATGCGCCACTGCTGCCAGGAGGGTCAGGCTCAGTGTAAAAAACTCAAGATTGCACTATGTGGTGCTGTTTTGCTTCCTGAAGACTGATGGGGGCGGGGTGGGGGAGATGACAGCACTGCAATCTCTAATCCTGAAGCTGAAGTTTGCGCCCTTCACTCTTCAGAGAGCCCTCACTGAAAGGCAGTCATTCACTCTTGTCTTTCTGATTTCTCTCTGAACTGTGTGTTCACCCAGTCATACCTGAATGCTTTTATCTCAGGCACATGACCCAGTTTTGAGTCTCCAAACTTTTCTAACTCCTGTGGCATGGATCCACGCCATTCCTCCCAGGGGAGGGAGGGGGTTCTGGCCATGCTTCTTTCTATTGCCGGGTCCCTGTCCAGAGAGCAGTTGTGAGACTATGCAGCGGTTCTGTTTATGGCAACACTGAGCTGAAAGCTGGCACCTAGACTCATTGTTTTCAGCCAGTTTCCCCTTTCTGATGCCTGGGAACTCTGTTGTACTCAGGCACTCTCGTTCTTTTTGTGACCCCAGGGATCCTGAGACTTGCTGTCCCACCTGAGATTTTGCCCCATTTTGTCACCTGACTTCCCCCACCGTAGCTGACTTCCAATTTTCTGCTCCATTGCTTTAATACTTTGCAGTAGCCTCCTTAAGGCTCCCTCCCCTCACAATATCCTCCAATATATATCGCCCCAGATTCACACCTCCTATCTTCCAAAAAGTAGTGCTTTTCTATTGCTAGAATGGCAACATTTCTTTTCTCACATCTCTGATTGATTTCTCAGATGTTCAGATTGATTTGATAACTACGTAGCTGAATTCCAGGAACCAGACGAACTTAGGGCCCCTTACTCCTCTGCCATCTTAACTCTTCCCAATTTATATATTTATTTGGGAGAGAGAGATTGAGAAAGGAAGAGAGTCAGCAAGTGTGTGCATGTGAGCGGAGGCAGGAGCAGAGTGAGAGAAATAATCTCAGGCAGCCTACATGCTCAGCAGCTGGGAGCCAATATGGGGCTCAGTCTCACCACCCTGGGATCATGACCTGAGCTGAAATCAAGAGTCAGACATTTAACTGACTGAGCCACCCAGGCACCCCTCCTTTGCCCATTCTTTTTTAAAGATTTTATTTATTTATTTATTTATTTATTTATTTATTTATTTATTTATTTGAGACACAGAAAGATAGAGAGGCAGAGACACAGGCAGACGGAGAAACAGTCTCCATGCAGGGAGCCTGATGTGGGACTTGATCCTGGGTCTCCAGGATCACACCCTGGGCTGAAGGTGGCGTAAAACCTGTGAGCCACCCAAGGCTGCCCACTTTGCCCATTTTTTAATTGGGTTATTTATCTCTCATTATTGTAAGAAATATTTTTATGTTTCAGAGACATGTCTCTTAACAGATAAATGATTTCCAAAGTTTCTCTCCTGTGGGTTGTCTTTTCATTTTCTTAGTGGTGTTTTTTGAAGCACAATAGTTTTAAATTTTGATAGTTTATTTTCTCTTTTGTTGATTATGGTTTTGAAACCAGTGCCTAATCCAAAGTTTGGGAAGATTTATGCCTATGATTTACCTTAGAATTTTATAGTTTTGCTCTTATGTGTAGATCTATGATCCATTTTAAATAAACTTTTGTATATGGTGTGAGATAGGAGTCCAGTTTTATTCTTTTGTTTTTGCATATCTAATTGTCCCAGCAACATTTGTAGAAATATTCTTTCAACAAACATTATTTAGTATTCTTTCCTCACTTAATTATTTTGACACCTTTGTCAAAAATCAGTTATATATAGGTAAAGGGTTTCATTTCTAGATTCTCAATTTTATTTCATTGCTATATATATATCTTCCTTACATATTTTATATATATATATTTTTATATATGTATATTCCAGTACCACACTATCTTAATTACTGTAGCTTTATAAGTACAAATGCTATTTGTTAAATATTTTTTTAAGATTTTATTTATTTGGGCAGCCCAGTTGCTCAGCTGTGTAGTGCCGCCTTCAGCCCAGGGCCTGCTCCTGGAGACCCAGGATCAAGTCCCATGTCAGGTTCCCTGCATGGAGCCTGTTTCTCCCTCTGCCTTGTCTCTGCCTCTCTCTCTCTCTCTCTCTCTCTCTCTCTCTCTCTCTATCTCTCTCTGTCTGTCATGAATAAAGAAAACCTTTAAAAATAAATAAATAAATAAATAAATAAATAAATAAATAAATAAATAAGATTTTATTTATTTATTCATGAGAGACAGAGAGAGAGAAAGAGAGAGACAGAGAGATAGGCAGAGGGAGAAACAGGCTCCATGCAGGAAGCCTGACACAGGACTCGATCGTGGGTCTCCACGATCACGCCCTAGGCTGAAGGTGGCACTAAACCGCTGAGCCACCTGGGCTGCCCTGTTTGTTAAAATTTTATACCTCAGTCAATGATAAATTTTCTCTTATTTTCTAATTTTTGAGACTAATTTGCCAGCTTAGTTCAATTTGTACAAACCAACAAAAAAGAATGTTTCTATAGATTTTTTACTTTAATATCACAAGTTAAGCTCAAAAGAGGCATGGGGGAAAGGTCTGCTTTTGAAATCAGGCAACCTAACATTTTCTGAATATATACTTTAAATTTTTATCCTAAAAAAAAGAATCTAGAAAAGAGTTTTCTCTCTAAATTTATTGTATTGTCTTCAGAATGGGGCATATTACACATAGATACTATTTTTGCAACTTAGAAAAGATTTCATAACATCATTTAATGTTTTTACTGAAAAAGTTTTTACTGAAAATATATAAACTGTCATAAATGTATTAAATAATTTTTTCAACAGGTTAACAGATATAAAAGAAAAAATAAATCAATTTAGTGAAGAAATTAGACAACTAGACATGGATTTAGAAGAACACCAAGGTAACTTTTCTGTTATTTTTATAATGTATAGTAAGAGATACATAGCAGTATTGATTTAGTATTAACTTGGGCCTCAGGGACTATTTAACTGGGATTTATTATTTAATTCTTACTGATATCCCGGGCTTTAATTACAAAAATGCATAACTGTACTATAATAGTAAATACTATAATTAATGTTAAAGTATTTAAGCTGACTAAAAACTTGAAATGACTTAAAATGGTTTAATGATGAGAATTTATTTTGGTTTCTAAAGCAGTTTTTTAAAAACTGATGTAAAAAGGTCGAAAGTTATTTGGATTTCTAATTTATATCTCCTTAATACCTCCGAACTATCAATCAACTGGGGTAAGAATTGAGAGAGGATCAAGTCACAAACAGAAAGAATTAATTATGTAGGGGTTCCAGTAATGAGGTAGCAAGTACTGATTATTCTGATTCTTTCCCAACTTTCCTCAGTTGTGGGATTTGAAGAGCCAAAGGGACTAGAACACTTACATGAGAACCTGAGGTGTGAAATGGAAATGTTTGTGGTGGTGATTTGAGAGCTATAGTGTATGTGTGGTTGGAGGGTGAGATGGGGCATTATAGTTTGCTTACTAGTTTCTTTCTAATAAAGAAGAGAAAGATGTGTTGTTCCTCATGGCACTGTAATCACAAATTAACTGAAAACCAGTATTTATGTGCTCTTGGATTAGTAAGAATTGACTGTATATTCTTAGGAGTTATGTATGGTATTGTAAACAGTATACATACATGTGTATACCTATTATGGCTAAAGAAACATTCATAGCAGGGAAGAGGGGTGGTCTATTCCTAAATTATTTTTTTATTCCAGTTTTAAAGGTAGTATATTAGTTTTATTTATATTTTTTTCTTGATGTATAACATTAGCTACTATTGATTAATTATTTAATTACTGGACTGAGCACTATGTGTTCTTTGCAAGAACTTTTTTGAAATCTTGTAAGCTCTTTTATACATGAAGCTCAGAGAAGTTACTCAATTTCCACAGCTAGTAAGAGATAAAGTCTCTATTTAGACCAAGTTCTCTTTGATCCCAGAGTTTTATTCTATTTCCAAGCCTAATGTTGGCTTTCTGATATGAAGTGCTACATTTGTGAAATAAAAATATTCTTATGAAATATTTATATAGTTTTATTTATATGTAGCTTGTAATGGCTTTAGGTAAGACATATTTAGGTATATTAGGCATATAAGGCAGGCAAACTTTAAGTCCTGTTTATTAGGTAAATAAACTTACCTGAGCGTTCATTTTCTCATCTGCAAAATGAATATAATGATCCTTCCTCATTACGGTTTATGAATATTAAGTGATATATATATATATATATATATATATAATGATCCTTCCTCATTACGGTTTATGAATATTAAGTGATATATATATATATATATATGGCAGGGTGGGCTCAAAATGAATTTTTAAGACTAAGGTCATATTATTTTCTTCATTAAATTATTTTATTACTTTATATAGATCTAGTATTCTAGATTTTCTTTATTAATAGCTTAAATTATTCTGAGAAATCTGATCATGTTCTTGATTTTAGATGCTTTATATGTATATGAAACTTTCTAAAGTTTTCTTCTTCCTAAATTTAAATTTCTAATGACATTTGATTTATTTTTCCAGTAAAGTAACTCATTTTGAGGGTTACAAATTATTATTAATTTGCTAGTTCTAAAATAAATAGAATGTTTTGAATTTTAGCCTCTGTTTTCCTTTTCGTTTTCTAACCTTCTTTGGACTTTTTGATTAATGTGAGAAAAGACCATCTATAATATAGTAGTAGTGAGAAAGTGTTTATATATATAAATATATATATATGTATATGTTCATATATATATATATACGCTTCTATATGTATGTATAAATACATTCATTTTTTGTTCTTTTGCTATAGTGTGAACATCCTGAATTATGGATATAACAGCACAGGGGGTTTTGTTAGAAGGTTATGTGTTAGCTCAAGACTTCATTATTTCCTGCCTGACCTATTGAAGTAGCCTTCTAACGGTTATCCCACTTCCAGTCTTGCCCCCTCTCAGATTCATCCACCACAATGTTGCTAGAGTGACTTAATGTGAAATTGATTCTGTGTGATTCTCCTGTTTAACAGTGACTCCCCCTGACCTAGGAGATAAAGTTTAAGAATCTTTGCATGGCTTCATAGTCCCTCTGCAATCTGGCCTGAATATTGTCAATCTCCTACTCCTCATTATCTCTATCCTAGCGTTTTGTGTTTTTTTTTAAAGATTTTATTTATTCATGAAAGACACAGAGAGAGAGAGAGAGAGAGAGGCAGAGACACAGGCAGAGGGAGAAGCAGGCTCCATGCAGGGAGCCCAACACGGGACTCAATCCTGGGTGTCCAGGATCAGGCCCTGGGCTGAAGGCGGTGCTAAACCGCTGAGCCACCTGGGCTGCCCTATCCTAACATTCTAATAATCTCCTTGTGGTACCCCACACCTCACCCCCTTTACTCTAAATCTGTTTCATGCTCAGTCCTCAGCTCCTACTGTTTATTCCCTTGTCTTGAATGTTCTTTTCCTTGTTATTTATTTTACTAGTTTCTTGTCTTTTAAAATCTACTTCAGCTATACTTTAATCCAGCACAGTAACCCTGACTTCCCTCCCTGACCTCTTTCTGGGCTGAGCTAAGTGAGTGACCTCCTCCATTATCAGAGTAGATTGTGCATAAATATATCACTGTATTGGCCACACTATATTACCAGTATCTGCTTGGATGTTCGTCTTTCCTCTGAGACCATACATCCTCAAAGGTCCTGGACTGTGTCTGTTCACTCTGGTAATAACCTCTTTCAGCAACACTGTGTCTGGGAAAATAAATACTCAATAAATGTTTGTGGAATGAATGAAACAGTTGCTATATTTTAGCAAGGAAGGATTTTTAGAATGAACAGAAGGTGACAGGCTCTATCACTTCTTTGGACCCTCTAGTTCCTAGGATGTACATACGCACTTTTTCAGAGACAGCTTGATTGCCAGCAAAGGTTTCATTATTTTCTAGAGGATTCCTACCCTGATATATGATTTCCAGTAAAGTGTGGGTTCTCTCCTACATCTGCATTCTCAGCAGTCTCTTGACACAAGGTTGTAAAAAATCTGCTCCTTAAGATGTGGAGGATAATCAAGTTATTTTAACTTTCTAATTCATACTTCTTCCTGCCCCAGGCTTTATTCCCTCTGGCCCATTTTACTAATTTTATACATGCTACCTTAGCTTCTGTTGTTTATGTATAATCCAACTAATGCCACCTTTTGCTTGGTTATATAAACTGTAAATGATTTTTATGTCTCACTTTGTTAGTAGTTGCTTCATCCTTTCAGTTTTGCATAATTCAGTTTAAACTCAAAGGCATCCCTGGATACTGGGTTAGGTACAGTTGTGTTCTGTGCTATGTATTAATGGTGGCTGTGTAGTCCAATTATCTTCCTAAAGTGCATTATATTTACTCATTTCGGTAAGTCCCTAATGTTATAATTTGCCAGAAGTTACACTGAAGAACTATTTCCCAAAGCTAACTAAGTAAATCCAATTAACAGTTAAGTGCCTATTCTATGAAAATCTTCATTGTTCAGATGCTGAACAATGTTCATAATACGCTTGTACTTTTGACCAATTCTGGATGGACTTCTTTGCTCTCAGATATTTACCTTGGCTTCGTAAGTAACTAAAAAAAAATCTCCTTTCAAAGATTTCAATATAATAAGATAGCATTACTCTTTTCAAACTGCTGAGGATTTAATTTTATCATCTTAAGTACTTGTTAGACCTCCCTCAGCCAGATAATAGTTTTACCTTATTGATTGATGAGGTAATTTTGTTACATGGGTTCTAAAAGGCTTTAGATTGAAATATGTATACTGTCCTGTGAGTAACTTGTTATTATTTATGCAAACTAGAAGTAATGAGAAACAGTTCTACTGAAAGTTACTAAAATGGTCAGATTTTGGGTATAAACTGCATCATTGCTAAAGCAGAGCATTATCATCAGATGTTGTGCTATTTTTCAGAAGAGGCAGAGTCCATCCAGATTTCTCCTTTCTCAGCTAAATGCCAGGCATTAAAAATCTGCTTAATTGTTGCTTTTTAAAATACTGCTTCTGCCTAAAGCCAGCCGAAGAAGGGAAATAATAAAGATTAGAGCAGAAATAAATTATATAGAAACAACAACAACAACAAAACAATAGAGCAGCAGAGCAGATCAATGAAACCAGGAACTGGTTCTTTGAAAATATCAATACAATTGATAAACCTCTAGCCAGACTTATCAAAAAGAAAAGGAAAATTATCCAAATCACAAATGAAAGAAGAAAAGTAACCAACACTATAGAAATACAAACAATTATAAGAGAATATTACAAAAAATTATATGCTAACCAATTGGGCAGTCTGGAAGAAATGATTAAGTTCCTAGAAACATAAACTACCAAAACTGAAAAAAGTAGAAAAATAGAAAAACTGAACAGACCAACAACTAGCAAAGAAATTGAATCAGTAATCAAAAATCTCCCAACAAACAGAAGTCTAGGACCAGACGGTTTCCTAGGGAATTCTACCAAACATTTAAAGAGTTAATACCTATTCTTGGGATCCCTGGGTGGTGCAGCGGTTTAGCGCCTGCCTTTGGCCCAGGGCGCGATCCTGGAGACCCGGGATCGAATCCCACGTCGGGTTCCCGGTGCATGGAGCCTGCTTCTCCCTCTGCCTATGTCTCTGCCTCTCTCTCTCTCTCTCTGTGTGACTATCATAAATAAATAAAAATTTTAAAAAAAGCTTAAAAAAATAAAAAAATACCTATTCTCCTCAGACTATTCCAAAAAATAGAAATAGATGGAAAACTTTGAAACTCATCTTGTAAGGCCAGAATTACCCTGATTCTAAAACCAGATGAAGACTCCACTAAAAAAAAAAAAGAGTACTACAGGCCATTATCTCTAATGAACATA